GCTTTAAGAAGTGTATCTCAATGAAATTTCCAAAAAATCTGCAAAGTTTTTCTTTTGTATATCACTACATTGACAATTAAAACATTTGTAACAAACTACATCAAGATTACAACATACACGTCTACTTGAAAGTTTGGATTGCTGTAACAAACATACCAGTATACACATCGACAAAAAGTAAACTGAAACATAATGATGGTGATTTTAAGTTTTGAGGATGGACATCTTAAATGCATAATATGTAAGTAAAAAATCAACATATGAATTATATAACACTGAAAAACATACTCCATTTCTTGCACCAATCAAATGTCAGTGTATTATCACATTCTTGTTTAGTTACAACAATTGCTTTATAAACAATATATATATAACTTGCAATTAAAACAATACTTTCTGCATGAAAACTACTACAATAATAAAGCCCCTATAATATGTCTTTTAACAGTAATTTCTTACCAGGTCTCCTAAACGAATGTACCATGTGCATGAGAAATATTGTGACAGTGATTCATTTCAGAAACCGATATCTCACACCAGTATCAGCATTCAACAAACAAAAACTTAATTGGTTACAAAAGAAAAACTTATTTATACAAGTAGAAACATAAGAAAGTAGAAAAGCAATTTAAATGGTAACATTAGATTTAAAAAGAAAAGATATTTTGATATCAAGAGTATGCAAGTATTTGTACATCCGAATGTTTTTAAGAAATACTGAAGTACAAATACTTTGATAGAGAGTGAAATGTTTTAAGTGTCATTTATAAACTAGTTCATCAACCAAAAAATAGGATAATATGAGATTAAAGACTGACAGGTCCAATCAAGAATGTTTGATGTTTGCAATATCAGATCTTTGCAACACACATCCACAGAAAACACAAACTAAATATTATTCTTTTCCATTTTGTCATTTTAATACTACTTATCATTAGCTATTCTTTGAACAACAGCTACTTACTCAGTGACATAGTTATTATAAGACACACACTTCTGGGCTACTTACTCAGTGACATAGTTATCATAAGACACACACTTCTGACTCACACTCTGATATTTATCAAAAAAACATTTCTAATGAAAGAAAACTTCAAGAGATAATTTATTTCATCGTTTACAGTGATTCTATGTACCCCAAAGATGAAATCATATTGACAATATTGATTTTGACAGATTCAATTCAATAAGTTTCAATATGATAAGAAACATATCGTGATCTGTGTTCTTGTTTTGTAAACTACACTCTGCTATAATCCAGAAAAGGAAAGATCAAGATGTGATTTAATCACATTGCAACAGTATGAAAGTTTTGGCAGTGAGATGATGGTTAATGAGAAAACTGAGGAAAGTGTTGTACATTAAAATTACAGCATTTCCCAGGATTTTTATATCAATTGTATCATACTATGTCACCAGCTGATTTGTAAAGCTGTAAGGCTGTTAGCAACAACCACTCTTTTCTGTAAAAACATGATTATCACAACTTGTGTTTACCTAAACTCTTCCAATCTGGCTTCTCTTCAGCTATCATATTGTTCTACTACTGCTGTGATCATAAAGTATCATATCTGGAGCACCATGGGTATACTTTATATGTTATCCAGCAGCCTCTTTAAAATCATGTACACTGGCTCGGAACAAATTTCTGACCCGACTGATACTTATAATACATACACAGGTATAAGGACTGTTGGGTTGAAATTTTTTAAAAGCCTCTGTGCCATTAAAAATAAAATTATTTCCTTGAAAAAATTACCGCAAAGAATTTATCTAGATTTTCTTCAAACAATAGGCAGAAATAACAATTTTATATTAAAATTCATTAAAATAATAACATGCAACTTAAATGACTAATTTTAATAAAACTATTTGTCTTGTTTTTGGAGGATGCTTTTCTACATAATCATAATTTATATTACAATGATTTACATCAACTTCACAAATATATATCATACTAAGCCATAGGACATATATAATGCAGTGCAGTGCACAATGTACCACTTACATGAACAAAACAGCATTAATACTAACTAGTTTCAATTCAGATCATTTGCAATTCAAGTAACCATTGTGGCAAGTCTTTTTTGTACACACAGGTGTACAATGTCATACCCACAATTTGATACTGGTGACAGTTAAAAATGATGAAACACTAATACCATCAAAAAAGTTGTATACGAAAATCAAAACATAATTAAACCCTCCAATAATCCCTGAAATGAATTTGAAATTTAGGCCATTAACTTTTATTGATGGTGTGAAGATAATTCAATCTGATTGAAGACAATTACATATAGTAATTAGTACATATTTATGTAACTGGACTTTTGTGTAGTGAATTCAGGAAGTGCAATGCTCAGTGCATGCTATATCTATCATTTATTGAGGCCTACATCACGTAATTTCAATAAAATCCTGGTCTTTGTATTATCTCATAGAAAAAGTAATAATGGAGCAAATTACAATTGTATGTACAAATCTGATTTAGTTCAAAGATGTAGATTCTGTTTATACTTTTGTTAGTACAAATCTGATTTAGTTCAAAGATGTAGATTCTGTTTATACAATTGTATGTACGAATCTGTTTTTACATTAAAAAATTCATTTGGTTGTCACTGTCACACCATTTTGATTGTTTTACTCAAATCCCTGATAAATTAAAACAATTTGATGTCTAAAAGCAGTCAGCTGACATCGCTCCATGACAATTTATTTGAAAATAAGATTATAAATGACTTGTGCTGTCAACAAACAATGACTGTAGTAATCACATGGTTACAACACCCTTCCCTCACTTGGTAGCTTTGTATCCATACCATTGTTGCCATGAAGACTTGTTCCTCATGTAGCATAAAAACTATATGTGAATGGTTTACAAATAGGTAGATAAATTCTACTTATTTACATATCTCCTATTTCATTTATTGTGTGGCATACCTTTGGGTATCCAAAGTGAAATACTCCACTGAATAACAAACCAACCTTTGAACTGACACTGGCTCTATTTTCCTGTTTAGATACAGTGACCATATATAGCACAGAAATGTCATATTCACACACTATCTACCTTGCAGTAGCATTGTCGACTCATACACAGTTTTTTTGTCGGAGAATGTCTTAAGAGAAGTTCACAAAGTCACAGTGTTTATAAACTCACTATTTTTATATACGCAGTGACCAGTCAATTAATTTTTCTGTAGATTTTTTTTTTAAATCTGATCTCCAAAAAGTACCTGCGCACTATACGCGAGTGCGTACTATACGCGAATATTTACGGTAGTAGTAATGCCTCCACAAATTTACAGAAAGGATACAGACAATTATGAAATTTTTCTGGGTGTGTCACATTGAAAAAACTGCAGATATTATAGTGTTTTGGTCTACAAACAACAAAAATTTGTTATTGGGATCAATAAAATAGCAGAAAAAGGTAATGAGTAGATTATCAACACAGAGTCTCTGTATTAGTATATAGGTTATGTACACCTTTTCATTTGAACATTTCACTTTTTAATTAAGTTATATAAAGATTGCACCTTAGAGTTCTGAAAATTAAGTCTCTTAAGGACTGGCTGTGACCTAAGAACAGTTAAGAGGGATAACTATGGCCTACCACAGGTGTAGCTATTCACCTAGATGAATTATTAATATGTGTGAAGTAGTGAGATTGAATAATTTGGGTGGAATACCTCTATCTACAAACTTATGAAGTATACACATAAGATAATAAGTCTGAGATATCTCATTCTTCTTTATACAATTTTAACATAATTTCTGTCCCTACCTCGGTATGGATGTCAATTTTTCCCTCACTGGATTCTCTTTTTCCTCACACTTTAACAACAAAACAACATGATTTTTTCCTCACCAAAAGGATACCCCTTAAAAATCACAGAGACAACATTACATCTTGGTAATATCTACCTATTACACAGAACAGTACACACATAAGCAAACATTACATTTGGGTCTACTTATAACAATAACTCCAGAATACAACCCTTGTATCAACGCAGTACTGCAGATGTATACATACCTGTACTACTTATAAATTCTGAAAATCATACCTTTAATTTGATCCCATAATTTGTTTTAACTGCAGTGATGGAATGCATCAGTTTTTATCACATATTTTTTTTCACAGCAACCAAAGTATATCCAATATACAGATTTTTTATCAAATATTTCCCATATTTGGAAAGAAATTTTAAGGCCCTCTAAACCTTTTTTCAATGTGTAATGCAGAAAATGCTATGTATCAATTAACAATGTACAACAATAGTAACAGTACTAAATTTAGATACCCAAAGCCCTTATTTACTCTCACAGATGCTTTTACTGTTGTATTGTAATCAAATATTGTAATTATAATAAATAAAATAAAATAATATAATTTACTGTTACCTTATCTCGTAACTCACTGATAATAATGCATTCTACTAAATCATAACTGATGTTTGATCGATGAACAAAGCAAAATTGAAACATTTTTCACAAAAAATGTTTACAAAAAGTACCATGTGCCGCAAAAAAGTCCATTAGTTCAGAACAACACTGACAAACTTAAACTGTGGATGATATTGAATAACAGAGTTAGCTAGGAGAAATATCACCTCATTCAACAACAGGTAGCAAAAAGAAAACTGCAATATTGACGAAATAAGACACTCAAGTCCAAATGTTACTGAAGTCTTCATATTGAAATTGGGTTTCAGATAAATTGCCCATGTGTAAGGAATACAGACGAAAGGATATTTCTTTCAACTTTATCAAACCAGTTGTGATTTAGAAATTAAATATTCTTATATGTCATGGAGTGTTGTACTTATAAAAGTAATACTTGACAATTGAAATAAATAAGAATGGGATTGAAATTACATTCAATTTCTGATGGCCATTACAGTGGTATTCAGTCAATAATGACTGTTCAGGGTGGCATTTGCTAAAGTTGATCATTGTTTTTTAGTTAGTGTCTATAAATCACAGAACACCACACACCAATAAATCTAATAATAGCAGTACACATTTAAGTACACTTAAATATTCTCAGATAGAGTTTAACTTATTCCTTTAAAAATGAGGGAAGAATGTTTTAATCAAGAATAAAGTTTGAAACTAAGTCTACGTCTAAACCAGGGACCAGAAGTTTTGGTGATAATCAGTGATCACAGAAAAATATTGCATTCCTCTCATACATACACTTGACTCTCATCATGTGGTTAATACTAATGCCAGCATTACAGTAACTTCTCACACATCTACTTACACATTAAGTCATACAACATGAATGAGCATACTAATGAAACTTATGTTGATGGTCAGGGGTCAGAGGTCAAGTGAATATGCAGAGGTGAAGGTCACTTGGTACTTGACAGCTACATTGCAGAATAGTCAATTTGTACATATAATTGCCTCACTCCTATCTGAAAGAAATAATATAGACAATATATAACAAGAAGTACAGACACTTAACAACATTCTAAAACATGGGGAACTTACATATGAAATTTGAGATACATCCTGTACTTCTCAAGAAATAGTGATAAAAAATATTCACTAGGGAAAATCCAAATGGCTGCCTATCAGCCATTTTGTTTTTCTAATCAGTCCCAAGAACAAAAGGGCACAAGGGAAACCTACATATGAAATTTGAGAAAGATCCATCTAGCATTTCTCAAGAAATAGCTATAACAAACTTTCATTTTTGAAATCCAAGATGGCCATATGTTGACTATATTTTTTTCTGATCAGTCACAAAATAAAACAAGCAAACCAGAGACCAAGAAGAACCTACATATTTAAATTAATAGCTATCTATTCAAAACTTCTTGAGAAATAGTGATAACTAAATTCATGGTAGAATATCCAATAGACCATGGATGAATGGCGATTTGAATAGTCCACCATCTGATGGTGGCCTAAACACTTTAAAAGAATCTTAACCCTTGCGAAAATAGTTTTTGGTAGAATGGACATTCAGATCACGGATAAAGGACAATTTAAAATGACAATGGAAATTCCAATAATCATTACCAATGCAACCTTTTTTTCATAATGGGATATTCTGTATTGTACAAAGTAATTACGTAAGTTTTAATGGACATTGTACACCTTTATTTCCCATTTAAATAAACATATATTTAATTTGTGGCAATTCTAGACAGGTCTAGCTAGATTGGCTTACAAACATAAGCGCAGCCCTGATTGTGTCATAACAGGTTTGCATTGCTATTAGCCAAACAGAATGAAATATTTGTGTAAATTATTCAACCAACAGAGAACAAGTCTAAATAAGTAATAAAATTGTAATCCCATTAGAAATTTCAGTGAACAACATACACACTTGTGTATTTACCCAAAATTCTGTATAAAATCTACAATCCAGTGATCCTTCAGTTCCGGATTTCCTGATGCAATATATTTAAATGGCTAAATTCATACTGGCTGGGACTGTTCCCACCAAATTTGCCTGACCAAACTGACCACAGGAGAGATATTTAGATGCTAACAATAGTTTTAAAAGTCATTAGAATGAGTTCTTAAAAGGTAGAGAACAGTCAGAAATTTTTCAACTTGGACAGAATATCCCTTTAAAAAGAACATTCAAATAGTAGTTACCAACACTGTATAATATTTGTGTTTACATGCTTTTTGTGTCAAACATATGTTTGATCAATTTCATGTCACTACAACATATAACAATGGAGAAAAAAGGAAATGTTGCCTGATGTGTCATTGAGAAAATAGACCAAATTATTTTCTTACCTGTGTAAATAAATTATGTGTATGACTTAAAATGTATTTGGCATCAGCTTTAGACGAGACTTCTAGTTTTATCGTTCCAACATAGATATCACTGCATAACGTCCAAAAATGTGGTTCCTGGACACTGTAGACTCCCTCTAACTGACCCACCTACAAGAAGACAAAATCATTACTTTGTAGATGACTGCTTACTCTGACACAAACACACAATCATCAATATCTGGGGTTATTACAAAAAACATACTCCAATGAATAAGAATACCATGATCAGTGTACAGTTCGTTTGAAGAATGTATCCAGAATACATATTTTTCTCTTGCCTTTTAACTTTAACATTGATTCCTGAATTACACTAGAACAGCTCAATGTGTGAACACAGATTTACATAAGTTCAACTCACTCTATTATAACACGATGGTAGCTGTGATTCCAATGCCCTGGGTGTTCTTTGCATAAGAATACCGACAGAGTCTCGGAGTAATGGCAAAACACTGAAAAACAAAGGGAATGACATAACTAAAGAGGTCATCAATTTTCATCTGTCTACTGATAATGTACTTCAGGTATTGTAGGGTAGAACACATCTCAAGCCTGTTATTTAAAGTCCTGAAATGTTATACTTTCAACCCAAATCTACATTACCATTCTGGCACAAAACACATTTATACAGTTTTTATCAACATTGTAAGGGTTTTATTTCAAATATATACTGACAGTTAGCATTACAATAGTAGTACCTTACCTTATTGTAATTAATACAGCTATAAATAAGGAACAAATAGGGTCTGCCTGCATCCACCCAAAATAATGAATCATCCCCGAGGAGATTATCACTCCAACACTTCCTAGTGTGTCAGCTAATATATGTAAAAATACACCTGAAAATACAAAATATTACTTTAAGTACATTAAATTCTTTAACATTGACTAGATTACATTTCCAAATTGATGCACTTCATTGAATTTTGTTCGATTTTACCAGTCCTTCACAAAATTAAAATCTCATAAAGTTATTTTTGATGCAGATTCATGTAAACTGATATAGTTTCACTGACTTCTAGACACCATTACATTTTCACTATTCTTTCATCTGCCAAAGTCCAAGACACTAAAAGTAAGATTTTGTTTTTAAATAATCAAAATTTTGGACTTAAATTCAAATATTGAAATTTCCTATACCTACTTCAATATTTGGTTGAACATTTCAGTTTGTGAATTGTTCACCTTGAAATATTATGTCAAAATCCAAAGATAAATCTATTTTCAAAAATATTTAAACACACATTCAACTCAAATATCTAAGAAATTAAGTAAATTTTACACGGTTTACATCATCTCAGAAATTGGTTAATTCTTATAAATATTTTGACCAGTTCAATTATGTGCTTTACCTTGCATGATTTGAGAATTAGATGTTGTTGATTCACCATGAGAATGTCCATGTCCTTCATGACTATGACCATGGTTGTCTTGTTCACTGTTTGACTGCATTCCTGATAATTATACACCATACATCATCTCTATCATCAAACAGTAGTAATGATGCCAAATATTTATCAATTTTTATCTTAACGAAAGCTTCAACATTTGATACTTTGATATTTATTATAGTACCGAAAATATATGCATACATTTTTCCTAACCAAACTGGAAAATTCTAATAACTTCCTAAAGTCCCAAAAGTTCCAGTTCATTAGGTTCTTTCACTTTATAGTGAACAAAATGGATACATGGGGAACTGAACACAATATATTAATTACCTAGGCCATGACTGTGTCCATGTCCACCGTGAGAATGACCATGACCATGACCTGTAACGTTAACATCACAAAAATGATCATGTTGAAATATTTAGAAGGGCAAAACTTCCTTCATCATTCAAAAAATTATAATTATAAACAATTACCAAAGAAACCTTATACTATTATTTAAAAAATAAGAATATAGCACTTAAGACAACACTCTCCATCATTTTTAAATATATTGTACAGTTGAATATAATTTCAAATGTTTCTAAAAGTAATCCACATGATAATCATATTCATCTCGCATACATGTCAAGTGCATTCTTATTTCTAAATTCCATATTTAAAATTTGCTGGAATAGATTTTCAGCAAGTTTCCACTCCTTGTAGATTATAATCTTGTGAATACCTACTTTGCATGTAATTTAAATTACCAATGAAACAACTACTTGATGGACACTTTCATTGAATGAAATAATTACTGTTGTGCTTCTTTTTCCCATTTTACTGAATTTAACACGAAGTACTAATTCCAGTATCTATAACTAGTTTCCATTTTTACTTTTATATCATAAATGCCATTTGAAATTTAGATGCATTCATTCAAGTAATTTTTTAATAATATAACTTATCAGGGGATTATGTTAATAAAGAATTAATTGGATTTGAAATGAATTCTATATTGTTTAAAGGTATATTCTAAATCCATGAAAAGTTTGAAAATAAAGTGTTAGTGTCAACCTTACTGAAAAATACATACCTCCTCCACCATGAGAATGACCATGTCCATGTTGGAAGGCAAAAATTCCTATTATATTGACAGCAAAGCCAGCTACAGACACAAGGAAGAGTCGCTCATGCTTCACTTCTGGAGGCTCAGCCAATCTCTACCGGATATAAAAGTGTAAAGATGGTCAACTGGGAAAGGCAGAAAAGTAGTAAAAGAAAAAACAAAGCATTTCATATGAATTTTATAGATTTTCACATTCTAAAATACAGTATGGTCCCTAATAAATAAAAGTTCCTTAATTTAAAGGAAAACTTTTAAATTGAAATACAGATATTTTACTTAACTTTTATTTCTGTAAAGTCACATTCATATCTTATATTGGAATTGAATATTTAAACATTTGTGACCACTTGTAAATGAACTTGCATTTTTTCTCAGTTTCAATATTACTTTCAAACAGAATGAAAATTAATACATGTGTCATGGAACAAAGTTTTATTGTATGTAGAACAACCAGCAACATTTACCTAATTTTAAAATGTAAATAAAAAAACAAAAAGATTTTCCGATTAACAGATGTAAAATCTCTAGATATGTCAGATTGTCAAATCAGTAAATTTGTTATCTATTTGATATATAAAACTTTAATCCTTGTAGAGAGTTAGGAATGCCACTGAAGAGTGACTGCATTGGTCAAGGGGAGATAATAAACTAAACCAAATATTATTTTTTGCAATTTAATGAGTCAAGAATTTTGAAATATGATTGAAATTCCACCACATTTAAAAAAAAGTTTTCAACTAATTAGCTCCTCAACAAATAATTGAAATATGTTAAGTAAAGCATTCACATGCAGAGATAACCTGGAGTCTTGGACAATCCCATCAGATATATCATTGCTACACTTTAATTTAGCAATATTAAGGAGTAATCTATTACTGGGATATCAATTCAACTGAATTTCACTGTAAATAAAGCAGGCAATCACGTGACTTCTTACCTCTACAGCTTCAGAAAAGATAAAAAATCCAATGAAAAGTAAGAAAAGTCCATTCACAAATCCTGCTACAATTTCTGCACGCACATACCTAGTTAAAAAAATGAAAGGCTTGTAATCTATCATATATAATAATCTGATGTACATGTATACATTATTTCTGAAGAAAATGATAAAACAAGTCATTTTCAGAGGATTTTTTTTTCAAGTGAATCCAGAGTTTAATAACCAAAATTTTGGTGAGTCCCATCATTAAGATATAGATGTGGGTTCTCAGAATTTGAGTCCCACAGGATAAGCACCAGTACAGGACTTGTATATCCGAGTCAAAAAAAATCCCTGTAAAACTGAACATACATTTGCGAATGACAAAACTGAACACTAAGCACATATATGTGCATATCAAGAAGTATGTAATCTACTCATGAAAGCAACTAATTGCTTGCTCAGCTCATATCTGGCCACAATCATATGTAGCAGTTGTGACCATTTTACACCAATAGCATACTTTGTATCTGCAAAATCTGTATTCTTGTTCTGTGTCTTTATCATTAGAAACACTTTGCAATAAAAGCCCACCACAGAAGAATGTGAGCCCTAAAATTTCTTCAACAACACATCTTATGATCATGCATGTTTACCCATATGAATATGCTTCTGTTGCTTTCCATCTTGATATAACTGAGGCTGCTAGACCAGCTAACAGGGCTGTACAGTCAAAAAACATGTGGAAGGAATCGGAAATGAGGCCCAAGCTGTAGGGAAAAAAATGAAATTGCTAAATCAGTTCTAGTTGTATAAGCAAGTCTCAAGACAGTTGGGAAATTTTGTAGATTGAGGTCACAAACATTTAAGACATACAAAGTCTATCGACTATATTGTAGGCTTAAAGGAGTGGGTTTTTTTAACAACAAATGCATCAGTTGATTTTGCTGATTTATAACAAATATAAGATGTGTTATGAAACAGTATGTGTGTAGCCTGTTTAATGAAAAACTGCTTTCAAAAACAAATCTTCTCTAAATCAAACCCAAAAAGTCATATAATAATAAATTTTATTCACTTTACAAATTGCAGAAATCAACTATAATGTCAATCAATTAGTACTAAAGACTTACCTATTTGTCCAGATTCCATAAGTGAGTTCAACAAAAGCAAAAGAGAGATTCACCAACATGAAAAAAAATAGATTTCTTGACGTCCTGTCTGAGAATATTAATCTGAAATGACAAAAGATATATCTACACACTCTTTGTAAGGTGTAAGATGCTATATATGTGGATGTGATAGCATAAAGCATAAAGCTGATCAGTGCAACATACCTGTAGATATATCACACTGACATGCAGCCTGGGAAGAAAATTGAAGGAGCTTACCCACTAGTTATTGATATTAGTACTTATTGATTATTTTTTTTGTTCAATATCAGATCATGGTACCTGCTCAATTTTAATAGTATACATATTTATCACTGTGTATAATGTGTGACATGTTTGGTTCGAATTCATGATAGTTTACATTAAGTATGCATGATGCAGGACATATGCCTGGATTTATCATCAGTGCCAGATTTACAAACGTATGATCCCTAGGGAATAGATACTTTTAATATACAGACTTTTGGGTTCTACATAGGTACAACATGGAAAGAAAACAAGAACCAACAAAGATTTTATCTAAAGTCCTCTGAATTCCCGAGAGCTGTCTTATGTTTTTCACAACGGCTTTTTGTATGAGAAATTTTCATGGGCCTGAAATTTTGTCATAACTGCCATCTTTCTCCTTTCAGTTGAGTTTCATGATTTTCACTTCCCAGTCCCACTTCCCAATCGTATCAATCAAAATCGTGCCAATCTCCTGAGTTCAGAGATCCCGCTAAGTAGGTCATAAGTAACCTTGCTGTATTTGTCAAATAGGTAAAGTTGACCATCTGGCCACATAATCAAGACTTAGTTAGATGAATACACAACCCAACTAATTAGCAACATCCAAGCTAATCTTTACTGACCAGTAGACATGGGAGCACACATCTGTAACTGTCCTACTGTTCCCTACCTTATTAACAATAGACCATTGGTCAGGACTCAAGAGCAGGCTGTGGTCAGTTAAGTCATTACACAGATGATTAAGTAGTCATTACCGTGTATATACTACCTATTTGGCCAAATAACAAATTCAACACGAAAATAGTTTTAAAAATTATTCTTATGATGTAACAATGTGCAGGCGTTCCCTAATCAATATTAATAAATTATCCATGTCAGTCCTCAAAAAGACTACTTAGCTGCCTAGCTGCCTTCCTGAGTAAAAAATCAGATTAAAGAAACATTTCACTCACTGAAAAGTTGACTGAAATAACAAGCACATTGGGTAATGGTTAAACAGGAAGTAGCTACACTTTTGCAATAGAGGACTGGATCTTGACCATAGTTCCAGATTTTTATTTCATAAAAATATGTTTCACAGTAAATACAAAATTTGAAAATATCAAGCACTGAAGCATTCTGAAATTCATGACAAAAAAATCATTGATCTTTTTGTTTGGTTGGTTTCTCTAGAATTTCAATAAAATGAGAGCTTAAAATTTCATGAGATGATCAGTGTTATTTTTCCTTATTTCAAGTAAATAAATTATTTCAGAAGCTGCTTATTTGGAAATATATATATTGCTACCAAAAATCAAATATATAATCATAAATCTTGTAACTGTTACATTGCCTGAGTTCAATGAATACAGAGAATTTTTAAAATATTGTTTTATAGAAAATCTCCATTTAATAAATTCTGACTTCATCCTGTTGTTCGATAATTTTTTTAGTATAGATGCATTTGCACATCATTAACTTAATGTTATCTAAAGGTATTGATTAATAATACATCAATTATTTTTCCTATGTGACGTGCAAGGTATCATGTCGAGTCAAAAATGTTGTTCACACATTTTTCCCCCCATGAGAATTTTGTAAAAGTTGGCAGGTATGTCTAATGGTTTTAAAAAATCACTATAAAATCTAGTTGTGTAAGAAATGTGTAATGGTGGAAACGATGAAGTTAGGGTATGAATAAAATGAGACGTGTTTTCAATAGCAAATTAAGTAAAGGGAACTTCAATGGCGATATGCAATGCCAGTGTGGACAGTCACATATGTATAGTAAATCTATAAGTGGTATAGTTTGATGCACATCGGCCTCGACAAAACTGGCCAATGGTTCTGATATCGCAACATTTACAAAGTTGTAGTTATAATTATAATACTGTCTGCTCTTTTTACCGCAGTTGGTACATCTTTATAAGGGGCATCATTGCACCATATTGTAGAATATTACGATTGTTTATGAAAAATAATATTGTCAGCCGATTGTTTATCCTATAAATCTCGATACGCCTTACACTTTACCTCAGCCATCCTGCTGCTTTCTGTCTGATCTTCGACCCAGCAGAGTATTCTTTGTCGCCTTGATGTAAAGGCAACATGTTTGCTGATTATGAATGCCGGTTAAGTATCACCGAACTTGCCTAACAGACACATCCGTTCATCTTCCTGACAGATGAGCAACGTGGGCAAATTCATATATTTTGATTAGTTTCGTATTATGTTAGTTCCATAAATTTAACCACTCATTTCGAAATATAGATAACAATTCTGGAGACTGAAATCGTCCTTGAGCTTTAGTACTCTTAGTATCAATACATTATCTATAAATTCAATAATATCTTATCGGTATTCGAAACTAGGTAAAAATATAATCACAAATAGCTCTGCTTGAAAATTCCAAGATGGAATAGACGTGGGTGTCGTTCGGAGATAGTTACAGCTGAACTACAGATGGAATTTTAGTGTTCTACTGTGTAATAAGGAGTTTCTGATGACGTGACTCTCTAAATGCATGGTCTATGATATATTTATCTGGTCTGAATCAATTTCAATGACTGTTAAACGATGCAACGGTTATTTTTCGCCACTTCTTTGCGACGTCCTGGTCGATTATACAAACACCTTGTCCAGTCTTTCAGGGACATACAGCATGACAGCTCATTTTTCAACGTTAAACGCGTGGCACTTGTTTCGAAGATGACTAGATATGATTTTTTAAAGTCAACATACAAAGATTTAAGTGAAGGAGAATTAAAGAAACATGTAAGGATTCAATACTATTTCTTAGCGTGTTATGAAGCTTGACGTGTTTTGATGTTTGTTAGTTTACCTGTTGGTCCTGTACGTTGTTGTATACCTTGCTCCCATTTGAAAACATGGTTACTTACTTGGATTGACTTGGCGGATGTCATCAATGAAGCAGATGACGCTTACTCTTTCTCTTCATATTTTGCTCCCCCCCCCCCCGACTTTTAATTTGAGTTCGGAGTTGTGTATTTGTGCAACACCTATTTGGTAGAAAATGAATAGGTAGATAAAATTTACAGGAATGATTTGTGAGTGCTATAGAAGTCTTGTTATCGGATGTCCAATGTTGTACTTATTTTTCTCATTCCGCTGTTTATATATAAAGATATGCAATTTGTTGATATTTATCAACTGAAACCAATTTATTTGTAATAATTTAAAAAAGTTATGTCAGCTAGATTTTTATTAGATTGAATACTGATTACATATGTATATATTATGTGTTTTGGACATTTAAAATAAAATTCTTCATCATTTTTTTTCAGTTGGATAACATACGGTCTGATTATGAGTCTCTTCACCAGCTTCATCTGAACCATTACAAATGTGTTGACTTGATCAACAGAACTTTAAAGTAAGTTTAAGGAATTTGATTTTTTAACACTTCATATTTGAAATGCATGAATTCAGCATTACATGTTACCTGGTACTGTATAAGTAAATTTCCATTTTTTCGAAAAAGAATTTGAACAAAATTTCTTGGAGGGAAATCCTCTGAATAGGTTTTTTTAAAATCTGATTGTATTGTTGTTAGCAATCTGATATTTGTTTTGTGTCTCAAATGCCTGGAGAATCACTCTTCTTTTTTGCAGGTTTTGTATAACTGCATATTACAGACATTTTGAAAATATTTTGGAGTACATAGACACTTTTAGATATTTTGATATAAACTTTTTGTTATTAGTCCCCGACAGTAAACTAGTAGGGGTAGGGGAGGCTACTGTGGATTTGTATGTGTCTGTCCCCACCCTCTGCTGTCTTGTATTTGCTCTATTTCTTACACTACTTTCCACTGGAACTTCATTCTTTGGGTAAACGTTAACATTGGCGAGGCAGTGTGCCATGTATCAGGGTAGGTCACTCTGATATACATTTTGCCTTTTGAATTTCATCAAAGAAAAAGTTTGTCTGGGTTTTCATCCCCTACACCTCTTGTCACTGGAACATCATACTTGGGGTATATGTTCACTATTGCATTTGGCATAAAATTTCCCATTTTATGGCCAAATTGTCGTTATGAAGTAAAATTAAGATGTGGAAATATTACAGTAGTTAAGTTTTCTCATATTGTAAGTTATTACATAATATAACTGATACAATGTCTCAAGTATATGTTTGACAGACAGATGATAACATGTTTGAATTTTATTAATTTATAGAGATCATGGTATAGAGACAAAGGTTGTGAACCGATTCCAGTACTCTGATGAGGTTGTAGACTGGGCGGATCTAATTGTTACTGCTGGCGGTGACGGTACATATCTTTTGGCTGCCAGTAAGATCAAAGTCAATGACAAACCAGTCATTGGAATTAACACAGATCCTAAGAGGTTAGTATCAGCAAAGGATTTTACTCCACCATCATCACCTGCGTTAGTGATCCATGTTCCATCATTCGACTTGACATTCATCTGTCCTTAAGCAATTCTTGTTATCACTATTACTTGAAAAGTGCTTCATAGATCTTTTTAAAATTTCTTATTTAGATTTCCCTTGATTCCTAGTTTATGTACTGTCACATTTTTGGACTGATCTGAAAAACAACATGGCTGACAGGCAGCCATCTTGGATTTTTACAGTAAAATTTGTTATTGCTATTTCTGGAGAAGTACTGAATGGATCTTTTTCTATTGGTCCCTTGTTGTGTCCATTTGACTTCGGGATCTTGACTATCTCAGGGTCTTCTTCCTGATGAAGACCCTGCAATGAGGTTGAAACTAGTAGAGTAGTAAAGTTTAAACCAATTGCTAACGCTTGAGTATATTGCGGTTATTATTCCCTCTCCATAATGTATTAATAAGATATACATGTAAAACTATCTATATAATGTAGCAACAGACTTTCTCTACTATACATTGTGTCTTTGATAAATTACTCAATCAAATAATTCTGATACAAATGATATTTATGTAAAAGAAATTTTCTTACATTCATTTTATAAAACTGAAAAGAAAATAAATTTTACAGATCTGAGGGGTATTTGTGTCTCTCAAAAAAGCATTTTCCTGCAGAAAACTTTGGACAAGCTGTGAAACGAATCCTTGAAGGGAAATTTCGGTAAGTACAACCACTAAACTATATCTAACCCTTAATCATTATCTGTAGTAAATTGATTAAAGAATAAGTCTTTGTGGAAGAATATGTATAATTATGTAATAAAACACACAAGTATGTTGTTTTAGGTTATTGTAATGAATTGTAAAATTAAGTCTTAAAGGGTTGAAATGCCTGGGATATTTGACAAATATTTTTCCTTGTCTGCACTAGTGTTATTACTTCTTCAATTAAATGCACTTTCTATTATGTAACCACTAATTGATATGTAACAAAGAACCAATGGTTAAGTTATGAATGCATAAGTAACAACAACAGTAATGACAATACCTGGCCAAGTATGAAGTAGTGGGTGGGTACACAGTGCATTTGACAATATATCAGATTAAAGAGAGTTGGAACGCTTCAAAACAATTTTCAAAAAGTGTTGATATTATTTTAGAAAAGTGATGTTAAAAATAATGAAAAGAAAAGAAAAAAAAAACCTATCTGATTGGAACAGCAATTTAGATTTTCAGCACTTTGTTACTGTGTTTCCAACATTTGCTTGACTTTAATGTTAGAGGATAGCTATTAGTCGATACTTACATGATGTAAAAAGCCTAATTTGATAATGTAAGATTTTCTTTTGGAATGACATCATCTTAAGTTATTGGATTACAATGATACACTGATGATTACATGATCATTCCTTTGTTTTTAATCATATTTCAGATGGAAGTGGCGTCAGCGGATCCGGGTGACAATGTCTGGTTTCCATCAGAATGACGAGCCTATTGCCATACACAATCAGCAACTTTTGTACCCTGAACACCGGTTTGAGGAGCACATCAGAGAAGCTGAGTCACATTTTGGGGAGGAACTGGAGCAGAGGTTACACATTCACGAAATGCCGCCTCGAGTACTACCCGTCTTAGCTTTAAATGAAGTGTTTATCGGTGAGGCTCTGTCAGCAAGGCAAGTATAAACATCCAGAAAGATTTCAAACAACACTAACCAACATCCATTATCATGTAGTCATGGGAATAGCTATAAGGAGTCATTGAAAATATTCCTCAAAGTCATAATGCAAACTTTATATATATACATATTTGACATTGATAAATTCTTTGAGTATTTGAAGTCAGAATGTACTGTGGGAGAGAATGAGTATCAGAAGTCAGTATGTACTCTGAGAGAGAATGAGTATTGGCAGTCAGTATGTACTCTGGGAGAGAATGAGTATCGAAAGTCAGTACGTACTCTGGGAGAGGATGAGTATCGTAAGTCAGTATGTACTCTGGGAGAGAATGAGTATCGTAAGTCAGTATGTACTCTGGGAGAGAATGAGTATCGTAAGTCAGTATGTACTCTGGGAGAGAATGAGTATCAGAAGTCAGTATGTACTCTGGGAGAGAATGAGTATCGTAAGTCAGTATGTACTCTGGGAGAGGATGAGTATCGTAAGTCAGTATGTACTCTGGGAGAGAATGAGTATTGGAAGTCAGTATGTACTCTGGGAGAGAATGGGTATCGGAAGTCAGTATGTACTCTGGGAGAGAATGAGTATCAGAAGTCAGTACGTATTCTGGGAGAGAAAAAAGTCAGTATGTACTCTGCAAAGTACTCAGAGATTTTAAACTTAAGAGAATCATCATATGTACTCTGGGAGAGAATAACAGAGAATGTACTTCAGTACGTATTCTGGGAGAGAAAAAATGTATTGCAAAGTACCAAATTTTAAACTTAATCATCATGCATAACAGTGTACTTGACCAAGGAACATCTGCATTCTAAGTTGTAGTGATAAAAAGGGTTTTAGACAATATCTTCATACAATATACATGTAGGTGAAAATGGGAAATATAGACTGAAGTCATACATTGTATACATTGGTTGACCATTAATGATTATATTATACAAAATTTGAAGGTCCAGCACCAGTATGTTTTAATGAAAGGAGGATGTTATGAAAGAGCTCTTCATGTTATAAGGACTTACATTATATTCATGCAGTTTAGGTCAAAAGTTGATACTTAGAAGAATAAAAATCATATACTTTGTGTTTTGCATGATAACCAACCTCGCTAAAATATTTTGAAAACAAAAGTTGACATTTCTACTCCAATTTTGCCTCAGAAAAGGTCAGTTCAAAGTAGTTGAAAATGAATATTAGTGGATTTGCCTAAAAAAAGGTTGGTTTAAAACATGGAACAAATTTGAGGTAATTGGAGATAACTTGCACTTCAACTAAATAATATCAATTTTATACCTGAAAAGGATATACATGCAAACAAAATCTAATACAGATATTGATTAACAAACAGATCTAAATATTAAGACTGAGTATGACATATAAAGTTACCATATTCATTTATAACATACCACTTCTTCTTAACAAGAAGTGTGATATACAAGTGTTCAATATCTTAAAGAAATTAGTTTGGATGAAACCACTATCACACTATACTGTAGACATTGGTAATACTTTGTTTACATACACTGGGCTACAGGTCTTGTTTAAAATTGTGAAACTAATAATTTGAATAGACAAAACGGTGGATATTTATTGTTCTTACTTAACTGCACTGTAGCTATAGGGTGAAATACAATGTTGGTGTTTCAGAGTATCATACTATGAAATCAAAAGAGATGAAGAACCCAGTATAAAACAGAAGAGTTCTGGGATCACTATATGTACAGGAACTGGTTCTACATCCTGGTTTTTCCACATAAACCACCTACCAACAGAGGCTGTGAAAGATATACTAGGAATAAGTAATATTTTTCTTCTACTCTCTACAGTCAAAAACATACTTAAACAGATCTTTTCTGTCTAGCTGTCAAAAATATGCTTATGATAATCTATTATTTTCCGATCTTCTTTAAGTTGTCCAAGCTGATTTGTAGGAGAAATTAACTGCTCAGTCAATCTCGTATCTTAAGGATACCCTGGATTCAACTGGAAAGATGTTTCATGTTATATCCTTTAGACTTTAGTGAGTGGTAATATCATCCCCTGCCTATTTCAGGAAAAATATTGAACATGTAAGATATTTGACGTATTGTTGGTTGATGAATATGTAACTGTACAAGCTTTTGCACTTCATACATACTTCAGGTTGGTTTTTCGCTTGGGAGCTGTTAGATGTTGCATTGAATTGGTCAGTTTTCATTGAAGAAGGGATTTATTATATATTTACAGTTTATGTGCTTCAGTGGCAAAATGATGCCTTGGTTAAACTTAGATATTCAAGTTTTCACACCAAAAAATGCGAAATTTGCACATGGGAAAGCTTGAAATTTGAATCGACATAGTTATGCTTTTAAGAAATTCTGTTATTAACAAATGTAATGTTTATCAGTTTATTTTTTTGTTTACAGCAAATCGCCTTACTAACTGCCAAGTAGATTTAACAGATCAAAAGCTGATGTGTAAGGTTGCTTCAGAATTTAATAGCTCTCTCAAATTTCCTCCTGATGAACCAAGGATGGCATACACAGTGCGTGATCCGATTGTAAACGGTAGGTGTACACAGAGATCAACAGTACAACAGTCAATTTTATAATGACATCCTGATTAAAAGTAAGGATGATTTAAAGTTCATTGTTTTAATTTTATTTTTTTAATTTACAGATATTAACCTTATTTCCTGTACAATCAAAACAAATAGTAAAATCAAAGTACATAATTCACTACATGTATTCTAGTCATTGGTTTCAATACACTGCTAATTCAGACATACTGTAAACCAATTTTTTTTCGCAATCTTTACTGCTCTTTATTTTTTAAGGACAATACCATGAAATCTTGAAAATCAACAAGCTAACACTCTATTATTCCTTGTTTGTGTTTTCCAGTCTTTTGAGGAAAATTATCTTGCAGTTTCAAATTATAACACTTGTTGTTTTCAGTTTCATTTCCTTTTCTTTCTCCATCAAGTTCCTGGTACATGAACAAGAATCTGAATCATTCTATTCCTTTCTCCTCACCCCTTCGCCTCATCTCTCCTCAACCTCTTTTATCCTCTACTCTCTCCTACTACTAAAACTACTAAATCTACTTCACTGAATTCTCTAATTCTATTGGCTAATTCTGTCTTTAGAAGGTGGGTCTACATTTGTCTGTTTGAAGTCTGTATATGACTAATTCCCTGTTTAAGGTCCATGATTAAACTTACTAATGAATTATACTCAATGGTCCTTACATCCGCTTATCATTGTCCTTCATCCCCTCCCACAGACATTCCCACACACCCTGATTCCTTTAAGTTCTAACCGCCATTTTGTCCTGGTTATCTCCTATATTAAGAATTACTTCCTTGTTTTAATTGTCTTCTTTTAATTCTGATCTTTTTCACTACCATATCTTCCATGTCTCATAGCCATGAAAGAAATTTGTTGATTTCTTGCAGGGAAAAATATTTTCATAGCTGTCTTTAATTGTTTTGGCGTCAAGTTGATATATTTGTAGCAATCAAGCATCATGGAGACAGAAAAATCACAAATGTATATCAGTTTACGGTATTCTGTTACATTTTTAATTAGTCATGATTAAATTTGTTTCAGGTGTATTTGATGCTATACGACAACAGAGAGGCTTTGCTACAAGGTATGTTTGTTATAGTCATTTATAATGAATATATAGAGTCATTACAGGATAGTGATGTCGTGTTGGCAAAACTGATCAGTTATGTGGAAGACTTTTGTAAAGCAGCATTCCTATACATATGTATGGTTTACAGTAAATGAACAGAAAATAGCAAAAAAGGGGAAGGCAAACATGACATATATCCTTTTTAATGGAAGCTGTTTTACCATATATTTTAGTTAAAGTGCACTGTATGGCTGTATTTTTATCTCATTTCACTGTGTATATACTGTATGACTAATGGGCTTAATCAGTTCTGTGTATACTGTATGACTAATGGGCTTAATCAGTTCTGTGTATACTGTATGACTAATTGACTAAATCAGCTGTGTTTATACTTTATAACTAATGGACTAAAACAGTTGTGTGTATACTGTATGACTAATTGATTAAATCAGCTGAGTATATACTGTATGAATAATGGACTAAATCAGCTGTGTGTATACTTTATAACTAATGGACTGAAACAGCTGTATGTAAACTTTATGATTAATGGACTAAATCAGCTGTGTGTATACTGTATGACTAATTGACTACCTCAGCTCTGTGTATACTGTATGACTAATTGATTAACTCAGCTGTATGTATACTTTATGACTAATTGACTAACTCTGCTGTGTGCACCGCATAACTGTATGACTTCAGCTTTTCTGTAGCTGGTGTTTTTGTGGCTTCTGCAGTGATGTGTATGTATTGTGAAAGATGCTATACTTTGTCTACTGACCTGGTACTGTACTGTGTGTACTGTACTGTGTCTACTGTACCTGGTACTGTACTATGTCTACTGTACCTGATGTTGTACTGTGTCTACTGTACCTGGTACTGTACTGTGTCTACTGTACCTGGTGTTGTACTATATGTCTGCTGTACCTGGTGTTGTACATTGTCTACTGTACCTGGTGCTGCACTGTGTCTACTGTACCTGGTGTTGTACTGTGTCTACTGTACCTGGTGGTGTACTGTGTCTACTGTACCTGGTGCTGTACTGTATGTCTACTGTACCTGGTGCTGTACTGTGTCTACTGTATCTGGTGCTGTACTGTGTTTACTGTACCTGGTGTTGTACTGTGTCTAGTGTACCTGGTGCTGTACTGTATGTCTACTGTACCTGGTGTTGTACTGTGTCTACTGTACCTGGTGTTGTACTGTGTCTACTGTACCTGGTGCTGTACTGTGTCTACTGTACCTGGTGGTGTACTGTGTCTACTGTACCTGGTGGTGTACTGTGTCTACTGTACCTGGTGCTGTACTGTATGTCTACTGTACCTGGTGCTGTACTGTGTCTACTGTATCTGGTGCTGTACTGTGTTTACTGTACCTGGTGTTGTACTGTGTCTAGTGTACCTGGTGCTGTACTGTATGTCTACTGTACCTGGTGCTGTACTGTGACTACTGTACCTGGTGTTGTACTATGTCTACTGTACCTGGTGTTGTACTGTGACTACTGTACCTAGTGCTGTACTGTGTCTACTGTACCTGGTGTTGTACTGTGTCTACTGTACCTGGTGCTGTACTGTATGTCTACTGTACCTGGTGCATACTGTACTGTGTCTACTCTACCTGGTGCTGTACTGTGTCTACTGTACCTGGTGCTGTACTATGTCTACTGTACCTGGTGTTGTACTGTGTCTACTGTACCTGGTGCTGTACTGTATGTCTACTGTACCTGGTGCATACTGTACTGTGTCTACTGTACCTGGTGCTGTACTGTGTCTACTGTACCTGGTGCTGTACTATGTCTACTGTACCTGGTGTTGTACTGTGCCTACTGTACCTGGTGTTGTACTGTGTCTACTGTACCTGGTGCTGTACTGTATGTCTACTGTACCTGGTGTTGTACTGTGTCTACTGTACCTGGTGCTGTACTATGTCTACTGTACCTGGTGCTGTACTGTGTCTGCTGTACCTGGTGTTGTACTGTGTCTACTGTACCTGGTGCTGTACTGTGTCTACTGTACCTGGTGTTATTCTATGTCTACTGTACCTGGTGTTGTACTATGTCTACTGTACCTGGTGCTGTACTGTGTCTGCTGTACCTGGTGTTGTACTGTGTCTACTATACCTGGGGTTGTACTGTGTCTACTGTACCTGGTGTTGTACTGTGTTTACTCTACCTGGTGCTGTACTGTCTAACTACTGTACCTGGTGCTATACTAGTAAAGATGCTCTTTGTTGTCATTAGGATCAGGATCAACTCTCGGATGTGGGACGGCACACTTGTCATAGATGGAGATTCTTCCTTTCACTTTAATGATGGAGCTGTGGCTACCATGGAAATGTTGGAGTCTGATGCACTACTGACCATCACACTTGACTGAAGACAGAATAACATATTATTTAAAACTAAGTGATTTTTAAAGTATTTAAAATTCAATGTGCATGTGTCAATTTCAACTGAGATTGAAAACATCATTACATGTCTCATTGATAGCTTTATGTAGCTTTATGAAATTAAAGTGAAGTAATTATTGATGTGCTATGTTACCATGTTAATTCTGCTTGGCCTGTTAACCCAGTTGCTAAACACATTCTCCATGACGACATGTTCCAGAATTACAGATCAGTGGATGTTAAGTCCTCCATTTTTATTTACCTCCTAGATTACAATTCAATGTTATATTATGTGAAGTGCCAAAACTAGAACATACACCTCTAGAGCTCTATATTTAAAAGTATAGATTTTTTACATACTTTGTTCACTATATGCCACTCACTGCTTAAGTACTGACAATCAGCAATGTGCCAGTAAAGAACAGAATAGTAATATTATTTATTTCATAGTAGTATTTGCTTCTTCTTGAGAAGTGAGTTAACAAAACGTCTAGCATAACTTTTTTTATTCAAATCAGAGCATTTGAAGAAGAGCAATATTAAATTGTCTGCAGAAATTCATATTAAATTGCCAACAGATAAATATTTGGTTCAAATTATTTTGATTATCTATAAAAAAATTAATGTAAGGTCTTGGGCTCATCAACATCAAACTGATTTGAAAGATTCCAAAGAACTTCAGTGTATTTCTGACTCTTGAGCACTCTGGCCTACAGGTGACCTCTTCCTTTCATTAAGTTGTCTAACTTCAAAATGAAATTTCCTAAACATGAGCACTCTGTTGTATTGATATTTGGCTGCAGATCACACAATTTATGTTGAGACAGGTGAACAATTTTTAGCCTCTTTCATACAAAGATGCCTACTTGCCTCTTGCTCAGTCCTGTTTAAAACCCAGCAGGTGAGGACGCAGTAATATTAAATCAACGTCTAAATGAAACAATTACCATTAAATATTGTAATTATCACCCAACCGCTTTGCAGTCATGAAGGGGAAATTGGATATAACTTTTCATATCTTATAGATGTTGTTTTTATACTACATACACTCACAATTACTGTGGCTTTCACAAGTTTGCATCTTGTTCTCTTAGGATCAAATTTATGGGCACTGTTACCTTTAGTAGAATTATCAACACCAACTGAATTTAGAAGGAAATATTGAATCTGTTGAAATCTTCTTGTAAATGATATAGAAATGAAATGTATTCATGTCCATCAAAACATGTTCATATTTCTGTCAAGTTCCTGCTGTAAGTCAACATCATTTTGTCTTTGATACTTATTTACGCAGAAATTGTCATCAAAAAAATTTATATTAAATATTAAATCACCATCAAAAAATCTGTATGACATAATCTACGTAAGAAATACTACCATTAGGTAATTCTATTAGATTATTAAATATATTGTAAACTCACAATCATAATAGTGTTATAAATAAACAACATGACATTGGCATAAGATCGTACTGAAGTGCATGAAAAATTATCACATCAGAAAATCAGACAAAATAATTACAGAAAATTTTCGATATTTCTAATAGTTTGATAACATTTACTCAAGATTCTTTATTTACTTTTCATTTTCAATCCTTGTATACAGTCGTTTTAAGCTGCGTGTCGATTGATAACTTGTCTTGTGTCATTATAGCACATGATGTTTCAAATTAAGTTTGATTTCTGGTCCTTCTATACCCATAGTAATTCTAACACCGTTCAGCAATGGGGAGACCTATCATATAGCTATGTGCCGATTAAGTACAACAGGTTTTACTTGTGTTTTTTTTTTTTTTTAATTTTTCAGGTTCATTTTCTTTTATAATGATGTGTGTAATACAATATTAAAAGTATTCAAGTCTTACAATTATTTACTTGTGTTTCTAGTTTCCAATTTCTAAGTATTTGACAACCATTTCAAGATCATTGCAATATTTAACAAAAAAAGATGCAAAATAATTCCCTTACCACTTTTTAGAGGGTGAAACCAGAAACAATTAAAAGAATTTTTAACCCATAATTAAATCTCAGAAGCTATTGAGTGATGCATAATCTATGTGAAACACACAATTTGAAATAGACATCTACTGTAAGTACACATATTATAGACTTGACTTTGTTTTTTTAACATTTTTGTGTGATTTTCACTTTTTGTAAGTAAGATATAACAGGTTTTATAAATTTTTTAAAAATTATTTTGTTTTTTCTGATCATGAAAGTCAATGCACTTGTTCCTTGTTAAATAAGACATGCCTTAATCAGAGACATGCATCACTTGTTGCTGTAAACTTCTTCATTCTTAAAATAATCATTGATCACCATACATTGCTTTCTTCAGGCAGTTTTAACTTGTAGTGTTATACAAGTACTGTTTGACAGTGTTTAAGGCATAATGATTTTGTTAAAGAACTAATGTACATAAAATAGTGGTTGAAGTTACTTGTGACTACTATGTACATGGAAACTTTCATTGCAGGACAACTTTTACCTATTTTGTCCTTTTATGGTAAAAGACAAAAATGAAGGATTGGCTAAACTTTTGTATATACCTCAGGTAAATTCAGTGATGGACAAAAAAGATATTGTTTATGTGCAGGTGAAAGAAAACTGTGGAGGAATGTTTTCTTGTACATAGTACCAGGTATACACAATTGTAGATGATACTTCAGGAATATCGTATATCATCTTTTAAAATTATTTAAATATTTTTTTTTGTTTTATTTCCAATTATTCCTACATTAAAGACCTCTACTTGATATAGAGTGTACTTAAAAGAGGGGAGTTGAGTGTGTTGGTTTCTGTAGTACACATGTTTTTGTGTATACGTGAGTGTATCATTGATAAATATTTTAAGGCAATGACAATTCAGTTGGTAGAGTGTTGGCCTATGTATACTTTTTTAGTGAGGTAGCAATCAACAAGGTATTGTAAGGAGATCCTGCCTCAAAATGATTCTGGTGTTCATGTAATGATAAACCAAGTAAGCGATCTGAATATTTCTGAACCATATAGTTCCTTTGCATTTACTAATTTATCTCAGAAATTGTGTCCCATGACAAGACTTTAAAGTTGTAGACCCTGGAGATTTCAGTGGACTTTTATTTTTGAGGATAAAGAAACTCATTAAAAACAGATACATGTACAATAAGATGAAATAAATAAGGAAACATGGCACATAAAAATGAAAAGTGCAAGTTAAAAAATGTTGAAATAGTTTTTGTTTCAGTTTTAAAGGCAATTAATAGCAAACTCTAAGGTATGGTATTCATAACAGTTTTTGTGAGAAGAAAGCAATTAAAACATTAAAAAAAGATAAATAAATAAGATAAAATCAGTATGTAATAATTATTACAGTATTGATTATTGAAAAAGTAAAAGTATTTATAAAACCAGCGTCTGTGTCTACTTTATATGAAACAGATGTCAGGTTCTGTGGTGTAAGGTCAGTATAAATATGTATATTAAAAACATCAGGATTATTTTAGTGAAAATATTTTTCTATTGCCATACAGGACTCCAGAAGTCAATGTCTGAATGGAAAGTAAAATTAAATGTAGCTGGCTACACAAGAAAATAAAATACAATTATATATGTTTTGTAAGTTACTGATCAGGAACAAAGATGAACATTGTTATAGGATAAATCTATCCAAAATTCCTTTTTTCCAGGACAGGTTTTTGAGAAAAGGAGTCATAGGTTTGATTCCTGTGTGTCACTCAGATCTATAATTGTCAGTTTTCCTGTAATACTGATTTAGGGCATTACATGTATTTATCCTGCAACAGGTGCTGCCATTGTCTGAATACGCCTGCCACATTTATTTTTTCCGTAATCAGCATTGACAGAAAACAGCTGAGAATGTGCATGAATTTGACGGAATTAATTTCTGAATTAACTTGAAAAATATGTTTTACAATATAAATAACTATTGAAATAAGTGATTTTTTGTGTTGTAATGAACAAGTTTATTTACAAAAGTTTATAAAATTGCTGTCATACACGTTGAAGTTTGGAACTATATTTCTGCATGGAACAATTATTTTGGCATACATCATAAGACAAAATTTACCATAACGTTGACGTCAGGTTAACAGATGGAACAAAAAACTGTTGGAGTTTTGATGGTCTCATTTTCAGTCAATGTTGCAGGATAAAAAGAATACATTGTCAGTGCCTTAGAATATATAAGCTGCATTTTGGCTCAGGACAGAAAGGCAAAAGTGTCTTTCTTCAACCTCGCCAAAATACAGCTTATATTTTAAGACATTGACCATGTATTCTCTATGTCTGTGTACTTATAAACAGGACAATGAACATTATTCTGACAATTTCCAGTGAGCTCACAGGGTGAGACATGTATGTACAAGTATGTCCGAGTATATGACAGTGTGTGTGTGTTTGTGTGGTCTGTGATTGTTTTTACCCAGAGTCATTGTTTTTGACATTTTTGTAATACACATGTACTAAAGAACATAAAACATTTTACAAGTTTCAGTGATGTTTATTTCTGTTTAGATCATCTGACTGGGATTTAGGGCCTGAAATGATCATGAGAAAGTCCTGACCCAGGTGCTGTGTTTTAAGGGTCAGTCTGAAATCAAATATGGCTGCCATAGCCACCATCTTGATAAACACATTCGAAAATTCTTCTTGAGTTCCACTGGTGCCATTAAGATGAAATTTGGTAGGAATGTTAAGGAAGGCAGTCTATCAAGATGTCATTATTTTTCAGCCTTGTCAAAAGTTGTCAAATGGCTACAATGGTGTTCATTCCGTGACAAGATCATGCAATCATGGTTTCCTTGGCCACACATATTTTAAACTTTTTCTCAAGTTTCATGGGTGGGATTCAGCTGAAACTTGCCTAAAATGATAATGAGATAGTCCTAACCAAAAATCATCATTTTTTGTTCGTCATCAGTCCAGTATTGCAATCATCTTGAAAACAGATTTGAAACTTGAAAAGTTCTATCAGTGAGATTGAGCTGAAAGTTTCCTTAAATGCTCCTGAGATGGTCCTGTCCAATTGATGTTATTTTTTTTTTTTTTTTTTTTATCAGACTGAAATCAAGTATGGCCATCACCTTGCAAAACACATTTCAAAAATTTCTAATTTTAACTGCTTCCCTTGAGCTAAAAATATGCTGTTAAACTGATATAAAGATTTGATTACTATTCCTACTACTGTTATATAGTTCTTCATTGTCAGATGACTGTTGGGACCCATGGGCCTCTTGTTTAATTTGATGTCATATTTCACAACTTGATCGATTGTTAAAGATATGCTCAAAATGGAAGACAGCAGAACTGACAGAACATGGGGTATAAAGCATTAACAGGATGAGGGCAGTACAACTGACACGCTTGAGTGAGAAAGAAGTACAACATAATGGATTGTTAAAAATATGCTCAAAATGGAAGACAGCAGAATTGACAGAACATGGGGTATATAGCATTGACAGGATGAGGGCAGTACAACCGACACGCTTCAGTAAGAAAAAGAAGTACTGAAAGTAGCATGATGGGGAGTGTGATACTGACAGGATTGAGAGACAGTAGTATTAAAATAATGGGAGACAGTAGAACTGACAGAATGGGGGACAGTAGTACTGACAGGATGGGTAACAGTACTTACAGGATGGGTAACAGTAGTGCTGACAGGATGGGTAACAGTAGTACTGACAGGATGGGTAACAGTATTACTTACAGGATGGGTAACAGTTGTACTGACAGGATGGAGAACAGTAGTACTGACAGGATGGAGAACAGTAATACTGACAGGATGGAGAACAGTAGTACTGACAGGATGGGTAACAGTAGTACTGACAGGATGGGTAACAGTAGTACTGACAGGATGGAGAACAGTAGTACTGACAGGATGGGTAACAGTAGTACTGACAGGATGGAGAACAGTAGTAATGACAGGATGGGTAACAGTAGTATTTTTATAACATTTACACATGTCTAGTACTAATGTGATTGGGTGACAACTGCAAAGATGTGTATTCTGTTAGAGAAAACAAGGTTTTGTAGATATTTTAACTAAGATTTTTTCAGATATGTCGTGCAACTTTTCACCTTGGCTTCATGAGTTTGATTCCAGGCATGTACATATAAAGGTACCAGGTCACCTGCCAGACCACGTGGGTTTTCCTTGGATACGTTTTGGTTTCCTCCCACAGTAAGACCCCTCATGCACTTTCATCTGGGCCAACGAGAGTGATCAACATAATCTGAAAGCTAGTTTCGTAATTGTTGTAAAAGGAATAAAGTTGATTATATAAATATATATATATATATATATCTTTTCAGACATTACATGACCTTTGAAGTAATAACGACAGCACCAACATTTGAATTGTCATTTTTCAAGGCAATCTTCATCTTTATCAAGACACAAAATATTACATAAGTGACATTACATATAGATAGAGCATTTATCAAACAAAGACAAAGTTACTAATTGTAATCGAGAACAGTAGTGTAAATTTATGTGTCTCAAATCCCTTCGGCTGATAGAAAAGGTCCTTAACAAGGAGCAAAATAATATCATCAGCAGTTGTATGGAAGATGTTGCTTCAAGTGAAAATAATATTAAATATATAAATGTAACAGTTTTAGTGATGTGACTTCAGTAGATTAAAAACTAAATTTGCACCACAAGTTTATAAATAATTCTGTTCTGCATCTTTGAAATAGAATATCAAACAAAAAATCCTACAGCTGATTCTCCTATGATATGAGGGAGTAAGATTTTGAGAAGCAGGCATGCTGCTGTTTAGCAATGGAAAATTCATACTGATGCTAGGAAATTCGAAACCTTCATGCTTATACAACTTGGTGGAAAACTGTCACTGTTGGTTACATTATTGAAAAAATCTAGAGATAAGCGACATAGATAGAAGAATCACACAAATCTTACAATATATACTGTGATAAACAATCTTGAAACTCAAATGATAAGATCGTGGATGTTCACTTCAATACATTCTCAAACTAACCTTATCACAGCATTGAACTGAAATGGCTGATTTTGTTCTTGATCTATACTTTAATGCAGCAAAAAATTGCTCAATTGAAGTCAAAATTTCTGTCAATTTGCAATGTAAATACAGCCACCTTTCTCTTTGACAATGTTGCTTAGAAACAAATAACACAAAAAGATGTTTTCTTTTCCATTTTGATTTCCTCCAATAATTCTTATGAATCGAGACCTGTTAGTTCAGCCCAATGCATATGGTGCCAGTTTAAAATGTATTTTACAAGATGGCGGCTATGGCGACCATATTTGTTTTTGGACTGACCCTTTCGAGCCAACATAGTTGGCAGTTAACAGAAATGGTATTTAATATAAGATTTTTATAAGCCTATATATTTCTGTCTTGATTAGAAATCATATTAGAAAAAATGGGCCCCAGCTTTATATCAAATTACCACTTTTTATGATCCATGGTTGAAAGCTAGGGGCATGTTATTTTTTTGCTGTTTGTCAATTGTCAACTTTAACCTTGCCCATAACTATTGCACCATAAGAGCTATGGCTTTTATATTTGTCATTTGTATGCCTGTGACAATGTATATGCAGTGGTACCAAAATGTTTAACCATGTGACCTTGCCCGTGACCTTTAACCTACATTTGAAAAAAAATGGCTGTAACTATAGCATCGTAAAAGACAGGGCTTTCATATTTGACATGCGTGTTTCTTGTGACATGATCTTTCCGGTGGTGCCACAATTTTTGACCATTTGCCTCGACCGTGACCTGTGACCTGTGACCTACATTTGAAAAAACTTCAACATTGGCGTTAACTATTGCACTGTAAGACAGAAGTGTTACACAAAGTGTGCATGCCATGAAGGTTGCTTTACATTATACAGTTTCAATATGTACCACTCCAGAATTTTGTTGCAACCGTTTCTTAAACACAAACATGTCTTGTTATTATTGTTTTCTCATCTCCCTTCGCTTAGGTACATGCTTACTTAAGCCGGCATACACAATATTTGTGTTGTAGTTCATTTGTTTTATTTATGATTATCAAAACCGTCGATAACTGTGTGTCTGGCCTTTGCAACATGATCAAATGCGACTTAAAAATTCTTGCCGACCGACTTTCCATGGTTTAAGCATGATTGATTACAATTTGGCTGTAGCGCCACCTTTCGGACACTAAGAGTTACTGAGCTCACCTGTGATATTGACACATGGAGACCTAGTCATGGAAACAGATAAGTGATGCATCATAAAATGTTTACGATCTTGAGCAAGCATTTGATTCGTTAAATAATAATAAGCTTTTAAAACGATTTCTTCTTTATAAACAAAAATAAATCGGTTGACTTGAGAGTATCGCACGGCATTCTGGGAAGGTGCGCCATATTTGTTGCTTCTGAAAGTAGAACAGAAGAAAGTATGTCAATAAAACTTCAAAATATCGAAAAAGTACGCGTTTTGGAAGTCTGACAACCCCTTTGCACGAGGAAGTAAGTACTACGAAGAATGAATTGTCATAAATTGACTTGTATTTGACGCGGAATACACCTTAAACTCTTTATAAGTCTTATGAAAACAACGACGATTTCGGACGTCCATGCAGAACGTTCAGCTGTTTGTGAAACCAGTACAACCTCAACCGAATTTCAGATGACGTTCGTGTGTTAAATACCGTTTTTGATGATTTGAGTACTTGAAGAACTTATATTATATGTGTTTGGTGTTAATATATAGGAATAAAATGTGATTGTCACCGAAGGAAGCTGTGAATTCAAGGCCAAGCAAGGGCAAGGACAGGCCATTTCAGAGGGCTGAAATCAACACGCCGACCAGACACACTGCACCTTGGTGTGGACTGGTACCAATTAAAACAGATGACTTGACAAAATTTAATTTACAGAGTAAAGTTTTTTTTTTATTTTTCTTATAAATCAATGGCAAATGTTAGCATGACAAAATGACATCATGAAATAGCAAGAAGAAAGAAGTGAGACATCAGCCTGTGTCACAACATTGTTTACATCCCCAGTTTGGTGTTACTGGAATGTACAGGGTTTATATTCTATGTACATGTTCTTTACATGAATGGATATTCTTATCATAGACTGACCCGTAGTCAATATTTGACATCAATCAAATTATGGGTCATTGGATGAATGCTGTACGTGAACTCTGACAGGCCGTAAACTTAAGCACTTTCACTTTTTCATTTTCTGGACCAAGCCAAATCATCATGCAATCATCATTACATTAGACAAATCAAGGGTTGTAAAACAATCACGTTTATGTATATATTTAGTGTCATTTGGTAAATACTGTCGCTGTTGGAAACGGAAATGTTGTAGGATATTCCAGGTGAGGGATACAAAATGTAAATAAATTAGAATTCATTTAGAGAAATGTGAATATAGTGCAGTTTCATCATTGAAGTTGCAAAAGTGCCTTATTTCTCTGAAAGAGACATTTATCAACAAACTTTGCAATAAATACCAAAACAGTGATCCTAGAGACTAGGACTTGATACAAGTCATCTAGCTCTCACTGCCAAGAGGACCCTTCAGCTTTTTCCGAAAGTACAGAACCTACAAACTTATTTCATTGCACATTAAAGGAAACCAACCACAGACTGGAATAGCTGGAAACTACTGGTGAGTTAATTATTGCTTCTTCATTAGCAAGAGAAGGTCTGAACAATTATTATGACTGTGAGGGGCTTATTGAGTTTATTTTATGGTTGATCGAATTTGAAGATCAGCTTTAAACATTGTAAATTGATTCCATGGGGAATTTCTTTTCCGGAGATTATTTAATCATTTGGAAATGTTAGATCCTATTTTTCGTTTTTGTCTTTGTTTTTATGGGGTTTTTTTGTTGATCATCGAAAACTTATTATCTTTAATATGCCTCAAACAGGTTGTGATCCTAAATTGTCATTAATGCCAAGACTCTTGATTTTGTTGGAAATAGTTGTATTTCTATCTAAAACCACAGACTTTCTGAATTAAGTGTTTTTTTAATACACTCCAGTTTTGGTTGTAATAGACAAGTTTTTTCAAAACAGTTAAGTTTTCTGAAGAATTTTGAAGTCTGGTTTTCAGACCATATGAAAATGACATTTTAAGGACACTTTAAGAACAATGAAAAAAATCTACATGATCTAAAAGAAAAGATATTTATAATGACCTAAAGGGGAGCAAATATCAATAATTAAAGGAAATTGACCCCAGAGTTGTATTATATTTGGCACAAGAGGTATGTAGGATAGCTAAGTTGGTATGATAAATATAAACTTTATTTTACAATTGTGAAACAAGTTATTTCAACTTAAACTAATCACTCTTGTTGGCCTGGATGTAAGCGGGCGAGGGGTCTTATTGTGGGAGGAAACCGAGAAATGTGGAGTACCTGGGAAAACCCACATGGTCACAGGGCTTGAAACCAACTTTTTCAACAATCAGTCTGACAGACTGGTAGAAAGCAAACTTTACCAGTCCGCAAGAAAATATGCCAGTCCGTGGAAAATAGTAACAATGACGACTTCAAAAGTTCTTAATATTATGCATTTTCTCACATCAACCACGCTGAGAAATTCCATTCGATGACATGCGCATGCACAGATGATTCAGTACATTCGCATCGCTTGATTCAGTATAGACGTACATATTTTCTTCTGGTTTGATTTTGCAATTAAATGAAGATATAAGAAAACCTCTCATATTTGTTTCAATATGTTTATTTTCTGGTAAACAATAAACTATAACTAGTGATATGAACAGTATTTCATATTTTATAATGTTGGAATACGTGTATTGTAGATGGGGGAAAAAACAAGGATTGTACAGTCACGACCCTCTTTCCACTTTGCCAGAAAAACTCGGTTTCTATCAGATTTTTCATATTGCTGATCATGCTCTTTTTTAGACGGCAAATCATTTAGTTCCTGTTTTTTGGGGTTGGAAACCCCAGGTATGTAGTCCCACATGTCGGAAAGAAATCTAATCACTATCCGCGCCACGCTCTTAGAGTGAGATTTAGACCATTCATTTCAAACACCCAATCGAATGTGTCACTAAAAATAGCACTAAAGGTTTTTCCCGATTTACGAGATTATCACTGCATTGTGTTTAGAGAACAACTTACATAGCCTATCGTTCTGTAGGCGGCAAGCCTAGACAGATTAATATTCAAAACTTTTCAATATAGATTATTTTCTTTACAGAAATAATAATGTTCTGACACAAAAATTTACCAGTCCATCGGACTCATAGATAATGAATTTTACCAGTCCGTGATGAAATCAATGTGTCACGGACTTGGGTTAATTTTGAGCCCTTGGTCAGACAGGTGACCTGTTACCTTTTCATGTCCATTCCGGGAATTGAACCCCGAATGACAAAGTGAAAGGCGAGTACATTACCACTGCGCCACCTAATCGCTTATTTGGGCAGAGCATAAACTGAAGATCTTATATATGTGGTTCAATTTTTCCTACACAGGACAGTTTATTTTTCTCAGGAAGCTGATAAATAAACAGATCTGAGCTGTTGCGTGACTTGTGTCCTGGAGCAAGATGCATATGTATGCTTTACAGTTTTGCTCTGGATGGCATGCAACAGACCCTATGCTGTCCAGTGAGTTAAGTCACCAGCTACTGAAAGGAGATCTAGACCTGCCTTAAACAAAAACATAGTGGACACTTGATTGTAAAATGATTTCCAAGGAATCTTGTAAGATGGAGATGGTCTTTATTTTCCATGGTTGTTCCCAACTTGTGAAGAGCATTATGTTCCTGCCTACTCCGTCATTAAATTTCACTGAACATTAGTAGAAGGGCTATTATACTCCTTCTCTGCAGTTTGGAAATTGAAAAAAACATATCAGGTTCACTTACCATTTTTTTTTTTAACTAAGATATGTTATACATTTCTTAAATTTTGGGTTTTCATGGGAGAAACTACTGTGCATAGTACTACTCACTGATTGCGACTGTGTAACGTGTCTCCAAAAAAAACCTGTTCTTTGTTGAAGTGATGAATATGAAAATCTTTACAAATGGGTAATTTGAAAACTATTGGAAAGGAAATACCAACTTCTTTCTCCAAGATCAGTTGGATTTTTGAAATATATGATAGCTACATCACAGAGAGCTTACACACAGATTTGATTTCTTCTCATTCCACATTTTTCATCTTTCGTCTTTAGAGGACAGTCTTTATCAATAACTAAATATTTAGAGGTTGTATCTTCCAAGTAGTATTCTGTAAAATAGTGTTTTTGAAAATGTTCCTGTATCAAGGAGGTATATGTATATATTGAACATGATTAATATTCTAGTGGGATGAAATGTGAGAACAGGGGTACCAACATCCAATACTGGATAATTAATTATGTGGCGGGAAGTGACCATTAAAGGCTTTTTGAAATAATTGGTATTTTTAGTACTGACAGTGCTCCAGATAACTTTTTGACATGTGGGGTTTTCACTCCTACCTTTATAAATTGAGGGGTTTTTTCACCCCTGCCTTCATCAAGTGTATGGGTTTTTCCATATTAGGGTAACACTGAATTTGTAAACATTTTTGACAGCGCCATATTTGCTATGCGACTGGTTTATAATCACGATCAAGAAAGCGCTTGTTACGAGTTTCGTTTACTTGATAAGTGTCTGTTTGACTTAGATTATTGAGTTTTCTAACTACGTAATATTGGAGCCGGACATTGACGCAGAGTCCGGATTTCGCACGGGTTAATGACGCAAATCTTATTTTTTTCCTAGCGTGAAATTAGAAATATTGTGCGTGAAAACGCATTCACGCAGGCTATCTGGAGCACTGTACTGAACTTTTCACATTTGAAATCATGATGAAATCATGAAGAAAACAGGTGTCTTTAAATTTACTTATGACAAAATAGTAGTAAACAACCTGACATACTTATAAAGGCCATCTCCACAGTCTGGTGTACACATGTCTACATGTCCACTGAGGGTATATTGGCAGTTACTGTGACTGATGCAGGCTAAAATAAAATTTTGTTTCTAAAGAACATTTCTGTATGTGTACTTCAAAATGAGCAAAAATGATAGAATTGTCCATTAATTTTATATCATAATGACTACTGGACCTAAGTTTGATGTGAAATTTGAAGCTTGAAAATAATATCTCTTTTTCTCTCAAGCTTTTAGTTTGATAAACACATAAATGAGGAGATAGATATATATGTTGATAGGAAGTACAGCTTATCACGAGTTGGGGATATATTTCACTTATTGTAATTGAAGACAATTTGTATGGAATTGTATCACTTACCATATTTTCCAGACTATGATCATAAGCCACAACTTTTTTCCGGTGAGTTGTGCATGTAACTCACATACTGGTATGGCATACCAGTAGAGACTGTAAAGTGTTTGTATGTTACCTGCCCACCACATGTTTGTGATAGTGTAGAATTGTCACTTGTAATGGTAGATCTTTCTCATGGATTTAATTAATCATACCTGTTAATATGAAATCACATATCTTCTTGACTTTCATGGTTACTCAACAGCAATTACAAGAAGGTATGGCGGAGGTTTACAAAGGCCGAAATGAATTGCTTTTTGCACTTGTAACTTACAAGAGGAAATGATATGGATCTATAAAAAGTTTGTCAACATGCAAGGGCCTTTGTTGATATTTAACTTTACAAACACCAATGGAGAGATTGTTTAGTAAGCTCTATGTAATGGCAGGCCCTATATTTATGCATAGACGATCTTTGAAAGCCCAAAGTCAATTGAATTTGATGCTTTCTATTTTATGTATTTTGATTGATCAGAATATTTTTTCATATACAATTTTTGTATATAAATAAAATAAAGGATTATTTGTGCATCAATCTTTTGCTCACATAGTTAAATGTTTGATGGACAGTGTTGATAAATCGCCTTACTTTGTTATATTAACAAACTTTGGTGAAATGATAAATATATCATAAGAAAGGGTGCTGCTTATATTCCAATGTAACTAATATGTGGATCAAATCATCTATGTGGCCTCTATACTGGAAAATATGGTAGATGATATGACTAATGTATTGGGGATAAATCCAGACCTAAATTGAAGAATTTAAGATTGATATACTGTAGGTATCTTTGGTGGAATCAGCCATATTTATTCTGCAATAAGCTCAGAAGACTTTATATATTACTCCTCATACTCGACTCAGGTAATGGGCTTAATTACTAAAGAATGAATTAGTTCATCATTTTATTGAACAGCATTATAAGTGTCGTGTTATAGGCCATGGGCTTATTATTTTATTAATCTTAATTCCAGCCCAAACACACATGCTCTTAATAATCAGAAAGCCTATCATTTATTGGTTTAGACATAAATTGCTACAACGATTTTATTTTTTCAAAAACAGCCGTTTTGGTATCATCATGGTGAGAGACCTGTGATGGCCACACACAACGCTCCAAAGCACGACTTTGCACCAGCCTGGCTTAAGATTCCTGCACAGGATAATCCTGTAAGTTGTTTTCTTTTTTATACACCAATACTTTCCTCGCATTTCTAATTGCTGACACGACTAGTTCTTTTTGTCATTATTTCCATTTGGCATTTCACATTCAACAATGCAAAGCTAATTGTATTACAACTTGGGCTACTAAAGCAGGGATCAATCTAGGATATGGGAATAAGTACCCTTTTTGTGACTAGGAGAAAACAGCCTGGGTTCCAGAGGGCCTTAAGAGGATGCTTCTGGGACTGGAAACATAATCTTTCAGCATTTTCTGATTGACTGTTAAAATAATTTGGAATAATGTAAGATTCTATTTAAAACAGAAAATATACTAGATCCATCAAAATCTACTCAAACACAATAGAAATGAAAGATCAAAATGTAATTTCTGTTGAAATAGGGTAAATTTAAAGAGTGAAACAGTAATTTATATAAATATATTGTAAGATTCAAGAGGAACATTCTGTAAGAGAAGAATTTTAGCTGCTACAGGAAACTACCATAGATCATTAGTAATTAAAATAACACTAGATTAATCCCTGTAAAGCCTTCAGATCATCTATTAATACAGAACTGATATCATTTTAAAAAATTGAATTGATGGAGTATGATGAAATATATGCATTTCCTATGTTGCAGAAGCCATCTGGTTCCAAGCAAGCAGATTCAGGTAGTGATAAAAGTAAGCTGGTGCAATTCCAAGCATATATATATATATTGTTGTTATTGTATGTACACTGTTCACAAGGTACAGATATTGATTTAGCATTACATGGCTATTAAGTGAAAATTCAATTAATTATCCAGTAATGTTGAATAATGTTATCTTTATATATTCAAAATTACAAAATAAATAATACAAAATTGAAAGTCTATTTGACAATGAGAGGGGAAAAAATTCATGGATATGAAAATATATATGACTGTAAAAAAGAAATACACTCTGACATTTAACAAGTTTTGTGTCTGTAGTTAAACTGACATTAAGTTTACGATTGATTTTCCATTTCTTCAGCAGTATATATGGTAAAATTGCAAACCTTGGTTGTGTTATGGATTGGTGCAATGTGAATTTTTTGTGTTTTCCCTGATTATAGGTAGAAGACATTCTGGAAGCTCATCAGGAAAATACAGACATCATCCAACAGAAGACGACTACTACCCTTACCCTCCCTATGGACATTATGGCTATTACAATGGCTACGGCATTCAATATGGATCTCAGTCATCAATGTTTAGGTCACCTGGCCGTGACCCTAAATACCAGCAGCACCCAGGAATTCGTTATAATCAGGTAAACTCCTTGGCAAGATAGTTGAACAGATTTTATTTCAAATTAAATTATAAGATACTTTTATAAAAGTACTTAAGTACTCAAATATGTAAGATAATATCAATTTTTTTGTTGGAGATTCATTTGATGTGTCTGATTGTGCATATATCCAGGAACTGTTTTTAAAAGAACATCATAGGAATATAATATTGAATAATAAAAGTATTCTTTATTTTTCTGTCTGTGCTATCATGACATTGTATTGCAGGTATTCTGTTTCACATTTCATAGTAAATAAAAATATTTTGCATGTTGGCTGTCATAACAACTACGAGTAAGAAAATGAATTTGATTTTACAGATGAATGGTGGCTATCCTGGTTACTATGATCTCTACCCATTTGACTACTATGGTGACCCTTATTACCCAGGATATCAAAACTCGAGGGCAAATTCTAAACGAAGTCACTATGAGAGAGAAGGACGCTCAAATTCCAAGGAAGGAAAAGAAATAGAAAAAAATAAAGGAAAGGATACTGAGGAGAAGGAAAAGACGTCATTTCAGGATGATTTTGTAAGACTGGATATACTGAGGGTTTTACTTATTATAATGAATATGAAATGGAATTTCATGTTCATTATGGTCTTTGGTAGTAATTTAATATAATAAATATATAGTCCTTAAATTTGGATAAGTATCAAAATATTTGAAGACACTACCATTTCATGGTTGAGGACAATAGTCCATCATTTCATCATGAGTAAGTTGCTGTGCAGTTTTTCTTTTACAGATACAGAGATAGAACTGTAATGGGGAGAGTAGTTGTATCTTGTATAGAACATGTAGAACTTCAATTTTATTTGTTGTTTTCTAACCTAGGACAAATTTTATTTCATGAATCATGAGTATACTTATTTACAAAGCCAGTAACATTGACTCATTTCTGTTTAGTTGTCCCAACACATCTAGTCTTCATGATATTACAAATGTTTGCTTATCAAGATAGTACTGCTTCTTTCAACCAAAACATTTTGTGTTTGTAATGTCAAAGTCTTCATTGGCATTTAGAAATAATGATTGCTGGTATTGTAAGGCTTCCTGGCATTCTCAAGTTTCTTAAATTGGTATATAAATTACAGTAGGAGTTAACAGTTGTCTTTTATGTCATTGTAGCCATCATTAAATGGAGAAGAGAGCACTGAAAAGGCAGGTAACTCCACCAAAGTCACAAATGGTGGAAGTGTATGGGGTGAGTGTTTTCTCAAACATCTCATATCACATTTTCTTAAAATTTGGTATAAAAAAAAGTGAAAGAGGAAATTTAAGCAAAAAGAAAATGATAATAAATTGAATATATAAGGTAAAAGGACTATGTTCAAACGTTAATTAATAATAATATATAATTAAAAATAATAAATAAAATCATGTATCGATAGACAGTATCCTGATTTTAGGTAAATCATTACTAGCCCAGAAATTTGGTACATTCCACTATTTATGTTTAAGTAATACCTATTTTGTTCACCAGAACACCCTCCTCATGGTAAAATGGGATCATCGAAGTTTGGAGACCGAGCTACTGCAAATATGTACAAAGCACTTGTGCCAAATAAGGTAAAAAACAAATCATTCATTAATCAAATGTCTGTAGAAATCGTAAAAACTAACGTTCACTGCAGTAGAACTTATTTCGAAGACCCAGTTGGCAAGCCAACATCACATGATATGTGAAACTGAATGTAGATTTCACTTTGAATAACCTGATATTAAATGAATTCCTCAAAAAATGCAACTTGAAACTTCAGTGAAATGAAAATGAAACATTTTTAAAATATTTAGATTATTCTGAATTGGAGAAACATGTCTTCCTCAGTTTTTCCTTTGGTCGAATTAAAAAAAAAATATATTTACTAAAATCGGGGAAGGAGAAATTGTATTGTTGTCAATGCATCGTTCCATCTTTCCATCGTTCTAGACAATAAACACAAGTTCAAGGGGACCAATCAGACTTCCCATTCTGTTTTCTTATTGGTAATGCTTGCTAGGGATTGGTTATTAGGACAAAAAGTCCAACTTTGTGGTCAGTTATCGTCATAAAAAAATTGTCCAGATCAAGTGGACTTCTGGAGCTCAGACTTTTACACTCAGCTCTTTTTGTTTTATTAGTAGAGATTACTTAAGATTGCTATTTTGGTCAAAAAGTCAAATGTCAGTGTCACTGTTACTATAAATAGGTTATTGACTTTTGCTTTTCTTCAGGGTAATATCAAGAAACCTGCAAAAGATGGTATTAGATTTAATGGAGGTTTCCCAAAGGACCCTTTCTCTGGCACCAAGTCGCCACTGTCACCAACAAATTCTGGTGGTCAGAACAAGGAGGCAAGTGATCAAATTCTGGGATAAAATTTAACCGTTGAGCAACTGGCAATTTGTATTTTGGCTTTTAAATTAAGAAAATTTAATCGCATTCAAGTTGAATAAGAAAATCACTTTGATGCACTGAACAAATGTCACTGAGAACAGAACTCACTCATGATGTAAAAAATAAGCTTAATTTTCAGGATAAATTCTCTTGTACTTTGTGATTTTGTAAATGTTTGAATGAATATATATATATATTGGTGTATTTGTTTAATCAGGGTTCCAGGCAATCGCCGACACCCCCAATAGATATTCTTAACACAAGGCTCATCACACAGCCACGTACATTGGGTGACAAGAAGAGTGACTTTTGGAAGGCCCTCAGAAAAGGATCCTCTGTTGGCGATGGACATGATCAAAAGGTAGGATTTAAAATTTTCATCTTTGGCTAGGAATTTGTATGAGCTTAAATTCTGAAAAAGAACACTCATTGCAGATTCTGATTTCCTCCAATAGTTTACCATTAATTGTACCTTCTTCATTACTTGATATAGATATAAATACAATATGTTTGCTTAATCCTGATGATATAGAGAGGCAGGGACACATGAGACATAAAATTATGTGTAAAGTATAGTAACTTATTTTTGTGTACAATTTATTCTTATATATTTTGTGAGTGATAGCAATTTGCTGAAATAATCGTAGGGAATCACAAGGCTTTTGAGGAAAGACACAACCTGGTGACTACTGTAATATTCATCTTGAGAAACAGTGATAACTTCATAGAAGATAAAATGAAACTGTTATCTTGAAATTGAAGGGACCATGAAACACATTCTGATTTCTATGTAACCTTTTTTAAATGCCTGTTGATGATTGTTCACATTGTGGTGTACCCTGCGTCGTCCATCCATCCGTTAACTTTCCCTTGTTTGCGTTTTCTTGCCTTAACTTACAAATTGATTTTAACATAAGTTGCTACAAATATTCCATACCAAAATGGCTGGAATGAGTTTGGTTACAGAAGTTTGTTTTGTTTTTAACAGAGTTATGCACCTTTTTTGAAAAACTTAGACATAGTATAGAATTAGCAACAACTCTAATTCTGTTCAATTCTTTTCAAATTTGATATAGTGATACAGGAAGTGAAGGGATTTGACATAGAAATTTTGAGGGATTTTTTGTGACTCCATATTTTCAGTGTTACGCCCCTTTCATTTTCAAATATTCAAACATTCTCAATTCTTTGTTCAAACTTAGTAATGACCATGACATGAAGTTGTGTTTTCATACACTGCCATTTGATGTAACATTTCTTTTTAAGGAGTTTGCCCTTTGTTTTTCTAGCATTTTAATTTCAAATGGAGATCTCTGCCCTCAGTTTCTCACAAGCTCCTTTGATAATTGGTGTAGGCTTTATAAGCATTACATAAAATTTTGTATTTCTCAGCAGATTGTGTTTTCCTCCCTCAGTTTTCAGCCAATTTCTATGAATGTTGTTAGGTGAGATTAAAATCCACAATATGAGATGTTCTAATATATATGTTGGATTTTTTTTTTAAAAGAAATGAAAATTACTCAGAAATATTCAGATGTTTTATGGTTTATAAAACTATTGTAAGCTCACCTGACCAAATGACTTCTTCACATGGACCATAAAGGCCTGGAGGCATGATATTTGGCTGGTATTTTCCTAGGATGAAGCCTGACAAAGATTGCGAAAAAAAATTGACCTTGACTTATATTCAAGGTCATAGAAGTCAAATGTTGCTGGTAGAAATATTCCTAGAATGAAGCCTGACAAAGTTTGCAAAAGGAAATGACCTCATTACCTAGATTCAAGTTCACATGGATCAATTTTTTTATTTGTTTTTGCAGCTATGGTGGCCATGATAACCATTCAAAATATGTTTAAATACCATAAATGCTTGGATTTTAATTAAGGTTCTGTCTTTTGATGTAGGCATTTGAAGATGGAAATGTGGAGAAAATAAGTAATGGAGTAGAAACTATTGATTTCAATGATGCAGAGAATGGTCTACTTTCCAGCTCTTTGGAGGCAGAACAGAGGTAAAAGTGCTCTTGTTTGAAATATTGAATTAATAAGTTTGATTATTATATACCATACTATTTTGATTAATAAGATATAACTGATCATTACTGACAAGTTACGTCTCCTTTTTTTACAAATACTGAATTTCAATGTCGATAAAGTGTTTAGTGAGCCTTGTCTAATGTCTCCTCGTGTAGCACTGCATAGTCTTATGTAAATCATCTGAGAACCACCCTGGAGAAATATTGGTTGATCATATTACATACTTCGGTTACTGAACAAAGTAATTGATATATCTGAAAAATATTGATAAATGTGATATTTGTAACTATACATGTGAAAAACTGACGGAAAGAATGAAATAGAAAATAATAGTTTATTTGACATAAAATGGTACAAGAGAAGATTTGTTATTGCAAAGTGAAATGTTTTTGTCTAGAAACTTGATAGAAAATAAAGACTCAAATTCTGATTTAGCCATTTAACTTGATGTTTTTTCAAATCAGATTATTAAAATCAATGGGATGGAATGAGGCAGATGTGGAAGAATATGAAATAACAGAGGATGAGAAGAAAAAATTTCAAGAGCGTTTTTCTAAACAGGTAGGGCTAACAGCATGAAATCATGACATTTTTATACCTGATTTTAAAAAAAGAAAAAAGATCATGATCTAAGATTGTTTTTATTTCCTTGTGATTTACTTGGGTCTACATGATATTTATATAAACAATGTGAAGCACATTACATGTATAAACACATTAATTAGCAAAAGAAAATTTGAATGTTGTCATATCAGAATTCTGCAAAAAAAAAAGTGGACTTGGAAATCTTAAAATGAGTATTAATCAATTTATCAAACGCATTGCTTGATGATTGTTAGATGTAAGAATCAGATTTACATCATTAGAACATTTGTTTTTCTCACAGGTTCCTCAACAAAAGGAAGCCAGCCGTATCTTGCATAACAAGGCTCTGAGTCCAAAACACATCATGTACTATCGCCCCAATGAACAGGATCAACTGAACGATACACTGTCATCCTCAGACTCGGAGGAGGAATCGAGTCACTAACATTTGCTTCCTTGCATACGCAGAAATGATGGCATGCCATGTCATAACCATTATCTTAAGCTTCACAATCTAGCAAGGATGTTCTTTAAGTGATCATGAGCAACGGTCATTCAGAGAATAATTGTGCATTATTTGGTGATAAAATACAGGATTTGTGCAACTATAGACTGGGCACCTACTGCATACAAAACGTGCACTGGTTGCATGGACTTGTATACATGTTTTGTTCATTTTTTGTCAAGAGTTTGTTTAAAGAGAGTTTATGTGAAACTGTTTCAAGGGAGATAATTGTTAAACGAGACTGTCTCGACTAGTCCATCATTCTCTCAGATTTCTATAAGTGTATATTATTGGTGCAGAAAATATAGAGAAGGCTTCTCATTTTATACCAAGTATTTTTATAAGAAATCATTTTGTAGATATTTCTAGCAATGAGTAAAGCTTGTATCGTGCACTTGGACACAACTGTGACAATGCATAGCAAAACATAAGGAGAGAAAGTTATATTTTAAAAGATACCTATACAAATTGCTAGTGTAATTAAATGTACTGTGTAATGGAAAGCATGAGGTCTGTTTAACAGTAGCTGTGGTGAACAGTTCTCTTTTTTCTGCATGTATGGTGATATTGCTACTTGTAGTTCTTTCTCTTACTGATGGAATGGGGATGAATTCATAACAAAATCACTATTGCCATTTTTTTTAGTTATAAGCAGTTAAAAAGGATATGTTAATTTGGTATACAAATTTGTCATGACCCTCCCAATTTCATCTCACAAAAGTTTTATAGTGTGTTTATAAAAATTTATAACCTATGCAAATTTTTGATTCATTTAATTCCGCGTAAAGAGCCTTTCTGAAAGACTTGTCTTATCACCTCCCAGCTACAAACTAAATTGGATATTTCCCATATACGTAAACAGATCCCGACTTGATTTGCCCAACGAAAGGCACAAATGTGGGTGGTTTTATGAATTGATTATTATCAAATGTTTCTATAATTAGCTGTCCACTTAGGTCCTGTGTCTTCTATTTAATAATTTTCTTAATTGTAATTTGAGAATTAAAAGTGAAATTTTTCTTGATAAGATGTTTTCAACTATTATGTTGTTACCCTCCAATTGAAATCAATTCTTTTTCAATGGTATTAAATAAACCGTTATTGTATAAAATTTTATTTTATCGATTTTTGCTACGATCCTTAGATGAATCAGGAGCAGTGAATTGTTTGACAACTAAATAAGGAAGAAAAATAGTAGTGTGCCAACGTCAGACTGGTTATTTTTAGTACTAAATGCCCATTTAATAATATGACAGAGTCTGCAAAGTTTTATAGTAAATGTTGAGTTGATTATAACTGAAGACCACATGCAAGTGATGTTTATTATCCATATCATTTAATTATTGTTCTTTGAAGGAAAATATGTTTTAGATATTTTTCCCAAAACCTGATTTTGCTCAGTATTGTAAACTTTTGAAGAAGAACCATTTCTTCATTCATATTCTACTCGCTAGGTGACACTCGGGAGAACAGAGCAGTATATAACTGGTTATATTTCATAATTCAAGTCAGATGATTTTGTTTTTCAAGAAATTGTTCTGTTTTCCTTGTTGGAGTGTTTTAATAGCAATTATTGTTTGGAGCATTATCATTTTTATACAGCTTTTTCACAATTTTATTGCAAGTTACTCACTTTCTTTTTGCTAATGAAAAATTCATATGGAAACCTTAAAATTATGCTTTGTGTAACTGGTAGCTGTTTATTTGTTTTGCTGTTAACATAGCATATTGATCTTTGCACAAAAAGTACAGTGTAATTTTAGAGGAATTTAAACTTAATTTTTCTATGTCATGAAGGCTAAATTGTAGGTAGTTTACAACTTTGAAGTGTCAAAATAATTCTTAACATATCGTGATGAAAATGCAAGAAGGAAAAAAGAAGAAAGAAATGTTTCCACTCTGAGTAATAAATTTTCTTATTCATACAAATTTCCATGGGTGATTTATAAGTTAGTGAATATTTTTCATTTTGTATAGGCTGCTTTAGACCAGGGCTCTGATGTAAAAAAAAAACTTGTAAATACCAATTAGCTACATGTACATCTGAATGCATTAGCAATAAGTAAGTTATTTGTTTGAGTTGTCAATACTTTTACCACAATGCTTGTGTTGGTTCAGTGCTCTTCCCATATGCTTACATATTACGCTTTCCAGCACCATCATTACTGACAATGGATCACAATATGATGACAGATTGTTTTCCTTTTCCTAAATTTACCATATTCCCTGGACTAGTCGGCTGTGGCTCTTATGTTAATAGTCTTTTCTGTCTCAATTTTTTTTATCCCTCTCTAGATTTACTAACATGTATTGATGATGGTACATATACCTGATATCAGCCCCATCCTGTCTTTGAGGAGGCAAGAGTGCAAGTTATGTTTCCCTTGAGGAGACAAAAGTGTGATCAGGTGTCTCCCAAAGAAAAACCCAACATAAGTGTAATGATTTTGGTATGATATGCTGGTATGTAAAAGATTTTGTTATTCAGACATTCAAAAGTTTATATGTATTTGAAGGAACCATGTTAAATTTTTTCAATGTGTAAGGTTCTGTATAGGTAATAAAAGCTTTGTGTTGACTCTTAAGTGGACTGCTACTGGCTAGTTTTTGAACGTGTGATATTGTGTTACAATCTAGGTTTGGTGCATGTAGTGCTATTGGATAGTTTCATATCTATTTTTGTACTGTTACACCACCTGCACTTACACCTGGTAACCTGGTAACTTCATTGTTGTCAATTTATTTTCTGGGTTTTTTTGGTTTTTTTTTCTCTCGCTTAAATGTCAATTTCAGGTACATGTATATGTATTTAAAGGTACAACAAATAAGTTGGATATCATCATTATGCAAGCTTCAGTATCTTTTTAACAATTCCATTTAAAGTACATTACACGAATAATCTGCATCGAAATGATTTGATTTTAATATCAGTCTTCACTGATTCGTAATGTTCTACTGAATACATCTTAATTCTAAAAGAAACAGAACATGGAAAATGCTCTAGAATTGATTCTGTTTGCCTGCACATTCATCTGATAGAAGTCAGCTTATTTGAACAGATGTTGGTCTTACTTTTGTATGATCTTTGCTTCTTTTTTTTTCTGAAGATAGATATATTCCTTACATCTTTCTACATGGTATGTACACCATGTTCATGATGCCCGAAATTATGTTTCATAATTTATGGAATAGATTTCATGTACAAGTGATGAACCAGCAAAATAAAGTTTTACAGTAGAATGATACCAAGAAATTTAAAGATTTGAGGATATTGAAATATTGACCAACATGGAAAGAAATTGAGAGGATTGACTGTGGTGTGATCTGATAACCTTGACCTTTTTTTGTGATATTGTGACTTCTGTGGCCGAGAGTTACAAGAAATTACTGTCAATCCTCAATTTTTTGCTCCCCTCTCTAACAATATCTGAATTTGATAGTTTAAATTTTAGCCAGCCTGCTATCATGAATGTACATGTAGTCGATTGTATAAGAAAAGGAAATAATGATAATGTAAGTATTTTCCTTCACTTGTATTGAATGAAAAATGGCATACATGAAGGTAATATTTTCCACGGTACTTAATCTACTTGGTTGCTAATTCAACTTTAATCTGTAAACATTCATGTCATAGATGGTATCATTGAATTCAAAGGCAATCGTGATAGGGGATCTTCCCCGTAAAGGTCTTGATTGTAACAGTTGAAAATCATTTCTTTCTTCCTGTCAACATTGGGACATAAAATATTTAGGGACATTCCATACATATACTGGTGCTAGGTGTTTTTTCACTTACAAAATCATAATTTTGAAATGGTAATTCTTGCAATTTCTTTTTTAATCATCAACTCTAATGTGAAGTACATGTACTTTGATTTAGATTAAAGTGTTGACTTATGCCTAACACTCAGAGACTGTTTGTGCCAGACTGTCTTCAGGAAGAGTGAAAAATTTTAAACACTTTAAAAATAATCAGATCAAGTGATAACCAGAGGTGAAATCTATTTCTGGTCTAGATGTCTGTGTTGCAGTTGTTCACGACTTGTTTTGCAACTTTGTATTGTTTCATGGAAGGTTTTGTTTCATGGAAGGTTTGATTGAATGAACTATTACCAGTACTTAAAGGGGTGTTTCCAGGATGACAATGTTAGTGTAGGTGCTTCTATGGTAAATCTATTTCTATTTCATTATATCTAAGCTCTTCAATCTTTCATTGACTGATCTGCTCATGTGATTCATGATCAGTGTTTCCATTGGCTCTTTGGTGACTTAAGCTCGTTACACACAATTTCTTTTTCATCACAGAATGACTATTACAAACTTAATGAAAGGAATTGATTAACTAGCTTTGGATTATTTTGTAATGTAGATTTAAATGGCAGCTTCTTATCAGAGAATATATCATACCAAATACCTCTGGATGGAGGCACTGAACACAAGTCCTATGATCATGTTGAAGATTGCAGTAACATCCCCGTTTTCTTCGCCATACATTGCCTAACACTTTTCCATACATTACCCATGATACTGGGCACAGGATTGATGTCGCTAATTTTCTTTATTTTATCCTTTTTTTTCAAAGAGTAAAAGTTTATATTACAGTTGTAAATATGGCATCTAATAACACCATTGTAGAATTATTTTTTGTGCAAAAATCAGTTCCACTTGAAGGATACAAGGGATTATGTATATTTATATAATGTTAAATTTGTGCAGTTTGAATCATTACATTGAATGCTTGTCTGATTTAATATTAGCGGGCACCTGTTACATCCCAACTGTTTGTGTGGTTACTGGCCAGCAGATAACAATCACATTATTATCATGTTATTCATCTGTCATTTTCGTTTTGAAAAAAAATTACACCAGCGCTGAAATGAGCAGCACACCAGAGATGGTATATTGTTCTGTCATTTTGCAGATTTATTAATAAAAGTTGCAATGATCTGTATGGACTTATTATTCTCTTTTGTTTTATAACAGTGATCAGCACAGTAGTTCAAATTCACAAATTATTTCACTGCAAATCACAGTCACAAATCGTTCAACATTTGGTGCTCAGAAAGATCGTGATGGTTGTGCAGTAAATACTTCACTTCAACACCAGTCCTTAAATTTGACTTCGTACTCCACGGAATTGTTGCAGTTTGTGTGGAGAGCATGCAAGCTCTCTAGCACATTTGTACACTTTCAAAGTCAAGTGTGTTAAATAATCAAACATAAACTTATCAATAACCCAAAGGCCTAGGGTATTGAGATTGGACCTATATCAAGGTATGATAAAGGGTTACCAAGTGTGGTCAAATGCATGACCTCGATCCACTTCAAGGTCACATTTCAGAAGTCTTCTCAAGAACCTAAAGGCCAAGAGTACGGCAGCAGAATAGATAAGCTATTCAGGCCCATTGGGTCTCTTGTTTCTCAAGAAACATTTGAAAGAATCTTCTCACATTCGCTTTTTGGGCTCACTGTAGATTTTGTCTTAATTCATTTGTGAATAGCTGATTTCGGGACTTGTTTAGAGACTGATATGTCTTATACCCTCTATCTGCGCAGGTTTACTTGTAAGACTACTTTGGAAAAACATCCATCAGCTTTTTCTACGAACTTTGGGAAGAAAACTAGTTCTATTTAAAGGTTGTTGGCTCCCGAGGATCCAAGAGAGAAAAATGAATAAATCCTTTAGGAAATGTAAGATTTTAGTCCAAATTTAGTCTAGAGCATCTTTGGATAAAGGGGATTCAGTTTTGTATAAGCGGTAGTTCTCAGGCGGGATCCCAATAGGGGAATTATCAAGAGCGTATTTTTTTTTCAAAATCCTTCTGTAGGAATATCTTGTATTTTGTTCCAAATTGATTTCAAGCATCTTTGAGTAAAAGGATAAGCTTTGTCTAAATAGTGGAGCTAGGACAAAACGGCAGAGTTCAACAGAACACACTCTTATAAAGTTATTCCCCTGCTGAATGATTGTCAGGATTTTAACCAAACTTCATCTAAAGTATTTTTGTGTGAAGGGGACTTTTGTATAAATGGTTTGCCTGACCCCTGGGGACAAGGGGGATGCGGCTCGATGGGTAAAGAGATGTAAACCTTAAGAATTACTTTTCATTTATAGCACAACCAGGTGAGCGATACAAGCCATATGGACCTCTTACATAAGTACCAGATGGGTCTTTAATTTGCTTAAGCTGTTGCAGTGTCTAAGTGGACATGATTACTTTGAAGACTGGACAGTAAAACAAAGTGGCAAATTGTCCTTTACAGTTGTACACAATGAAATGGAAGTGGCTAAATCGATTTTATCCCCCACTCTTGCCTCGTCTTCGCTCGAGCTCCGCAACTGGAGTATTCTGCTGAGCCAATCAGACAAGCGGTGAGCAGAGTGTTTTAAAAATTAACATCGAAAATGTGCAGTCACGGTTGGGTAAAGCTTAACCGCTTGCCATTTTTCTTTTTTTTTCTTTTACAATATTTCTCCGATTTTTAATGATATAATAAAACAATTATAACAATTAAGAGCAGATGGATATGGTCAGGGGAAACCTTCAACTGCATGCTGTTTTTTTCGCTTTTGGGAGAAAGTTCATACTGGACTGTATTTTCAGTATATATAAGTGTTCCTTTGTCCATGGTCGTTTATTATGTTGTGGTTTATTTAAACATAAACTATATTTTACAACAATTGCGCAACGAGCTTAAAGCGTATATCAACCACTCCTGCCGGCCCAGATAGAAGTGCTCGAGGGGTCCAAATGTTGGAGGAACCTGGAGTACTCGAGGAATGGTCGGTCAGGTGACCCATACCTTTTCACGTCCGTGCAGGGGAATCGAACCACAAACGCTAAGATGAAAGGCGAGTGTGTTTCCACTGCGTCACCCGACCATGATTTGATTTTAAAAATAAGATGGTTGGCTGGTACGTTGTTTCCCTGATTTTGGACACTATAAGATTAAGATGATTTTTCGAGATACAAATTTTATATAGGCTTCCGTCTTAAATGCATCATCACGCAAATCGACTCAACAAATTCTGTGATGTTTCGATGATTTCACTATTAACTCCATCAGACAAATGAATGGTGATGTTATGTGCACAGAGGTGTGCAATGTACTTTTCGGTTGTATCAACATTTGCCAGATATAAACTATAATTCTATGATTCAATTGTGTTGGAAATACTTGTTGCCATGATAGTCAGTTAAAGTCGACGACGAAATTGGCACTCATCTGTTACCTCCCTATATTCTGTGTAACGGAACATTGGAGATGCAGACAGCATAACACGCGCATCTACAAAGGTTGGCCACCAGATTATCTTTTTTCTATGTGTCAAGTATCAAAACAAGGGTAATAGAAAGATGGAAAGACGAATTCCTGCTGTGTGCCCTAACAGAAATCGAACCCGGGTCTCCACCATGATAATCTACAACTTTTACCAACAAAGCTAAAGAACCCCGCTCTGTCACCTGAATGACAGAGACCGCATTTAACCTAATGTACAACCCTCACCGACCCGCTACTTTTACACAAAAATGTTTTCTTTGGTGATTGAAGTAGTTCGACGAAGAGTTTAATAAAATTGAATATGACACGCACTCCATGCCATATACGTGATAATGTATTTGCGCTCAACATCAACGGAAGTGAAAAACGAGATGTTCTTACCAGTGACGTTAGTATTATTATGACGTCACAATGTACTTTCCATGGACAACATCTTTGTGTTTACATCAGAGACTTTGCGACAGCAGTAGTTTTCGATCTTTCGATCTTGAGTAAATCCAATCTAAATCTACGTTTTGCCCATAATTTGAAACCAAACATCGTTTTTACAAGGTAAGTTGAATGTTATGATAATTGATAACATCTTTTCAATCACTTTAGGCGAAGAAACCTTAATTTTCCGCGAGAAAACCTGTGTGGTCGAACATATAATCTTTCACGTTTTTATGAAATATCGGTAAATCGATTTCTGGTCGCCAAGGTGAAAGGTGAGAGCGCAACTCCACCATATTATTTTTCATTGATAAAAGAAAAGTATCCTGAGTTAACGTTTTTGAGGTATTACATCTGGCCCCACTTGTATAAGATATCTCAACTTGAGATTTCCTCAAGTCGAGATTTTCCTCAGCTGATATCTGCTCAAAAACGGCTTGTATAAAATTTTCTCAAGGAACAGGAGAAAGTCCTCGGCTAGGATGTCCTGAAATTCCTTGAGGAATTTTTATACAAGATATTTTCAAGGAGATATTAGCTGAGGAAAATCTGGGCTTGAGGAAATCTCAAGTTGAGATGTTTTATACAAGTGGGGCCTGGTTAATTGCAATTACTATTGATGTACCGCTTGTTGCAATCGAAAAAGGAAAACACCATACAAAACCACAAAAAAAACATCATTACGTTGTATTGACAATTGCCACCTTTGACTTTCTTATTCTTTATTTCTAGTGAAACACGGAACTCCCGAAGACAACATGGACGAAACTAAACAATACGACAAGGTATTTATTATAATAATTTATAGTAAACATTTATAGTGGAAAAAATGCCATCCCGTGTATGTACTTGGTGTTTGATTAATAATTTTCGATTTTTTTCACTTATGCACATTCTTGAACTCGCTATAACATCCATAACTTTCTCGGACGGACTATCCGTTTTCTTGGTGCCATTACTATGAAAACGCGGAGTTGCAAAAGAAAACAGAAAACATATGACTTGATATTCTACAGGAACGAGAAATCGGTACTGAAGGAACAGATGATAGAGTTCCCCCTTGTTTGTACCCGGAAGTGGTGGTGATCGCTCATGGATCTGTATCCTCAATTTCCGTTTCCTCTGACTTACGCAGACCTCCAGCATCCGGTGGATACTGGGCGTGTTCAGAGTGTTCTCTGCTGAAAGACGTTTCTTCCTACCGTAAGTGGACTTTTCATTGTCTTCCATTCAATGCTGCATAAATAAAACATGCACAACACAGAATAATTCATGTAGCCGGCTACGCTGTCACGATGTATGTGGCAAGAAGACTATTATTAGCACCCCGCCGGGGGTGGGGTGATGATGGGAAAGAGGAAGGAGGAAGAAAGGTGAGGGTATATAGTTTTGCCCTGTTTCCTTCCGTCCTTCCGCTATATTGGGTTCAACTTGGTGATGCGATGTGTCGATGACCAACTTTAATTCGCTGAATTGTTTTGTTTAATATATCTAGGACTGAATGTATAACATTTTCATATTTTTTTCCCAGAAATACCTGTCCGTTCTAGTCGAAAAGACAATTTGAAGAAGCGCATTTGGTCAGCACTGAGTTCCCTTATCTTTTCCTGTGTTAAGAAATCACGGATGGATACAATGCGAAGACAGAGTGAAACATCTATGAGGTCAGTTTGTGTAGCACCTCGATCAGGAAACGTATCGGTGCGGTCAGTTCATCCGGCGATTCAAAGACTTAGAAAACGACACGAGGACATGTATACGATCTTCAATGAGGATCTTTTCTATTGAATATTAGGATATCATCATCATCATCATCATCATCATCATCATCATCATCATCATCATCATCATCATCATCATCATATATTTAATAAAAACGTTTGGAATCTGACCAATTGTTATTCTTTTACTGGTATATTTCCATTATGACCAGTTCAACACTTAGTTGTGTAATATGACATGTACAACACTCAGTTGTGACATATCTATTATGAAAAGTACGTTCAAATTACAATTAAATGCGACCAATGAAAAAAAAAAGAAAAGAAAATGTTAAAAGGTTTTCCAATGGCCTTAAAGTGAACGTTCATGATTTTCTCTTTTTTCCCCATCCGAATCAAACAAGATAACTGACTGTTACAACTGTTTGTAATCCGAATCAAATCTAAAATCTGACCATCAAAAACTTTTCCAAATTTTACCGAACTCTGTCCATTACAAAAACTGATGGTCATCCAAATCTTACCGGATAACTGTCCATTACAAACTGACGGTCATCCGAATTTTGAACAGCATAACTGACCATTGCAAACTGATTTTTATTACTGACAAGTCGCGTTTGGATCACTGGAGAATCACCGATCACTTTCAACAGTCCTACCTGACATATAACTGAAACGCTTTTAGTTTCCTATTAAGACCAGTTTTTCATTCGGCATCGCAGTTTTCGTGGCGGGTCCATCAAAGCTGATACTCTTGCGAACGATTGATAAAAACCTTAAGAAAGATATCTACTTTTGGTTGAGTATTAGGTATTGGCCTCGTCTGACAATATACTCAATCTGTAATTATATTTTGTGTTTGCTGACAGACAGGTACCTATGAGTATAAACGTTACTGTTATTTAACAAATACCAACAGGGTTCAACTTTTATTTTGGGTCGTTTATAGTCCCTGATATAGTTCGTTCTTAAAGACTTCCCTTTACAATCCCCAAACCCTTTGCAAGAGAGAGATCGCTTACGGAACTTTAGGAGGATGTAGTACGACGACCAGGACATCAACTGAAGAATTTCGGGACGTTACCAACAAGACACATCTTACTTAAAGGATCAGATTAGAAACATTTGGGAGACAAATATTTAGGGTCTCAAGGTATTAATTTATACAGAGAGATGTGCTGCTGGCATCCTCCTGTTTAAGTTTGCTTTCTGGATTTATCGTCAACAACGAACATATCGTTTGGAGGCGGGATCTCTTTGTAATACCTGGTGGATACCTTGCTGATCAATATCCGGGAGGCCCGCAAAATGCTATCAACATTCATTAAGGTAAAATGCCTTGCCCAAAGCCACATCTTCGTGGGATCGTCCAGTTACACATCTATCACACTCAATGATAAGAGTCGTCACGATCGGGAGGGGTATCGCGATGGATAGGGTAATGATTAACCTGTCAATAACGAGGCTTTCCGAGTGTGTGACGACTTGATCATCTTTCCTCGAAGGTAAAGATAATGCAAATATAAGACCCGGGAAGCCCCATTTCCTGGAGGGTACTCATGTTGGTTTTCTTTTTATGTGTCGACACCTTAATATTTTTCTCTACATTTCTATCTGTGAATGTTACATAAAGTATGCACGCTTTGTTAATCGTGCTTTATTAAAAATTCTCCTGACATGTAATACGATTATGTACATGTGTTTATTTGATATAAAAAAAAAACATCCCGTGTTCGTTTCAATGAGTGCATATATAAAAGATTGTTATGTATATTTGTATATACACCTATATGTCCCTTGCAAACAGTATCCCGTGTGTGTATGGCGGGGTCCCCTGCTGTTTGGGTGGGTGCCGAGAGTTGTCAGGTGTACACAGAGTCAATAGTCGGTAGATATGCAGCAGGGTCACAGTGTCATCTGATAACATAATTATCTGTGTTTAAACGTTTCTATATTTCTCACCTGTATGACATTTGTATTCTGTAAGTCCGTTTCGGTTCCGTTGATGGCTTTCAGGACGCCTGCCATTCTTACAGCCGAGTAGCCATAGTTTCGATAAATTGATAAAATTTTATACGATACGGTCGGCCATATCTAAATACTTTAGAATTTTTGATGTATTCAATGGATAAGGAGGTAATTTCCATGCGGTGAGTGTACTTTTCTAACCTAATTTAAACTTGTTTACAATTCAAGGTATAAATACAAAAAATATATTTTTGTATAGAAAATGAATAGAGTATTTACCTTTAAAGATATACTATAACTGATTCTATAAGTGTTTGATATTATAAACATTTTCACATTCATTTGTCCATGTGAAAATCAACAATAAGTACCTGTAGTAAGTCATTAGATTAAGTCAACAAATCCCACTTTGGCTAATTAGGTCACACAAGAAAGTTCTACCTCGGGCATTATTAGTGAATATGAGTGTAATTCATGTCCAACTGTAAAACAAGCTTTATGCTGACAAGGTTTAAATTTAAAACACAGTAATGGTCTCTTGTTTACTACAAACTGAGTATATATAATTTCTTAATTCCTTACAAGCCTTGAACTTCACCTACCGGGTATATACATATAAGGACATTCTATACTGAACAATTTCAGTATTTCATTGATCGATAGGATAATACATGGTGGATCAACAGAATAGTCCTTGGTAAGTAAATACCAGACCATCTAACCCCGGAACAACAGTGAAAGAAATTTTTAACTGATATATTCCAATATCGATAACATTCCTTGAAATAAGGACATTCATTACCTTAAGTTCCTTCCGAAAATCATAACGGAAGTTTACAAAATACATTCCTTGAGATTAATATCAAATTCAATTTCTAATAATATCTACTGTATGATAGATGGTTTAACTACAGGATATTGGTAAACCCCTGGAACAGTAGTTAATTTTAATTACGATCGATGTGCTAGTTCTGTAAACCTGAAGTCGATATACCTGTACTCTGCAGGTGACTTACTACACACCGTCGGTAATATACAGGTGGAATTATTCCCTGTGGCATTTAAATCGACTGTAATGTGTATTCCCTCGTGGACATACCGAGGGATTACACTGTTTGTGGTTCGATAACCCTTGACTATTTTAGAACCACCGAAGTGATAAAGACGCCCAACGTTAGTGAAACCATTCCGTTCGTAATCAATGCATGCACCAATTGAAAAGTACACCCGGAGATACGTGTGTTTACTCTGTACATGTACACGGAGAGAAAAATTGTGGGCATTCTTTTTCTGTTCATAAATTGTGTACGACGACTGAAAGTATAAGTTGTAATTCTATAATTATATACAGGATGTCAATTTCAAACAAGGTAAGGCAGTTTGGATTTTAACTTTATGTTTAAAGCACTACATACATACCAAGTGATTTGAATAATTACTTTTCCTTAGTTTTTTTTGTAATGACATAAATACATGACAGAATCTTTGTTGGTTTAAATAGTGTTGTTCAGAATTGATTTCACCAAACGGTACCCGAGTTTTGCGATATAAAGCATATCTCCGGTGTAATCAACAGAAGAATTGTCGTTTATGGTGCGTTCATTTTCAGTCCATGTTTGTGGCTGACTTATTTATTGCTTGGCCAACATTCAGCGGTATCGAAACACCGTTCTAAAAATAACCGCTGTCACAGGGGTTTCGGGTTCCCATGAAGGAAACATTTCGAGATTAATGAGAGAAAAGCATTAAATGATGGCATTGACAGGTCACTTTAAGGTTTAATCGTTTCTACATACATCGTGTATAAGCTTTAGTCAGGTGGATCTATATACCGATCGTTTATTTATTCTAACGTTATACACAACTCGGGAACTCTGAAAACCAAGTCATGTTAGCATGTATTATACGGAAGCGTATTCCGGCCACATTGTGTTTTATTTTAACTCGAAATTTCGAGTTAGTAATCCCAAATTTTGAGTTAGTAATCAGAAATTTTGAGATATTAACCCGAAATTTCGAGATAGCAATTCGAAATTTCGAGTTAGTAATCAGAAATTTTGAGTTAGTAAGTCGAAATTTCGAGTTATTTAGAAATTTCAGGTTAATATATCAAAATTTCAATAACTCGAAATTTCGACTTACTTACTCAAAATTTCGGATTATAAACTCGAAATTTCGAGTTGCTTTTTCTAAATTTCGCGTTGCTATCTTGAAATTGCTGGTTAGTATCTCAAAATTTCGGATAACGTACTCGAAATTTCGAGTTACTAACTAAAAATTTCGGGTTGCTATCTCGAAATTTCGAGATAGAATAAAACACAACATGGCGGGAATACGCTTCCGTAGTATTACAATTTTAAAACCCAATATTGTTTTCTTTGAGAATATATGAAAATCAATATTTTTTTTCTTTGGTGCATTGAAAGAATAATAATAACCGATGAGAAAACGAAACCTTGGATAAGATTCTTAGTTCTGGTACATGTGGTACGAACCTGCGTAGGAATGTAAAGATCCAATATTGTCATCAAGATTTGTATTGATCCTTTTTTATTCTGTAGGTGATTAAAAGGCAATGATGGCAGCTGTGGAAAGTGATCCCAAATCGATCCTAGCCGTCGGAAGCAGACCGGTAACTCCGTCAGGTAAAAAAGGCCGCGACAGTCCGGCCAGACAATCCACACCACCTAACAGGAACGCGTCCCGTGCCGGTAGTGGTCGACTCCATACATCAGTGACATCACCGATTAGAAATGGGAATGGCAACCCAAATGCACCTGCCGAAAATTCCAAGAGCCAACAAGAGGGCAAGGCATATTCTCAACGGATGAGTGACATAACAGCAGATTCCGTCAAGGCAACAAACGCACTCCCGCTGCCTTCGAAACTGGAATCTTCCGAAGATGAACGTAACAATGGACCCAATGTTGCGTGGACGGTATCCGATCCAACACCGAGATCCAACATATCTGACAACAAAAGTCAAAAACAAAAAGAGGATGAAGAAGACGAGGGTGGAGGTATATTTCTGACGCAGTCTTTGGTGACCCCAAGAGAAAAGAGTGGGCCTGAGATTGTGAGTTCCAGACCAGCTCGTGTGACATTCAAATCTGAGGAAATGGAACCTAAATACAAAAACTCGGTGCCAGCTTCTGCTAAATCACAACAGCTTGTTCCAGCAAAGAATGGTTCAGAAAGCAACGATTTAGACTTCTTCGCGGTCATGGACGACATTGTGAAGTCCGTGGATTCGAAACCCAAAATAGTCTGCAGTATTTGTGGCAAGACATTCTCCAGTCCGCGTATTTTGCCTTGTCTACACTCACTATGCTTCCCGTGCCTTGACAAAATGTTGACGGAATCATCGGATGAACAAACGTTTCCGTGTCCTGAATGTAAAGAAAATGTACCACGTGTTTCACCCGAGTTCATCAATAACGTATACCTGGAAGGAATCTTAGGAGTGGAAAATTCGAAGTTAGGAGAGTCTGCATTCTGCGAAATTTGTTCTCTAAAGAACATGAAGACACCAGCAAAGTACGAATGTCTTGATTGTGTCGACCTATTGTGTGAGAGTTGTGGGAATGCTCACTTATCGACACGTGCTACTGTAGATCATCGCGTGGTGTCGCTTCAGGAGATCGCCACGGGGAAGTACGACGACGAGATTAGGAAGAGAATCCGCGTTAAATGTCGTCATCACAAGGACGAGCCATTCGAGAGCTTCTGCAAGAAATGTAATTTGATGGTGTGTCGGGAGTGCATGATATTTGATCACCGAGAACATGATTGTGTTTCCTTACATGACGCTCACAAAGCAACAGAAACAAATCTGATGAGTCTCATGGGAAGTGTCACCAGAAAGCAACGTGAGATTTCCCTGAAAAGAACGAGAGTTGATACGTCAATGTCTGACATTGATACAAAGGAGAAAACATTGATCGATTACGTGAATGATCTCACACAACAAATGATACAGAAGCTGAATCGTGAACGCGAGGAGGTGGTTGGTAAACTCCAAAGACACATGAACGTGCAGAGGACAGAATGTCGGGAGGAGAAGGGCAAAATTGATAAGGAGCTTGTCCGTATCAACAGCGGACTTGCATTTTGCCATCAGGTCACGCATAACGGGAAACAAGATGAAGTGCTCTTCATGGCGCCAACTCTCGCTAAAAGGCTTAAAGAACTGGCACAGTCGCCGATGGCAGATCGGCCCGATGTTGCACTAGAGTTCCCCAATATCAGTCTGACTGACGAATATAAGATCACGGAAGCTGTAGACGTCTTTGAGTTCACACCAGAAAAAGAGAATGTTACGAGTTCCAGAATATCCAAAGGATTCGGAAAAACGATGGCAGTCTCTTTTCAGTTTATGGACAGAATCGACATAACGGGAGATACCGACAATCTGCCACCGAAAATCACAGGGCTGGCATGCACAGGTAACGGAAATCTTGTGGTTGCTGATAGTAACAATTCTAATGTGAAACTCTTTTCTACAACATGGGTGTTTATTGACACGCTACTTACGTGCAGACCCGTGGCTGTAGCCGCGTGTAATAACACCGTCTGTGTCAGCGACCGCTTCTCCATTCAGCTCATATCAACCGATAAGAAGTTCAAACGCAGAATTTCCCTGGAAGGCTCCGGGTCACTTTTTGCCGTGACGAACTTTCAATTGCGGTATTTTATGTTTGTCACTCCTCTTCAACAGAAGTTCAAAGTTTACGACACTAGAGGTGAGTTCGTGCAAGAGTTCCGCATGCCCAAAGCTAGACGAAAGGGAATGCATCGCACTGCCATGCATATCACGTCTAATAGTAAGGGCGAGATGTTGACCTCTGACTGGGGGTCATTCTCTATAGTACATACGAACACCGATGCTGAGATACTACACGAGTACAAATGTGGCACCATCGGTCGCTATAACAACGGTTGGATGCCTGGGGCACTCTCTGTCGACGCATACGACAATGTACTCGTGGCCGATCAGCAGAATAACCAGCTCATGATTCTGTCGCCTGATTTCAAGGTCATCCACAAGCGGAAGGTTAAACGAGACAAGCTTGAGCGTCCCACCACTATGGCAAGTGATACCCACGGCCACTACTTCGTGGCGGGCAAAGGTAACTGTGTCAACATTTACATGTGCAAATATGGATAAACCGAAATGGGGTTACGATGAAATGAGTTTTGGGGTTAGAAGACATCAGTGTGAATAGTATCTTCTTGGATTAACCAGACTACAGCTGTGAACAAAGAATGAATAAGTTTTCGCCATATTGTTGAAAATTAATCGTCCATTAGAATCATTGATGATTATATGCGTGTATCGAAATGGAAATGGGTAAGAAGTTGAATTCCAACGATGGTGGATTATGAAATTTAGTGCGGATGTGCCAAAGATAAATAACATTACGCAACGGGTTTTCATGGTGGTAAAGTAGTTGAACATATCAAGTATGTTCAGTCATATGACCAGTGACGTATAGCGTTGATTTGGATACCGTAAAAGTTTCGTGTCCAGTGAAGGAGATACATACTGCAGACTTTCATAATAGTCCTGAATTCACTTTGTTTAACATTTGTAGTTCAAAGAACAATATTTTGATGAGATAATTATCGTAGAGCTTCCATCGATAGTTATAAAAACTATATATTTCGTTTATTTTTTTTTTCTAATTGCAAAACAGGCTGTTAGCCCATACTAATCGTTCTATTTGGCGAGATGGAAACGTGCGTGACCTAGGGAACGTGACCACATACCTCTTCACGTCAGATCAGAGGCCTAGGTGAAAAGCAAGTGCATTACCACTGCGCCACCCGACCAACCATCGCTAGTTAATTACAAATCTTTTGATATGTAATTCTAACCGAATTACTCAGAAATTGTGTATAAAGTTGTAGGTTTCTGTTAGTGCATATACATAATAGTTTTCAGCATCGAAATTTATTTATTAATTTATCAATCATTTTCTGCATTGTTTCAAATGTTATTTGTTTTCTTTGATTATAAAAAAAAAAAGTTGATAAACTAACTAGTAATATTGTAGTGATTGACTGACTGGGTTCGTGATTGTAGAATATGGAGGCGGTCGATTAAGTCACAATAACAGGTAACTGTGACAGGTATTCACACACTATGTATGGAATGGTTTTATAGAGAAAGTATGGAATTTTATGTGAATGACAGCAGATACATGCAGTTACGTAGAACGATGTGAATGACCAGGTGTATCACGTGTAACGTAAGTCCGACTGGAGTTATATTGTTAGGATAAAACACAAATTTTATCACATCATATGATGAAGTTCGCTGAAGAGCAGGTGTTTTAAGTTATCTTAAGGTCAGCTATTATAAGATCGAAAAATAATATGTGTTATGATTAAGGTGACTAAAACCCAATTATCAAAAAATAGATACATCACATAGTTATGGCAGATAAAGTCCAGTTATCATAGATAGACAGTTTATGTGTTATGATTACGGTCAATAAAGCCCTCATGTGAAAGGTTGACAAACGTTTTCTAAAGTCAATGAAATAATTATTTTATGAACAGTTTGAAAATACATGTCTGCTGTCAGTAACTGAAACCTCCATAGACTATTCGTGTTACTGGAACCGCTATAGACTGTTCGTGTTACTGGAACCTCCATAAACTGTTCGTGTTCCTGGAACCTCCACAGACTGTTGGTGTTACTGGAACCTCCATAGACTGTTGGTGTTACTGGAACCTCCACAGACTGTTGGTGTTACTGGAACCTCCATAGACTGTTGGTGTTACTGGAGTCTCCATAGACTGTTCGTGTTACTGGTAACTCCATAGACTGTTCGTGTTACTGGTAACTCCATAGACTGTTCGTGTTACTGGAACCTCCATAGACTGTTCGTGTTACTGGAACCTCCATAGACTGTTCGTGTTACTGGAACCTCCTTAGACTGTTCGTGTTACTGGTACCTCCATAGACTGTTCGTGTTACTGGTAACTCCATAGACTGTTCGTGTTACTGGTACCTCCATAGACTGTTCGTGTTACTGGTAACTCCATAGACTGTTCGTGTTACTGGTAACTCCATAGACTGTTCGTCTTACTGGTAACTCCAGACTGTTCGTGTTACTGGTAACTCAACGATAAAATGTCCTTGTTCTAGTGTTGAGGCGCACAATGACGTAGATTCTTCAAACATTGCCATTCAGTTAATTCTCCAATGAACACAGCTTGACAAACTATTACCACATGATATTCAAATGACACACACACTCTGTAAACATATACAAAGGAAATTATTCTAAAGATCTTCGATCTCTGAACGAGCCATATTGATGATATGCTAGTTTGGAAATCGTTGTGCAATCGTGCATACAATGTACATGTAGCATCAAAGTAATGCTTTGGTGTAAGGTTTGACCAGAAGCACGCGTCTGGATAAAAACTATTACATTTCTTATCAATAATTGGCTCGTGATTACAGAATGTAACTGACTGTTTTGCATTTATCTTAACCATAAAGTTACATTGCTGTCGAAACCGTCCGTTTTAAATGTTGGATTGAATAGTGACCACACATGACGAGGACACCGGATATCGACTCGCTCCTGTTATATCGTAACAAAGTTATTTCCAGGTACACGAGAAAACGAGAACAATCCTCAATAAATTTTGCTTTCCTACTGGTGGCGGATATTAGCACTGAAAATCCTGTTAATGATTAAGAGAACAACTGTTGAACGTTTTAGAGCGATCTTGGATACCATGATGAACAACAACACAACATAATTTTCAGGAATTTTATTGCAAATTAATTGAAACAATGACAATGGAATTACCTAATTGCTGTCAAAAATCAAAATTAACCAAATTAACAGTTACAGACGTTTTACCAAAACAACAGTTACATAATGTCCTTTTCCAGTATTTTACACTATCATTCCTTTAGTAATGTACTGACTTGACTCCTTACAACACCATCACTAGTGAACTAGCTTTCCGTGATTGGACGATGGAAATTCCACCTGTCCCTGCAACTCTCATTGGGATAATGATAAACAGGATTTCACAATTTATACTTCATTTTGATGCTCAATGGAAAAAAATGAAAAATATTCCTTTATTGCAACTTGTATTGAAATGTATGTGAATGTTATAGACACCCGCCTCCATAGTTCAAAATCAGGGAGGTTATAGACACCCGTCTCCATAGTTCAAAATCAGGGAGGTTATAGACACCCGTCTCCATAGTTCAAAATCAGGGAGGTTATAGACACCCGTCTCCATAGTTCAAAATCTGGGAGGTATGAGCTTATACCTGTTCCAACGCAAATTTTCATATTCCTCAACTCAGTCAAAAATTTTGATTGATAAACAGAGGTATTTTTATACAAAGCGACTTTAAGTATTGGTCAACACCATTGTAATCTTGCTTTTGTTCTTGCAGCTCTAAAAAAAGTCATATTATGTATTAAAATAGAAATCGCTGTACCACATACATCTACTAAAAAACCTAGAAACTGGTATCTTATGTCACTGTTACATTTATAATAACACAAATGTTACTGATTTTACTGTTGAAGCCAATTCTGTTTCAAGTTGACCCTGCTATCAATGCACCACACTGACTAAAACAAGTACAAAATATAATTAACCCTTTGACAGGAAAATACAACAGTGGTATAATATATATACTTTGTGCAGGATTTGGGTAAAAAGTTTCAACACATCTTAGCTTTGGTCCCTTTTCTATAACTAGACTACCAATATTTTTTACTATTTGTTAGCTCTTGCAATACAGTGAAGTGGAATTGTCTCCCTTCCTGAAGGAAATGATGCAATAACATACTTTTTTTTTATAAAACATTTCAGGAAACGACACAATATCCAAAAAGTGTGTGAACTGATTTGGTTACGTTTTATTGAGTAAAAAAGAATCATCTCTTAGATTGGAATGATCCAATATATCATTCCAATAACTCAAATGGGCTGTTCACAATGAATTTCCATGCAAATGATAGCGAAGCCTGCATAGAACATACAAACCGACATTTTTTCATCAGAAAAAGAGATGATTAGAGCAGCTGAAATATACCAATAACATTTTAAAGTAAAGCAATGCTTATTGGGACATTTTGAATAATAAACATAGTGATCTTTATCATACAAAAAGGTGGACTTAACTTCTAACATCAGAAAACTGCAACAAATGAAATCATTTTCTCCTCAATCATATCTCACCTACTTAATGGAACTGTCCCATGTTCGTACAATGGTAGCTCATGATCTCTAGGAATAACACAAAAATGAGAAAATGTCTGTTATATCAGTATCCAGTATATTCTACACTCTAAAGGACAAGTCAATGGATCAGTTGTTTGAAGTCTGGTTAACATCTTCTGTTAATAATTTAACAAATTTTAAAATGTGATTTTTTAAGCAATAATTAAAAAATTACAAAACCTATCTTAATTGTCTTTAAGGTAATGTTTCTGAATATCTAGTTACGTACCTAAAAAAGTTCAGTTTAATTATTGAAGAATGTACATTTATTGTCATTTGATGTCAATTTGTTATACATCGATCAATGTTGGAACTGAACGTAAAAATGCATCCACTGTGCAGTTCACAGCTGTTGAACCCTCATAATTACAAATACAATATTCACGACATGTACAGTGTACATATGAATGCTGGAAAGTTAATAAGTACCTGGAAAAATACAGATATATATTTACAGGCAAACATGAAACAATATTTACCAATCTGTAAATATGACAATTTTTACATAGCATGACTTCATTCTTAAAATATCTTAGTTTTCATATGACTATTATAATTGAAATTATAAAAGTTCAATTAAGCTGGGAACAATGCTACAATCTTTAGAGTCATGACTGCTAAAAGTATGTGGCAACTTACAAAAGATAACAATCATAACCTGGTAGGCAAGAAAATTCTAGAAGAAAATCATGTATAAACATAATTTGCATTCATAAAAAAATCCGTTTGTAGCATAATCAACGACACTGACTGGCTTGGCTAGGGATAAGCTCTTTGTAAACTTCAAAGGAAAGACGTTAGACTTGATTTGTCAGACATTGTTTGTGACCAACTCCATTCAAACAGCTACCTGTTAGCCTTCAATTTCATCCACATTTCATCGAGAGCAGAGTCTGTGAATGTGTAAGATCCTGTTCCATATAACTTTGCTTGATACATAATCAAATTGATTAGTTTCTTGCTTAGCAAACAATGTACTTTGCAAAAAATCTATCACTGACATTCTGCTAATCTTTGATAACAAATAGCTTATACCTAGTTTAGCAAAACATCCCACCTATTTTACCTGGTAATCACACTTACTTGTCCTTACATATTAAAGGACTGTAATAATGTACATTTTTTGTAATTTTAGTTTTACTAAGTATTACGTAAAATCATGTACATGTCTGTATAGTTACCCAGATGTTTACTTTACAAATTTACTGAAACCACAAGTGGATATAATACAAAAGTGATCGTTTGCAAGTCAAAGAAAATGTTCATATTTTGAAAAATCACAATTTTACAACAAAACATTATTTACTGAATATGCAAACTGAAACAAAATGTACCAAACCCTCCAATATGTTACAGTTTTACAGATACATTGTCCACTAAAACATGTAAATATAATGTAAAATGGCGGAATCCTTCTGTAAAACAATACACCAATGTGTATTCAATCACACAATAGCTTAGCAAATCTCCTAGGTACCAGGACAAGCATTTAACATGACACATCAACGTAAAATTGAAGTTCCAGACATTTTCATTTGAAAGACAACAAAATAAAAAAACGTTTTTGGACTCAAATTGAAATATAAATCCCAATTTTGAAAAACATTTAATTTGAAAATGTAACTTACTGCTTGAATGCTACCTTATGGCCCTTTTCCCAAGTGTTCTATCTATTACAGAAATATTTTTAAAGAAGATGGATTTTGAAATTAACAGACAAAACAGTAAAAGATAACAAAAACAATAAAAAAATAAATAAAATTAACAAATAAATAAAAAAGTTTTACAAGTAAAAGCAATTTTTACTTAATAGATAAAGCTAAGTTTCTTTCAGGGAGATAATTTTAACAAAAATGTATCTTAGATCTTTAAGTTACCTGGTAGGTGTCATTATGTTAATAGAGCCTGGTACAACTTAAACTCTGTTTCCTTGAATTATCCCAACAACAGATAATATGATGGTCCTTTAACAAGATTCCTACAGAACTTGTAACTAAGTTCAGAACCTGGATTCCAACAGATCAACTCTCACTTGTCTGACTGTCAGAAACAAACGTATCCAATAGTTAACTGTATGTCTAACAAAAGAAACTGATTAGGTTGAGAACTACAGCTACATGTGAACTGTTTGGTCACCGTTGAGATAAAAATGACCACTTAGTATGTAAACTTGTACACATGCAGGAACTGATCGTTGCCAGTTATGAATAATTGGCCAGATCTATTCCCAGTCACGCTGAGTGGTTTTTGAATGGCTGGCAGAGTAGACCATTCTTGAAGATATTTGGCTTCACTATTCAGCAACAGTAGACGATTTCCTTGGTGGTCCAGGACAAATACAGTGTTGGCTGTTCTGTCATAGAATAACCCAGTCGGCAGGAAGCCATTCTGTTTGTCATTCTCACGATAAATGTCTGTGAAAAACATAAAATACAAATATTTGTAATATTTTTCTTGTTGTTGCATAAAACAACTAGGAGTATTCCCAGTCTATAATGCACACTTTTTATACCTAAATCTTTAATGACAAAACAGAATGCAAAATTAAATTTTAATATGTAAACCATATAAACAGTCACATTGGCAAGAATGGAATGGTGTCATAAATGTGCATATTACTTTAATTATTGAACTGCAATATAATTTTCACTATATATTGGCCAAACTTGATATTTGTCTACAATGCAACACTTACTGGTGATGACACCAGAACCGTCCATGAACACCACACTGCTCTGCTGCCAATCACTATAGACGATTGTCTGGCTCCCTGCACTGTTTGTCAGACTCATTACGTTACTCTTGAAGCGCTTCTTGTTGGAATGTCTCGGTACAATCTTATTGGTTGGAGCCCAATATTTCTCTTTCTTAGACCAGTTATACTCACATATGTTCTGTCCATTACCAATTAGAAGCTGAGTGATGCTCCCAGTCGACAATGGATGTGGTACTGCATCAAGGTCAAAGGTCACTTCTCCCCTTTCCTTGTTTCCAAGGTCTAGGAAACCCAGTGTATTTTCACTGCACCAAATGAGTTTTCCAGCACAGTAAGCCAGACTAACAGGCTGGAAGGCAGGATGTTCTTCCAAAAACTCACCAGATGTAGCAAACATTTTTATCTTGTTGTTACCACTATCTGCTACAGCAACCTTTTCCATCCCTATGCAAAGTGTTGCTGTAACATTAGGTTGAAATTTGTCAGAGCGAAGGTAGAGATCAATTCGCCACAGTGGAGACAACGTTGGAACACGTAATGGACCTGCAGAGGCTCCATTCATATTTCCCATTGGCATTTGTGAATTGAACTTGAAAGCTACAAATTGGTGAGGGTGGGCTATCTTCTGTTTCACAGAACGTGCTGTGGCAGCATTTTGCTGCTTTTTGTTGCCCTGATCTGGTTCCACTTTAACCTTGGGCTTCTGTTCTTGTCCTGCATTAGGCTTCTGTAAAGGATCTGATGATGTCTGAGCTGGATCTTGCACTATTCCATCTTTGTTTTTATTTTTGTTTCTAGGCTTCTTCTTTTTCTTTCCTTCTTCTTCCTGTTGAGTGTCCTCTCCGCCTGGGCAAGGTACTGTAGAGTTTTGTACTTTCTTTACTTTTGAAGATCGTTGATCTGGGCTCTGCACTTTTGGAGGTGTATTTATGTTAACTAAAGCCTCCTTGATCTCCCTGGCCTCTTCCTTTTTGAAGCTTTTGTTCTCTGACCTTTGTTTAGTCTTAATTCTGTTCTGAACTGACTGGGCATAATCAAGTCCACGACTGACATCAATTTTCTTTGCAAGCCACTGTGTCATGGTACACTGGGTAGGCATATCTTCAACTAAGTTGAAAACAATTTTCCTGTCATGAACAATAAACAGGGGTTCTGTTTGAGCCAATCGAAAGACCTTAGATGCCTGTGTAAACGGAAGTTTACTCCAGTTGAGAGGTTCTGGGTGGACTGTAGAATTCAAGGTTGTTGTCATGGCTCCCATGAACAGATTCTGATTGTCCAGAAACTCTTCATCAGTACTCTGTTGCAAAAATTTTAGACAATGTGATTTTACTTCTTGAATGCGATCAACAAGTTTGTGTGCATTCCTCTTTCTTTTCTTTCCAGATTTCATGGTTGCAGTCACTTTTTTAGTGATTGCTTCTATGGCTTTCTCCTCTTCCTTATCAAGCCTCTGCTTCAAATCAGCTACTTCAGCTTTTATTTTGGCAATTTCCTTTTCCTGGAGGCGCTGTAAATTGGCTAAAGCATCATCATTTGAAGTCATCTCTCTTTCGGCAAACTTAAGTCTTTGTGTCATTCCTAGCATCCTGAACTCAAACTCTTGTTTTCTGGAACTGACAGCCTGGTTGACAGGAAGATTTTTGTGATCATTATGTTTAAGGATAACACAGTCCCTACAGACAAGATTGTAGCAGTCTTCACAAAAGAAACGTACTTCTTCTTTTTCATGCTCTGAACACATCATATTTTCAATGTGAACTTTTTCAAGGGATTCCTGCCAGGACTCTTCATCAAGATCTGTTATCTTATGATCAATGGTGAAACGGGAAAACTTGTGCTTGTCAGCACATCCTTCACAGAGAAAGTCCTTGCATTCAAAACAGATTTTGATTGCCGGCAGGAACAGTGCATTAAGAGTACAGATACTACATTGTTGAGTATCCTTGGCCATGGCTTTTCCCTCTGCTAGACGTTTAGACAAATGATGTATGGGAAGTGTTGGTTCCTCTTCATAAGTTTCCTCCACTTTACAGATAGGACACTTTAAAGAGGTCTTCTCTTCCTTACACTGAACCAAGGTTTGGACGCAATCTGTGCAGAAAGTGTGTAAGCATTTCAACAGTTTGGGGTTCCTAAAGTTTCCACCACAAATGCGACATAACCTGAAAACATCTAGGCCTTCAAAGGGTCCTTTCAACCCTGATTGTTGTTTAGATTCATCACCATCTTCTCTCTTCTTCTTCCTTTTCTTCTTCTTCAATTCATCTTTGGAACAGGTGGTACTGTCTGGACCTGCTTCAAGATTTAAAACTGCTTCAAAAAGTTTCCCTTCCTCAGTTTTGTCTTCCTTTACATCCTCCTCAGCTGAGGAGTCAGTCCCTGACAGCTCTTGGCTGCCATCACTGTCACCCCCTTCTATCTTATCATCCTCATTCTCATTGTTGTTCTCAAAGGAATGAGGGGACAAGGTAGCCTCTGACCCTGGGTCACCCTGAACCTGGAGATTATCTGTATCCATGCTCATTGGTTCAGACAGGAGAGGTGTTCCCTCTCCTGCTGAACCACCCAGGTCTGAGGAATTCGGATCCATCATCATAACCACACGTCACTTCAATGCCTGTAAATCATGAGAAAATAATCATACTTGGGATCTTCATATTCTGAGATCAGTTAATGTGTTATTAAAATGGAACATATATGATTACCATCTGCTAAGGCTCTGATTTATTAAAACATCAAATAAGTACAAGTTTAAAGAACATGCCCCTTTTTTATATTACATCTACTTGCAAAATTAGAGTGCTTTTATATATAAACATCTGTTATTGTAACCATCAAGCTTTATCAAGTTTACTCTGCACCACTTACCTGTCCTCTCTCTCAATGACTTGTAACCTTTAACCTTAAAATTCAACTTGGCTGGTTAGTCAATGGAGTGAATCTAAAATTGTAAAATCAAAACAGTTCTTACATAAAAGAGGTTGTGAAATTGTGTTACACTGAATGTCATATTTTTGAAATCCCAAGTGGCTTACAAATTAGAGCAAGATGTGCTTGCATTTTGTCAATAATATACAATGTTTTGGAATTTTAATCCATTACGATAGACTTAGTTGTAAACATCTTGCTTTAGTTTTTTTTTCCAGTTGAAGATCTACTTTTATGTTAACTTAGTTTACATTTCTTCACATTACTGTCACTTTTGTGTTGAGTATAATCAGTGTAAATTCTTTGGCTGTGAATCACAACTAGATCCTAAAACTTAGTTCAAATTGATAAAGTAATATAATTGTCACATTTGACAATGCTTCAAGAGGAATAATTTGAACTGCATAAAGACATAACCTGTACTGACAAAATGGAAATGCAATAAAGGACAAAATAAAGTTTTTGGATAAAAAAATATCTCATTTACGAGTACTGTATGGTGTTATTATAAGTGAGTATATGGAAAATGCATCATATAATGTCTCACTATCTGATGTCATACAGAGAAATATTTAAGTAGTTTTTGTTTTTTAACTAAATAACTAATATAACCATTCTACACATTCAGGAACAGATTCATGGAAAATAAATGGGTATTTAAGAAGAAATCATACTTACTTTTGTCACTATCTATGTGTACTATTTTCACTGCTATATGCCAGACATGTTTTTGCATGCCACAGTGAAATAAGACTGTTTTGCACAAAAAATCCATTTCAAATGATTTGTATATGTGTTTTATTGGTGTCCATGAAGTTTGCTTTTAAAAAAAACCTTTAAGCTTTGTAAGAAAATTGATCAAATTCATGTCAATGTGTAAAGTTGTTCGAGAGTCATGGGAAGTCACTTGTAAATGATATTTCACACTATAGCCTTGAGTAAAACAAAACTGGTTACATTACAGTACTTAAGTAACAAGATCATTCATATTTATGTACAAGTGAACATTTTGGAATAAAGAAAACATTTATTGAATAAAAGTGAGTGCTTTATGTTATTGTGTATGGAAAGTGGATCACAACTTCAACAAAACCAACAGACTTCATATATATGCCATGAACAACTGGTTGTTTAGCTTTCATCACAGTGTGGAATCTGAGTGAAGATTGAATGAAAAATATCATGACCAACAATTATTAAATATCTTTGCAAGCTTTGGGTAATGAATCGTCTGAATGCTGATGAAGTCGAGATTTCGACTGATTGTACGAGTAAAATGGCATATATTCCAACAAAGTTAGAAGCTAACAAGGAGAGATGTTTATGACAGGAGCTCTATGTCGCCACATTGTCGTCAGACAATAAATAAGCCGGGCACTGGCCTGATTCAATGATATTAGTATGTTGTCATATCTAAAATCGATGATGATTGCTTCGAGGTGGCTTGATAAATGCCGGTGTGATTTACCTATTTACAGTGTTAGAGTTCGATTAAATAGTTCGATCTACTTTCACTTTCTCAACAAGTACAATGTAACGCTAGCGATGGTTCGTATTTTGGTAATGGGGTCCAAGCAAGATTTCTGAACTGACAAGCCTGTTTAACTCAAATAAGCTTCTGGTTTTGGGGCAAATAGATTAATCTTTTTACTGTTAGATACTTCAGCGTCTTTGAAAAGGGTCTTGGGTACCTTCATGCAAAGAAAATATCCTTCGAAACAAACGTGGTTATAACTGAAGAACCGGAACCCGCTGAGAAGGAAGTAGGGAACCGGAAGTAAACCCAATTACCGGATAGCTAATTTTAGAGCATGGTGAAAATAAATAGATACGACGTTGCGTTGTGTCAAATAAAAAGATACAATCAGTAAAGATATTTACAGAGAAATAATAAGCAAACTTATTAAGTTCAGTGTGTATTAAGAAAAATAGAGTTACTTCCCTTGCACTTCAAGGTTTCAGAAGTGACTTATCGAAGTCAAGGTCGTTGCAGACGAATTTCTGGAAGATGGAGCTATCAGTAACTTCAGTGTCAACCTCAACATTTGAGGGCCAGAAGCCAGGGACAAGTGGTTTGAGAAAAAATGTTAAAGTTTATCAACAACCTCATTACACGGAAAATTTTGTGCAATGCACATTGTCAGGGGGTTTGAAGGATAAGTTGCTCGGAAGTACGGTGGTAATTGGAGGCGATGGACGGTATTACATGAAGGAAGCAACTGAGATAATTATACAGATGTGTGCAGCGAATGGGGCAAGTTGACGTGGCAAATAGCTCGCTTTTAAAAAGTATTTATGTGATACATTCTACTCTCATGAACTTGTTCTAAATTTGATACTTAAGCTAAAAATGTTGTATGAATGTTGATTGCTGACCAGGATATATGATAAAAATAAAAGCATTGTCTGCTTACCGCTACACATGTACACAGAGTACAATTTAAATGGCTCAAACACTTTGACACTTTTTTCCATATACTTCATTAACAATTGGAACTCTGTGAAGTTATAAACACTTTTTCAGGTAGACATGCAATGTACTGTAAGTACTAAACAGTATGTTTAAAGAGTTTAATCAAAATCTGCTGTCAATAGATAATATGTACTTAGGGATTAAGTTATATGCGATGTAAATTATACAACCATGTGATTTGTTGTTTTTATGATCGTTTCAATGATAAAATGAACCTGTGGAATGTGGTCAAACCAGTCTAGCTTGACACTGATCATATGGTACACATAGGCAACAGTTGCTTCAATTTCATGGTCCTATAAGAAAAAAGTGCCAGTGCCATGAGATCCATTATAGAAAGTAATGGATCGGAATTGTATCATTTATATCAACCTTACTTTAATAAAAAATAAAAGAAAAATGAGATTGATATCATTCTGTAATAACTATGTTGTACTATGTTTTTTTTTTATTGATAAGATTAATTCCTGGCACTTTTCAACAGTACGCTATGGCCTAATGCATGATACTGGCAACATTTTATATGAAACAAGAATGTGACGTTAGAGGAATGATAACGTACTTGATTATAGTAGGTAGCTGTTGCTTTGATGTGGTTATTACATGTATTTCCTCTTCAGTACTTACAATCACATTTTGAGTTATGCAAACCCTTTGACATTGCAAACATCTTTTCTGAACTGATGATGAATGTTCCCTCATTTACAAGTTAATTATGAATGCCTTTATGGCATGATAAACATAACGGGAATTAAAGTGAACAAAATGACTGTTTGACAAATCTGTGAAAGGTCTTACCATTCCTTTGGAACCTAGACTTATTTATGCTGTGGTATGTTACAAAATGTTGCCTGTACACTATAAAACTGTAACACTGTGTATACCTAAACAGTGTTACGAGTACTTCATATACATTGACATCATCAGCTTGGTCCATCAGTCTTTAGAACTTTTAACCCATGTTGTGTCCTAGTGATGGTGGGTCGACAGTGGCAATCAACTCACTGTCCATCCATGGATGGTGTCTGGTCTCTCTCTTCCCATTTGCCCCAAAGCCAGAATGATTCACATTCTACAGTCACAGCTACTCTGCACATTGCCATCTTGCATGTATTCCCAGATACACCTTAACCTTGTCCAAGCTAATTTTGAGTCAATTTCTGCAGCCCTTGCTTTCCTGATCCCTTTTCCATCTCTGCAGATTACCACTTACCTCGTAACTCTTTTCTGTACCTTCCCACCCCTGGAAATGGAAAGCTTCTAAACCTTGTCACTTGCAGACAATTTTATGCCTGTCTTGATCTGGATTCCTACATATCTTTTCATCCTTGCAATGTCATCACTACTCTGGCCTTTCTTACCATGAACTGATACGCCAGCGATACCAGCAGAAGCTGTTGTGATGATGTTCGGATGTACAGCCCAATGCTGGATAAACTGGATTGGACTCCAAGCCACCTCTGCATGTGTCTGCTGATGGATCTTTCCAATCCATCCACTGTTGTTAATTGAGCCTCATATAGCATCAGGGGCTATATGAATTTTAGTAGCAGTCTTTATTTGAAGATCCATGCCTTCAATTATCTTGGCAAGCCAATCTTGCCAAGCCAATCTTGTCCATGTTCCTCTACTGCTTATGCTTCTAGTATCTTTCAGTGATGTAGTAAACCATTTTCCGAGGACCATGGTTGAGTTGTCTTAAATTGACTGCAATTGATGGAATTTCCTCTCTTTGTACAATTAGGTTGAACTGTTAAGTTAGCTTTCTTTGCCTTGATCTATGATGTCATCCTTCTTGCCAATACTGCAAAAAATATTTTGCCTTCAACACTCTTAGAGAAATGATTCAGAATTTTTTTATGTCCTTAGATCCTTTCTCCTTTGAATAAGAACATGTCTTCACCTTCTGCCGGCATGCTGAAATAGTCCCTTTCTTCCAAACTTTCATCAGTAACTGCCACAGTTGTTTCAACATGGACACTTCTTTTATATACTTTATAAGGTATTCCACTTAGGTCTAGTGCCAATCCGGTCCTGGCTTCCTTATCAAGTCATACCTGAGAGACTACATCAACCATATTTGTAGCATGAAGTAATAAGCACATATGTGTTTGGATATGTACCATTTATTTACTTTTCCAAGAAATAATTGAACAACTGATTGTCCAGATGGAAAATATCAATACCATGCAGTTTAAATTTTTTTCAAAGAAAATAAGTGTTGTATATTAAGGGAACTCCTGAAAAAGTGTTTGTAATGACATTATACCAGAAGTATATATAAATCAATTTTAATATCCAATAAGGTGCGAAATGAATGAAATATCAGTAGTCCCTCTGGGATGAAGATATGTCATGACAATTTGAAAATGTTTGTCCAATTAGTAAATAGTGAACTGCTGTCATTTGCATAGTATGTGTGATAAAGGAAACAAATGTTTTAAGAAACAACATTCTGAAAGTGAAATTGTTGTTTTTAGGTGAAAAAAGTGATTGTTGGAGAGAATGGGTTGATGTCCACACCAGCTTTATCCTGTGTGATCAGGAAGTATCAAACAGATGGCGGAATTATTCTCACAGCCAGTCACAATCCTGGGGGTCCTGATGCAGATTTTGGTATCAAATTCAACACTGCTAATGGAGGTTTGTCATAGTTTATGCTGCATTTAGGTCATTATTATTGACATGCATATCATTAAATAGTGACACCTTAAGTATTTATGACATATTTTAAAAGTTGTTAAAAGAAACCCCTTTTTACTTGTTTATGACTGTCATATGTTTTTAAAGATACGTTATAGTATGGAGTTTTCCGTTCCTGATATGCTCTTTCTACTGGGAAATCTCCATTTTCTGTTAATTTTCTTTTTGTATTTTTAAGACATCAGTTCAAATATAATTTCAAAAGAATTAATGTCCTTTATTTTTCAACACATTGAATTAGTCTGCAGATCTCTCGCTGAGAGGCTTTATTAAATATCACAACCTGTAGCTGTGCTTTAATATGCAGCCTTTTATTTGAGATTTTGTGTGTTATGAAGTTTCCAGATTTCCAATCATTTTGATGCAGATTTATGTTCTGCTGTTGGACAGATGTATCATAACACTCAAACTGTGTGTCAAATTCCCGTCAGAATATAAGTTAGCTATAACATATTTGTTTAAAAGGGTTTCTTCTACATTTGTTAACAAAACACATTTTAAACAAGCCATTTTTTTAAGCAAAACCTTTTGTGTTTTAGGTCCTGCCCCTGAAAATGTAACCAATGCCATTTTTGAGTTGACAAAGACCATATCAGAATACAAGAACTGCTCTGACCTGCAGCCAGTTATTTCTGTAATTGGATCTACTGATTATAAGGTTGATGGTCATGTCTTCACTGTAGAGGTTATTGACTCAGTTGCTGATTACGCTTCATATATGAAGGAGATCTTTGATTTCGGTGCTATTCGTAGCTTGCTCTCCGGATCAGATGGAAAGCCAGCCCTTAAAATTCTCTTAAATGCTATGCATGGAGGTTTGTATATGTGGAGTATGACAATGCTAAGAGACAATGCTATTAAATGTTAAAAAAAGAGAAAAGAAAGAGAATAATAAAAGGGAAATATAATCTTACGGTTTTTTGAAAGAATTTTAGAATCTGTGAAATAAAATATCTGTATATTGATTTATTTTATTCATTTTTGTGAATGGTCATATGAGGATATTTTTTTAGAATAAATGACATACTTATTACACTTAAAAGTTGAATAAAACTTTTGTCATTTACGATTATGTGATAATCAAATTAAGAAAACAAGTTTTAAGTCAATAGAAATAATGTATGATTTAATGGAAGACTTAAAATTCTTTGTAAAAATCCAATGATTCCTGTATTTGAATGTTACGAATGATTGCAGAGGGATGTTATTTTTGATTTTGAATGTGGCCTACGTTAATTTTGTCATACAGTTTCTATAGAAGTGCTTTTGTGATGTTTTTTCTAACAATGATTTAGCACATTAATAAATATCTCATATATGATTTCTTTTCAATTAAGAATAGTTACAGATTCAAGATTCAAAAGAAATGATGGAATAGCTGTGATGTAGTATGAATACTGTCCAGTTAACTTTGAAAGTGTGTATTATTTGTGTTGCAGTGATGGGCCCCTATGTCACTAAGATTGTGTGTGGAGAGCTTGGAGCTCCTGAAGACAGTGCTGTCAACTGTGTGCCTCTTACAGATTTTGGAGGTCATCATCCCGACCCAAATTTGACTTATGCAGCTGATCTTGTTTCTGAATTGAAGAAAGGTCAGCATGGATTTGGAGCTGCTTTTGATGGTGATGGGGTTTGTATTAGTTGCATTTATATATATGCTTATTATCTTAAGTTAACATGGTATTGGAGAGTAACGAAAATACAATGAAGAAAATAGTGATTTTAAAGTGAAAAAATTAATCATTAATCATTTAGCTGAAAAGGTTTCCTTACATGCCAAACACACATTTTTGGGTTTTTTTGGTAAAGCTAAAAATTAATAGGTCAAATGCTCAATTAGTAAAAGGAAAAGACTGGATTCAAATTTTGATAGGTCACAGGATAGTCTTTCTCAGAAATGTCACAGGTGATAGTTTCTCTCAGAAATGTTACAGATGTTAGACTCTCTCAGAAACATCAAAGGCAATTATCTCTCTTCTATGTGCAGGACTTTATAGATATGAAATATTCATTTAATGTTAGAAGTTTTGCATCAGTTTATGATGAATTAATGTATACTACTAGGACAGGAACATGATTCTCGGAATGGATGCCTTCTTTGTAACCCCATCAGATTCTCTGGCTGTACTGGCCAACAACCTGCAGTGTATTCCTTACTTCAGGAAGGATGGTGGCAACAAGAAAGGGTTTGCCCGCAGTATGCCTACCAGTGGTGCTGTGGATAGGTCAGTCAGCAACCTTCTGGCTAATGCAAACTGAATTTTGATTTTCACTATTTAGCACTAACGTCAATTGCGTGAATACTGAAGCTGAAATATATATTTGTCTAAAGGGTGAATTTAACACAGAGAAAATGTTTGATATGAAGGCAAAAAAAAAAAAAAAAAAACCAAAAAAAAAAACTCTCTGGGAATGTTTTTTTGTATTCACTATAGAGAAATTATATATATGATGATAATAGTTATGTGGATGGAGTATATATTGTAGCTTGTACTGTACCAATCTTTCAACCATAAGGTCATAGGTTTGAATTCATTGCTAAGCAAACTGTTCCCATAATGTTCTTCCCAGCAAGGATGTTTATTTAGTATATAATATAGAGTGTTGTACAGAAAATGATTAAAATAACCTCCAGACACAAAAGGAAGTAGTATAATGTCAAATGTATAATTTAATGTTGTAGAGTATTCACTTGTCGGAACGTTCATTTTTTTTTCGCAGGGTGGCTAAGAAGAAGTGTGTGGAGTGCTTTGAGGTACCTACTGGCTGGAAGTTCTTTGGTAACCTTATGGATGCAGGTCGTCTCACTTTGTGTGGCGAAGAAAGTTTTGGAACTGGATCTGACCACATTCGAGAAAAAGATGGACTATGGGCTGTGCTTGCTTGGCTGTCAATCCTAGCAGAGAAACAATGTAGTGTGGGGGACATTCTCTCAGAACACTGGAAAGAGTATGGGAGGAACTTCTACACTAGGTTTGTCTCCAGTGTGATACTTCATTTGATGGTGTCGGTTAATGTGTATATATATATATGATTGCTGTCATAGAAACTCACATGAATTCATCCAAGAATTGAAAATAACATTTTAAAATTTTCATCAAAAGCGATAATACACCTGTACATCATACTACAAGATGATGTTTATTTTTAGTATCCTACATTAAAAAGCCATTTGTCTTGTTATAGATAATCTTCTGTAGCCTGTTGGCTGAGCAGGTAACATATCCATTTTTCATGGAATTTTTTTCTGGCACACGTATTTTAGATCAGTGGCCTTTATCATCATATACAATTTATGCACTGGTGCAGCAGTGTCCTTCTGCTTATCATTTTTTTCTTGAAAAAACTTGCTTGGATCCATTTTTCCTCTAAATGACTTTATAGGTAATTATGATATTGATCAGTGGTTAAAAGAATAGAATTACATAAGGATAGCTATGACCCCCCTAAATGGAATGGTTTAAAGTAAGATTCCTTATATGAATGAAGTGGTTGTAACAATGTTGTGTAAATGAAATGTTTTATCATCCAGGAAATGAGGTGTTGCCATCAAGGACCTAAATGTTGATATATATGTGTTATATTGAGGCTGTATTGATCTACTCTTGTAAGGAGTTTTATATTGACCTATTATTGTGATGAATAAAAGATTATTCTTAAAGTGCTGATAGAAGGATTTCGACATACCCAGTGCATGTAATTTTGTACCTTGGTCATTGCCAAATGTCGTATATTAATGAAGGTGTGGCACACAAAGAGGTAGAATGAAAAGAGGTTACAGTCAAAAGCATATACCTAGGTGCAGTGTATTTTCAAAGAGCATAAATTAAGGTTTTCCTAAAATGAATACCTTTTAAATTACCATAGAATTGACTTAAACCTCCTGCAATTTAAACTGAAAACAGCATTCTGTATAGTATTTCATCATTACTGTATACATCCAATAAAAAAAGAAAAAATCCCATGAAATTGGTGATTGTACTAATAGTGACTGTGTCTTTGTTACGAAGATGTACTAATGGTGATTTTATGTTGAATGCAGGAAGAGTAATACAGATTTAACTGAGCTGAGAAATGTAACTTAAACCTTTATAAATCAGTATGGACAATGTATGCTCTACTGTTCTGTTTAATAGGTACGACTACGAGAACTGTGAGTCTGGCCCTGCCAAGAAGATGATGGACAACCTAAACGCATTGATAGATGATGGAACTCTGGTAGGGGCTACCCACAATGTAGGAGGCAAGACATACAAGGTGGCCACCATGGATAACTTCAGTTACACTGACCCTATTGATGGCAGCATCAGCAAAAATCAGGTGAGTCTTGAAAAATTAAAAACTAAGGTGTACTCTGGTAGCAAATAGGATAAGATATACAATTGTTATATGTATAAACAGAAAAAAGGAAATATGTTTAATGTTGTTTGTTAGCAACAATAAGAACCAAATATTTTTCATATTGATTGGTGATTCAAATTGCCCTCCATGGTCCGTCCATGTGTCCGAAAACAATATTTATTATTTCTATTTCTTGAGAAGTACTGAATAGACCTTTCTCAAATTTTATATGTAGGTTTCCTATTTCCTTAGTTGTGCCTGTTTGTTTTTTGGACTGATTAGCAAAACAAAATGGCTGACAGGTGGCCCTGTGGCCCTTGATTGTGACTTTGAAAGTTTGTTATTGCTGTTTCTTGAGAGGTACTGGTTAGAACTTTCACACATTTTGTATGTAGGTTTCCCTTGGCCCCTTGTTTTGTGCTTCTGATTTTGGGACTGATCAGAAAGATACAATGGATGGCAGGTCTTGGATTTTGCAGTTGATTATTATTATCACTATTTCTTAGAGGAGTTTCAAATTTCATATAAACAAAAGTAAAAACAGAAGTAATGAGAGAAAAGAAGGGAAAAAGATTCATCATTTAAAGAACAAATAAAGGTCAAAGGATAATGGGCACCAAGAGGAATCACTTTTTTTTTGAAGAGGCAAAAATGCAAAGCTGCATTTAGTTTGGATAATGATTAGAATATTGCAGAATATAATCTTTTTTTAATATTGATGAAAAGCATTCATTGAGACAATTATGATACAATTCCAATAAGAAACCTGGATATATGTGTATTCCATAAACAGCTGTCCAAACTACAATCACCTCAAAATAAACCATAGCCATAGCATTAGAATGTATGAATCACTGTATGTATCAGATGTTTCAAAACAAGATTACTGCCAATGAAATTATATGTATAAAAATCTCTACCAAATGGTAATTTTGAAATTTTCAGGGGGTGAGAATAATTTTCTCTGATCAATCACGTATCATATTCCGACTGAGTGGGACTGGAAGTAGTGGTGCAACCATCAGGATGTACATAGAGGGATATGAGTCAGACTCTGACACTTTCACTAAAGATCCCCAGGTTTGTATTCTTCCTGGCCCTGCAAATATCAGAGTGTGATGTTATTGTAAGTTGTAAGATGTTATACATTTTATAAGAATCAACAGGAAATCCATTACCCCAAGATCCTACTGGTGTAGCTCACATGTTTGTATGCAGATCTGCTTGATCTATAAATAACATATTTCAAAGTAAGTTATTCAGGATGAGCTGATTGTGAATTCAAGTGTTATTTATTTTCATGTACTAGGAATGTATGTAGTATGACTGCCTTTTTTTGGCCCATCATCAGATGGTGGGCTATTCAAATCACCAAGCGTCCATGGTTCATGGTCCATCCGTCTGTCATCCGTCGGTCCATAAACAATTTTTGTTATCACTTTCTTGAGAAGTTCTAGATTGATCTTTCTCAAATTGTATATGTAGGTTCCTCTTGGTTCCTTGTTGTGCTTGTTTGATTTTAAAACTGATCAAGAAAACATATGGCTGACAGGCAGCCATCTTGGTTTTTTTCAGTGATGTTTGTTATTACTAAATCTAAGGAAGAAATGGATTTCTCTCAAATTTCATATGTGGGTTCCCCTTGGTCTCTAGTTGTGCCTATGATATTTTGGGACTGATCAGAAAAAATTTCAATTTAATTTGATTATGAGAAGTACTGAATGGATCTTTCTTAAAATTCTTATGTATGTTCTCCTTGGTCCCTAGTTGTGCTGATTTTATTTTGGGTTTGATAAAAAAAACAGAATGGCTGACAGGCGGTCATCTTATGTTTTAACTTTGAAAATCTGTTATTGCTATCTTGAAATGTGCTAGATGGATCTTTCTTAAATTTCAGATGTAGGTCCACTTTGCTCCCTAGTTGTGCAAGTTTGATTTTGGGACTGATCAGAAAAATAAAATGGCTGACATCTTAGATTTTGAATTTGAAAGTTTTTGTTTTGGCTATTTCTTGAAAACTACAGCACAGCATAGATCTTTCTCAAATTTCATTTGTATGCTTTCCTTGATCCCTAGTTGTGTCTGTTTGATTTTTGTACTGATCAGAAAAAACAAAATGGCCCATAGGGGTCATCTTGGATTTTGCCTAGTAAAGATTGTTAATGCTATTTCTTAACAAGTGCAGAATGGATATCTCTCAAATTTCATACTTGTGTTCCCTTTGGTCTCTCGTTGTGCTCATTTGATTGTGGGACTGATCAGAAGAAACAAAATGGCTTCCTTGCAGCCATTTTGGACTTGGCTGGTAAAGATTATCATCACTATTTCTGCAAAGGAATGTTCAAATGTGTTATCATTAAGAGCAAAACAGAGAAGAGAAGAGAAAAGAAGGGAAAAGATCAAACTATTAAAGAGCGTATAAAGATCAAACAATGGTGGGTGCCAAGATCCCTCTGGGATCTCTTGTTTTTTTTGGGTTTTTTTTCCGTTCCAAAATTGAAACATTTGTCAACAGTTGTTATAAAATTGTAGAAATTTAATTAAATTTTTGAGAATGAAATTATCTCCCACAAAAATAGAAACCAACCTGGAAAATGAGACTACTTCACAGCTATGAGGTAATCTGTTTCAGTAATGTAAAATTTTTATGGGAGCATATAGTAGAAGCTTTGTTTTTTTTTTTAGATGAAAAATACTTATTGCGGCTTAGGTTTAAGTACTTAATCAGTGTTTCAATGCCATGAGTATTTCTGAAGACTCCAGAAGAGAATTGTATTTATCCTTTGATGACCTCATCAGGTCAACCCATTGTCTTTGACACAAAGTTAGGAGAAATATTTCTGATACTTAAACAAATCGACAGTAATATAGACTGTTTCCTATTTTTTTCAGGATGTGCTCAAACCGTTGATAGAAATTTCACTACAAATTTCACAGTTAAAGGAGTTGACAGGACGTGACAAACCCACAGTCATCACATAAAGACCATGTTGTTGAAGAAAATTATATATATTTATAGTCCCTATTAAAAACCTACCACTAATTATGATTATGTGAAAATGTTGGCTTTTTGTTGGCACTGAAAATATTGCATAGTATTTCATACAATATTTATACATCATATCTTTTTGAAATGAAAAATAAAGCACTTGCAGTCCTTTAGGTAGATTTGATTGTTTGAAATGCAGGACATGTTTTAGATTTGAAATTTTAGAAATTTTTGATGTAAGCATTGTAAAGTGGGAAGGGAGTTAACTCCTGTAAGCATGCACAAAGATATTAATCAGAGTATCATTAGTGTTAAGTTGTAGTAGATGTCATGGAATTATAGATACCATAATCATAGAGTTAGAATGGAGTTGACTGATGGAAGGGGGCAATTACTGGATATATTCTATATTAATACAATAGTAAAATTGGAGATTACTAATTAGGGTATCGGTGGTATTTAACTGGGGTTTCGTTTGATATACAACGTTAGCATTACCAGCAACATTCCAATTTCATTTAATGTTATTTTCCCCATTACTCTTTTTGAAGTGTTATTCTGGGGAAATTTGAAAATGCTTAGAATAAGATTTTGTTTTAAAAGCATTGTAAAGGAAATTGAAATAGTTATAAAAATGCAATAAATAAAAAAAAAGTGTAGTCATGTGCTTACAACTTAAAAAATTTGTTTATAAGAAATTCATTAACTGGCATTGTGTCTTACTAAAATTAGGTGACTTGCTCTTTTTAACTGTATGTAACTTACTCCATCTTATATTACCACCATTGGATGAGAGAATAAAGAATACAAAATTGAGGACTTATACCACCTTGTATACAATGTTAGGGCTCTTTACTATGTCTTGCTTGTTTCAATTCATAAAAAAAGGTCTTTCAGAATATGATATTTTGACACTGTCTTCATTGCAATGTCATAATTGCTATTCAAGTTTACAAACACATATAAACTGTCACAGGCATAGTCTGATGTAGGTATAGAATTGTATGCATATATACTGTCAACTCTGACACTGTGTCATTTATTTCATCATGGGATGACAATTTTTTTGTTAAATTTGTTAACAATGATTGATTATGTGTGTTCAAATAGCATTTATTGTGCTTGGCATCATCTTTGGTGCAAAGTTATATTTAAACTTTTTTAAACTATTTTTAAAAGTGCTAATTATATTCAGTGAAGGAAAAAGTCTAGTCACAGATTCTTATGGGTATGACTATTGAATTATCTGTGTAAAAAAAAAATACATGAATATACAGTTGGTGCAAAATTAGGTACAGGGGAAAGTACTTAGCTATATATTCAGGATTTGGTTAACTATGATATAATGTATTATGTACTTGTAATATTTTAGGTATACTGTTAAAATCTTTTGCTCTTAGTTACAGGTCCTCAATAATTCAAAATTGAATAAATACATTTTACATACCTGCATAATATCCCAAACCAGATTTAGATATTGCTTGCTTATCCATGATGTTTTCAATAACTATGACTGTCCTCACCATTTTTATTTTGAGTATGCATGTAAGTGCCCTGGTTTGTTAAAGATTTTTTTACCTTAGATTGTTTAAAAGATAATTTACAAACATGAAGTAATTGTTAGCTAATGAAGATCTATTTAGATTTATCTGTTACAGTTTCATGTTAATGAAGAATATTTCAACACTATTGGAATAGGTCTATCACAGGTAATATGTAGATCAATGTGTTATCCTACAATTAATATAAAAAGGAATACCTTTATTCTTCATGTTATTTTCATCATTTCAGGGTTATTTTCACTACAAAATCATATAATTCTTTTACAGATGAAGTAATTTACATTGATCGATAAAATATATTTAATAACTAGTCTTCATGTATTTTTATTTTACCAATGAAGACTGCCATATCATTGTATAAATATATATATATATATATATATATACATTTGTGAGTAGGTTGATTTGTAACAGACTTATCCAATTTACTGTTGTTTTCTTGACAGAATCACAAATGCCAAAAAGCTTGTTGAATTTGAAACCTTGATCTGTGTTTTTAATGTACTTGTAACAAAGTGCGTCAGTTTCTACATTGTTATCATTTGAAGATATTATTTGTTAGTTATAATGCTGTAAGTTGATACAGAGTTATCTTTCTTAGCATTAAAATTTGTACAGTACAATTTTCTGTATGCAATAAAGGAATGAAATATGATGGAAATTAGAAAGTGTCCTGTTGTTGTGTGGAATGGTGGTATAACAATCATAATAACCAGATGCAGTCCAATCTGTCTGTAAATGCCATACATTTAGTGGTCTTAACACTAGTAATAGGAGGTATGGTTAAACATGCCTATAAATGCTATACAGTCCATGGTCCCGACACTAATAACAGGTACATTAAAACCTGTAAATAAAGGCCATACAGATGGTGGTCATACACTGGCAAAAAATCTATATAATCCATCCTGTCTATAAAGGCCATACAGATGGTGGTCTAACACTGGTAACAATCAGATAGCAGTACAACCTGTCAATAAAACCACATAATCAATTACAGCTTAAATTTACAGTGTAAATAAAACAGGTGAAATACAGTATACTTTGGTACCTTTATCAGGTGAGTTACAGCTTACCTTTGTACCTTAACCAGGTAAATTACAGCTTACCTGGATACCTTTACCAGGTGATTGACAGCTTACCTGGGTACCTAAAGAATGTGAATTACAGCTTAAATACAGATCTAAATATGCTGAACTACAGCTTATCTAGATACCTAAACCAGTTAATTACAACTTACTTTAGACTAAAGTTGTAGATGGGCTACAGCTTAGATACAGATCTAAATAAGAAAAACTGCAGATTACCTGGGATGTGAAGGAGATGAATTATTGCTTACCTGAGTACCTCACAAATTACCTTTCTACCTTGGTACAAGATATTACCAGCAGTGAGATAATTATACAATGTCATTAATTTGAGACATTTTGAGAAATTCTGAGGTGGACTTTGATAGGGTGTGTAAAAAAGTAGAGATCACAGGTAACTGAATCCTGCATGCAGACTTGAATGATCCTGTCTGTCCTATTCTGTTCTTATGCCAAATGGCTTACAATCTTGGAACATTTACAGCACATGAAAGGCTGACATTTATAATCTGATATTGACCTCTGGCTTAAGGGGAGGACGTATCTGAAACTTCTGCAGGTGGATTATTTTTACCATAATTTGATAATACTAGGTTTGCAATTCAACATTTCAATATTTATTTATTTTTCTTTTAAATTGAATGAAAACAAGGAAATCTGCTAAATACAGACAAAGAAATATTGATGTGATCCAATACAGAAATACATTGAAAAAATTCTACCTGAAGACAATTAATACATAATGAACACTGCACTGATTTCGTTCAGCATGCTACCATGTACTGATATCTCTCTCTGCATGCTACCATGTACTGATATCTCTCTGCATGCCACCATGTACTGATATCTCTCTCTGCATGCCACCATGTACTGATATCTCTCTCTGCATGCTACCATGTACTGATATCTCTCTCTGCATGCTACCATGTACTGATATCTCTCTCTGCATGCTACCATGTACTGATATATCTCTCTGCATGCCACCATGTACTGATATCTCTCTCTGCATGCCACCATGTACTGATTTCTCTCTCTGCATGCTACCATGTACTGATATCTCTCTCTGCATGCCACCATGTACTGATATCTCTCTCTGCATGCTACCATGTACTGATATCTCTCTCTGCATGCCACCATGTACTGATTTCTCTCTCTGCATGCTACCATGTAATGATATCTCTCTCTGCATGCTACCATGTACTGATATATCACTCTGCATGCCACCATGTACTGATTTCTCTCTCTGCATGCTACCATGTACTGATATCTCTCTCTGCATGCTACCATGTACTGATATATCTCTCTGCATGCCACCATGTACTGATATATCTCTCTGCATGCCACCATGTACTGATATCTCTCTCTGCATGCTACCATGTACTGATATATCTCTCTGCATGCCACCATGTACTGATTTCTCTCTCTGCATGCTACCATGTACTGATATCTCTCTGCATGCTACCATGTACACTGATATCTCTCTCTGCATGCTACCATGTACTGATATCTCTCTCTGCATGCTACCATGTACTGATTTCTCACTCTGCATGGTACCATGTACTGATATTTCTCGGCATGCTACCATGTACTGATTTCTCACTCTGCATGCTACCATGTACTGATATCTCTCTGCATGCTACTCTCTGCATGCTACCATTTACTGATATCTCTCTGCATGCTACCATGTACTGATATCTCTCTGTATGCTACCATGTACTGATTTCTCTCTGCATGCTACCATGTACTGATTTCTCTCTCTGCATGCTACCATGTATTGATATATATATTCATGCCACCATGTACTGATTTCTCTCACTGCATGCTACCATGTACTGATATCTCTCTGCATGCTACCATGTACTGATTTCTCTCTGCATGCTACCATGTACTGATTTCTCTCTCTGCATGCTACCATGTATTGATCTATATATTCATGCCACCATGTACTGATTTCTCTCACTGCATGCTACCATGCACTGATGTATATATTCATACTACCATGTACTTATTTCACTCTGCATTCAACCATGTAGTTATTTCTCTCTGCATGCTACCATATACATGTACTTATTTCACTCTGCATGCATCCATGTACCTATTTCTCTCTGCATGCAACCATGTACTTATTTCTCTCTGCATTCTACCATGTACTAATTTCTCTCTGCATGCTACCATGTGCTGTTATCTCTCTCAGCATGCTACCATGTACTGATTTCTCTCTGCATGCTACAATGTACTTATACTTCTCTGCATGCATAATATAATGTGCAAAAATACATATTAATATGTTTTGCACCAAGTTAATTGCAGCCAGCAAATATCCAATTAGTCACCATTTTGAAATGATATTATGTTATTTTTTAATTACTTTTAAGCCTTTCTTGAACTCATTCGATTATGCATTTTACAGATTCACAATAAAAATTCTAAAACTAGTAATAAATGTGTTTATATAATTCTAGAATGAAATATATTGTAACCTTTTAACATCTATTGAAAAGCTGTTTTACTGATCTGGCATTAGACCAAAACACAGCTGCAAACTTTTATAAACAAACTTGACCCAAATAGACCGTCCTAGATAACCGATTACTGTTGAATTTTTCATACCTGTAAATAGTTGGGGCCTTTTATCTTTACAATCTGTTGATGGGTCAGTTGACATGACTATATCTAGGTCAACACTCCTGGTTAACTTCAGAGATGTTTATGTGACTCTTTTCACTTTAAATGATTTTAAAACCACTGTGTATGAATGCAGTACTACACCACATCATATTCATTCAGGATCTTATGAGATTATATTTCTTTATAATGTAAACACTTTAAGTAATTTACTGCAGAATTTAAATTGTTCACATTTATAATTTCAGTTTATTTGAATATAAAATTTAGGGAAAAGAATGTCAGATTTTCCTGTTGTGGAATGTAAAATAATGGATCCTCAGATGTTAAGCACTACTACTAGAACACTAAGCAAGTATAAGATGCATATCAGGGTGTCTGCACATGTTTTCATCTACATCTGTACATGTGTTTGTATCAGTGGGTTCACAAAGTATATCCTTGTACACATTGTTGGTGGGTTGAGGGATTAAAACCGACTTTGTTTGCACAATGTTGAAAGGCTTATGTACTATGTCAAAGCAGAGCAAAACATGTTTATCTTACTACAGAATGGGATACCTAGTATAGTAAAATGTGATGTCTACCTGGCATGGTATATGTGAGATACCTGGTATATAAATGATATTTGGTATAGAATACGTGAAATAATTGGTATTGTCTATATGAGATACATAGTATGATATATGTGAGATGTTTAGTGAGATACCTGTTTTTCATGAAATGTTACAGATAATATGCTTCTAAAATTTTTTTCTGCCAAACCCTGGTGTTTTAATGACCTTTAAAGTTTTGAGAGTCTACAAAAAACAGTTCAGAAAATTGTTGTGTTGTGATAGATAGTTGACATCTTGTTTGGATCCTGACCTTTTCCTTCCAGCTTCCCCATCAGCTGTGTGGATATGTATCAAGTATCTAAGAACTGACAATTTCACTTTTCATTTTATCATTTTTTTGTGTTTAGGAAAAAGAAAATTTACACTGAAAAAGATTAACTGTTTCATGTCATCTTTGAGACACCTATAGAAAATCAAGGCTGCAAAATTATAAATAGAACCACTTATCTAGGACTTTTCATCTGAAAAGGTGAAGTGTTTTTCTGGTCAATTTGTGTGCTTCATCAATAACAGATTTTTTCCCTAGCAAAACAAAGACGTTTGTGCCCGAGTAAATATTTGTAGGAGTTATTACTTAACTTCTGTTTTAACATAGATATCATGCTGATATGACAGTTGATAGTGTAATATATTTTACAATATACTTTGATTTTTAATCAAACAAGTTGGTCAAGTACATGTGTTTTGAAGATTCAGGTCAGCACCTTGTACAAAATGCTGTTTTCAGATCTCTCTGTCAACATTTCTGCCAGGTCCACGTTTTTGTCCATGTGAATTACTTTGTGTACAGGTAGGTCATATCTGACGATGAAATTTGCCTGGTTTCTTGGCAAGCAGCCACAAAAACAGGGTCTTGATTTCATGTTGGTCTTATTCAAATAATAGACACTGGCATAATTATATGGAACACCTTTTAAAACTCAGCCAAATCTTGTACCTAAAATGTAGTGCCTTTCCTCTAATCTGATATCAAATGGTTGCCAAATAAACTTAATCTTTAAGATTACATTTGTTTTTATGTTAACTGGCCTAGATATTATATGGAAAACTTGTTCATTAACGGGGTAACTTCCTTTTGATGTACTTTTTAGACGATTCTGTTGGATCCCATTCATGAATATTTTCAATCTATCATTCTTAGCATTTTCAAAGGGAAAAAAAAAGGGAAATTTTAAAAGTGACAATTTATGTAATGAAAAGCTACGGTTGATCACACCCATAACTTTCAGGTGGTACTGATGCTGCATTCACGAAACAATTCATCATGCAGTTGTCTTATCTATCCACCATATACTCAATTTCTATGTAATTTGACCGGTTGTGATATCAGGGATAATAATGAAATGAGGTCACATCCGTGCAACATTATGACATGGCAATGAAGACTTTATTCATAGAGAGCCAGTATGACATCACAAATCACGTGGAAATTCATCATGATTATTGTTTAAGATTTTTGGTAATGTAAAAGGATCATCATCTGCTTGTCATTTTCAGTCTTGTGCTAGAAATATAAACAATAAAACACTGTATGTAGAATTCAAAGTACTTTATTTCTCAATGCATCGATAAAAACAATTTTTCACAAGTTAATCAAATGCTTTGTCACTACATTTGGTACCTTATCAAAAATCACCCTTTTTAAGATTCCTAATTCTGTTGAGTTGCCAAACCTGATAGCATAAGAATAACAAATACTTGCTATCGACTCTCATTTTGTTACTATACTTTGTAACTTGTCAATTTAATTTCACACAATCCAATTATGAAAAGCAATTTGCTTTGAAGATTTGGTTGAATGTATCGCAATAGCTTCATTTGCACCAACAAGAAAAATACAAGAACATGTTAGAAAACTAATACTATCTGATATGTAATGACTGTTCCTAAACTGTCACTTGATAGAATTTGAACACTGATTGATTGAATTATAAAAATGAATGTTTCAATCAGCACAAGTTAACAGAAAAAATGTTCGAATTTTTCAATGAATAAAAAATTGAATTTCTTATAACAAATAATTTCAAATTCAGGAATCAATTGAAAACTGATTTTGTAATAATGATTTAACAGTCAAATACTTGAGTCTACACGACCTTCAATAATCACAGCTGAACACATCATATAATATCACAGGAAATCTACCTTCCAGCATGGTAACTTTTAACCTAAACATCAAGTCTTTAAGTATATCCCATGCAACACTGTACGATTGCTGATTCAATGAAATGCAAAAATGGAAGTAAAGTACTTTCCTTGTACAATTAAAACCAGATATAACCAATAGTTAAGCTTTATAGAGATGAAGCTGCCAAAACAGAAATTTGAAATTGGCTATGACCCTTCCGAAATATGTATTATGTTTATGCTTAATTTAATAAAGTTTTTTCCCCGACACTTTGTGTCCAAAATTGAGTTGTCTTTGCAATCCAACCATTTCACACTTATCTTACATATTAATACCAATACTTTCTAAACAATGTAGTATTTGGCATGTTTCATAGACCATGCCAATGTGAGAAATTATCAACACAAGACATCAATCATAGTATGTATAAACATATACTTAGAAATGATCTTTTTTGAAAAGTCACTCCAAATAGGTTAACATTTTGCTCCATTTACAAAAATTACTTTTGATATGAATAACTTCTTTTGCAAATATCAAAACTAAAAAAAATCTCTGATTTCAAATCTAATATCTTACCAATAGATCTTCAATTTTAGAATAAAATGAAATCTGAACCAATATTTTTACAATGATCTTAAGAGCATTTCTTTCATACAAGCCACACGACAATAATGTACATGTATGTAGTCAACAGATAGCTCACAGAACTTTGATATGCTGTACACTATATTTGTCATTTTTGTTTACTTTTTTTTTGTTTTATTTTTGTTTTGAGATCACTGAATATATATACATATGAAAGCAAGATTTTCCTTTTTACATGCCATTTTTCGGGACCAAAATGTCAAGTCTATATACATGTATGTACACTATGTACAGTAGTCCAGTACAACATCACTCTCACACTTGAGATTTGGTCATGAATTCGCAGTAACAGTCTAGCACAAATGCTGCAACCATAGCTATGTTTAAAGCCTGGATACAACTCTTATTGCCAGTAATATCACATTGTCTCCATGTCACAATCTTACATGAACACATGTACACAGATATGAATGTCTGAACGATATGATGAGGTTGTTTGTTATGGTATTTAGGTTTCCTTGGAATGAATGACATTGTATAAACCACTATGAGTGGAAAAGTAAATGATTTGGTTGAAAACAAATCAAAACTGCTGTTTGAGTGAGTCTATAGTAAATGCCTTTGTATTTGAACGAAGATGTTAAAAGTAAATATATATTGAAACCTTGGTAAGAAAATAAATTTTCAAATATAAAAATTCATTATTTCAAAACCTAAAACATATTTACAATTCAGCAAAGATTTGTTCAAAATTTTAAGATAAATTTTATTTTGAAAACTGACATTAAAAAAATTCAAAGACATTTACTGTAGCATGAAATGATATATTTTAAAGATTGCAGTATTTCTAATTTCTTGATCGGCTGCCATTGCAAAACTGTGAACACATTATTAACTGACATTGCTTAATAAGCAAGTTGAACTCAAAGATGAGCATCTACATTGCATATGAAATCTGTAACTAGTAGAGAAACAATTATTCATTTCAACAGAGTTGGAATAACATTTGTAACTTTAAAGCACAGAATTTTTTCCAACAATATTTCAAACAAAAATACAAGAATATAGTATTTTCTATATATATATATATATATAAGTGTATATATATTTTCCATGCACCTTTAAAGTCTGATGTTATTAAGAATGAAATGGAATGGCACTTGTGTTCTGCTACAAAAAAACGCACATACACAACACATAATTCCCATATATCAAACGTAAAATGAAATTATATTATATAGTGTCTAAGGGTTATGAATTTCTTAAAACAATTTTTCTTTCTCTTTTGAGCAAAACTATCTAAATGTTATACAACTATATCAAGTATTGGTGTCCTAATTTTGCCTTTATTAAAATGAAATATTTTTTACATCAAGTTTTAGTTCCTTATATGAGCACAAGTTTCACTTTATACCAAATTAAAATTAAAATCCAAAACAGGATGCTGATCAAATTTTCAAAACACTTATTGGAATCATGAAATAGAAGGGCCTCCAATCCATTCAATGAAATGACCATTTTATAGAACACTGAAAATTAATTTGAAATGGAATGTTTATTTTTTTCTTCAAAAGTACAAATCAGTTACCATACGACAAAATGTGATACGACTAGCAGGCAACTCAAACAGTAATAGAGGTAATATTTGACGAAAGGGTATATAACAGATGATTTTTATACTATCCAGCCATGGCTGGCTTGGTTAGTTAGCAGGTGACAATCTCATGAGACAAGATAAATTTCTAAGTAGCGACTCCACAAATGTTGAACACAATAAAATTTGGCTCCCTTCAAATGAAGTTCTTCATGTTTCACAATTGTGGATAATGCCAAAACATAACAATTTTCCCCCAAAATTCAACTCCCACCCCAACCTCAAGACAGTACATAAAAACATTTATACTAAAATAACATGTAAAATTACAAAAAAAGGTGAAAACAAATTATTAAACTACAAACATAAAAAGACACATGGGCTTAACTAGAGTACATAAAATCACAACTCTTTATCTTGGATTAATCAGCTTTTTAGCAGTAATTGCTGTGTTAGCACTTAAATACTGCCCCTTGAGTTTCATGGAAATATAAGATCATCACAAATATCCCTAAATCATCTATCTGAAAGACAATGGATTTTTTCTTCCTTTAAACTGTTTTTTGTATGAAGAATATCAGTCAAACTTTTTTCTCATGTTTGTTAAGACAGAGAAATACACTTTTTTTGACATAACATAAAATCCCTGATAGTAATCTCAATTACACTAGCTAATCTTTTTATGAGCATACACTCTCTCTCATCAAACATAACCACTCTTCTGATCCACAACACTTTCACACTTGAGAAAGTCTTGGTTCTTTCATCAGTCCAGTACTATGTACTGATAGCATAGTTTGATGAATGTGAACTTGGCAGAGACAGTCCACTATCACTACTGATGTCAGAATTGTCCTCGGAAAAGTTTCCCCTACGCCTAGCTAGACCTGAACAAGGAGGTGAAAGTTTGATACTGGGGACTTCCATAGAGCCTCCATTGTAAAGACTACCATCAGACTCATCCTCATCTTCCTGACTGTCTTCACCACCATGTGATCTATGGCCGATGAAAAAAGATGGTGTCTCGTTGATGTGTAGATGCTGTTGCATCATTCTGTTGATAGAGACTGCTTCTCCAGCAAAACATTCCAGATCTTTTGTACTATTATTTCTGTAACAGTAAAACATTAAAAACATCAGTAAAATGGCTTTCATCTGGAAGTCAGCAAGACTATAATTATCTATAATAAAATATCAAATGATTTTTGGATATTAATATCTAATTCTGTTCACAATGATATTGTAATATGTGTGTTATTTAAAGTTTATGACCATAGAATTTACCTTGTAAGGATCCTTGGAGTGGCAAGTGGAGTGGGAGGGGGAGGAGATGTCACCCAGGGGTGCTTTAGGACTTCCTTTGCAGACAACCTTTTACGTGGGTCCCTGACCAGTAGCTTTCTGACTAAATCTTTGGCTTCCTCTGATATCTCACTCCACTCATTCTCAGGAAATTCAAATATGCCATCTTGAATTCGTGTGAAAAGATTTTCCTGGCAAGACTGACAGGCTTCACCTCTTTCCCATCCACAATCCTCTCCACACTGTCCATAAAAAGGAGGGTACCCACACAGCATGATGTATCTAAAACCAAACATATTCTTCAAGTTAGAAATATATATCTAGATCAGGAATTCAAAATTTCAGAAAAATTCTGTCTTTCATAATACAGTATATTAACATTTTTTAAAGTGCAAAAAGTAAATCTAATATGGATATCAAAACTTACAAAATTGTTCCTAGACTCCAAAGATCACATTTCTTGTCATAGGAAAAGGATTCTCCAACCCAAGCATCCACAACCTCAGGTGCCATGTATTCAGCTGAGCCTACAGGTGTCAGGAGTTCAGGAGTGGTGCAGTTATCATTCTGACTATTGATAGGCACACCACTGGCAAGATCAAAGTCGCAAATGCGGATGGGAACAACCTCATCATTCTTCTCACATAAAATGTTCTCTGGTTTTAGGTCTCTGTGGGCAATTCCTGCAAGACAATCAATCAGAAATATATATAAAAATATTTAAAGGAAAAATTAAGCAATTGTAAGGAGAAAAAGAGAGAGAAAAAAAGCATTGTTTAAAACAAGATTTGGAAAAAATGTTCACTTTGTTAAAATCTAAACTTCTATATAAATGTATTGTATGTAGAATGTGATGCTCACCCTTCTTATGGAGGAAATGAAGAGCTTTGGCAATATCCCGAATAACCAGACTTGCTTCAAACTCTGTCACATGGCCCCTCCTCTCAATGTTGTTCAAAAGTGTTCCTCCTTGCATCAAATCAAACACCAAATAAAACCTTTCTTCCTCCTCGAAGTACTCATGCAGTCGTAAAATATTCTCTTCATTTTGGCACAGGTGAAAAATTTCAATCTCTTTAAATACTTTCTTTCTTGATCTTCCAAAGTCTTTTTCAATAACCTGTAATGACAAATTACATACTGTTAGTTGTCAGTGTCAAATTTCAAAACATCACTAAATTCCCAAAGCTTTCATTTGTTTCATATTTGTATTAATGACACTACACTAGATTTTAAAAGTACAATAATGTCAATAACTTACCTTTACTGCATACTGTTTCTGAGTTGTATTTTTGCGGTAGGTGTTTACAGATGCATAAGCACCACTTCCCAGCTTTTCCCCAGTCGAGGTGTAAAGATCTACAAAACACAATGGGAAAAGTATGAAAAATATATTCTATCAATACATAAAACTTTAGTTAAATCTAATACACTTGTCAGACAATCAATTTTTTGGCAAGGAATGTTGACGCTGAGGTCAAAAAGAAAACACCTTCGAAAGTATTTTCCTCTCAATTAGAAATAAGAGACATTTTGTTTTACATTTTTGATACTGCGATTAATGCCTTATAGTAATGATTGAATCTATTTATGACCATGTTGCTTAAAACTTATTTAGAAAAAACAAAAAGTAGTGGAGTGGACAAATAACATAATTGTTAATCCTGTTCAGAGAAATGTTCCAGTGTACCTTATATATAAAACCATTTATTGTACCTAGACTAGATAAACATTTTCATTTAAACCAGCTGTTGTGTTCAAACATATAGTGCTGACCCAAATACTATAATACATATGTATGTAGAAGGGAAACAGCTGTTATATCTCATATGAATCACTGGAATAATGATTCAGGCAACACCTATGTTTTAGTAACCTTTTATATTCATTATCAGGTAATACATGAAATGACCAAGTTACAGGCAAACCAAATTTCTTATCTTTATAACATGGGTACAGAAACTACAAGACTGGTTATGCATGTCCTGGGCTGTCCATATCTCACACAGCCAGGATGCAATGACATAGTTAAAAAGTAATGTTTTAAAAGATAATATTTCTTATCCCATAATCAAAATTTGGCAAATTCTGTTACCTTTATTAAAGAGCAATAGACTTTCTACTAGTTGTCTTTATTTCATTTTCTTAAAATAGTTACTATTGTGTCTAGCCTTTAATTCATATTAACATATTTCTTAAAGACAATTGAAAAGAGAGAGAGAAGAAAAAAAAAACAAAAACAAAAAAAAAAACAAAAATAGAGATTGATATTTGAAACCACAATTTAAAATTGTTTTTAATCCTTATTGACTGATTTCATCATACACTAGTCATTTCTGAACAGGTGATTCTAGAACGTGGTATACATTTAATAGATTAATTTATGTATGACTTCCACGTAACTTCCACGTATACACAAGCTAGTCATCAGGTAACATAATCCTTAGAGTGTACACGTTGTGTATGTTGTCATGAGGTGACCTAGTCTTACGTGTCAGAAACTACTAGAATTTGTGTTTATTGATCCACAACAGCTATCTTATTCAACTACATTATGAGTGGTCTGATCTTACATCAGGAGAATTTACAATCTATTTTTAGAAAATTACTTCATTTTATCGGCTGTCTGAAAACCAGTCATGTGATTGGTTGGGTTATTCCCCATCCACACAGGCTTTGTTGCCCGACATAGATATTTATAGCATGGAAAAATTTTATGAGGTGTTCTTCCTAGCTAGGGTGTTGTTGCATCATTCCATGTAACAGATACTCCACTCCAAAGAAGATGTGTGTTTATACACAGTAGTACTGGTTGGTCATGTAGTTTACAGAAGTACGCACATATATGTATGCCAGGAATGTGTGATGAAACATCAGTAAATTGAAAAAATGAGAAAACCATGAAAATTTAATCAAAATCTAATTTGCTGCTAAAATAAAACAAAAGGGACCAGTCCTTGAAAATAAAGTTATGGTCAGTGAAGTTTATTATGTTCATACCAAAGTTTTTTTTAATATTAATTACAACCTTAACATCAGGTAAAATACAAAAAATATACATACCATTGAATTTTTTAGCTGGTTCATCCTCCTTTCGACGCTTCTTCTTGTTTCTGGATGGACGGCGGTTCATAGAACTTTCACTGTTTCTCAATTCCATATCTTCTATTATCGGGTCCATGTCCAACGAGGGCAATGCAGCAAGTACCCGATCTAACATTAGACTGGATGGTCTTCTTGGTGATAAGTTGTAACAAGCCTGATGCTCAACCTAAAACACACAACATTTCATAACTGTCAGGCAAACATTCACAATTACTATTCTTCATTATTTACATTCACATCCTCTTCATTTTTCACATGAATATTACCACAATGACTTGTAATTGAAAGAAATCTCACAAGATGGAAATATGAAGAGCCTCTGAGTGATATTCCACCTCCCTCTCCCACCTAGCTTCTCCGAAGGACTGAAGCTACACAGTATTTAGTACACTTACAAAACCACGGGTAATGAACATGGCACCAGTAACACAAAACAGACACAAGTACTATAAATGCCATCCTAGTGCCAAAAGCAACTCAAATACTAGTAGGTGTAGTCTCTAGGATCTAAAGTTATACAGCTGTCATTATAGACAACACTATCACGTGAATAGCATCCCAAGCAAAAGTAAAGGACTCCCACTGTGGAGGTGTTGGCATGTGATTGTGTCTTCCCACAGGGCAATCCCTTTTATCTGATTCTTACTATAATAACACTGAGACCATTATGATATAACTCAATGAAAGAAGGCAGTGGGAGTTAATCAGCACCAATACATTAATTACTGGACTTGTAGCAAGGTGTAACTCAGACAGACATTAGCTGGATATATAGCAGTAAGTAGGAAGTTGGAATTTGTAAAAGGTCATTAATCTATAATTGATTTAAAATATAAACTGCAGTTTATATAAAAAAAAAAAAAGAATGTTACTTTTTTATAAGATACTAAATAAATGAAAAAGTTTTTAAATATATATGAAGTAAATGTTTCTATTTCTTGTGGATGCTTATCATAAATTATTTGATATGACATATTTGGAATTTTAAGGAATGTCATAATCTGGAAAATATCCAATATAAACAATTTATCAATATCAAATTTAATAATGAATTTGTCTGGAAATTAAAAATATCAGATTACCATGCAATCTAAGAATACAACATACCTACAAGTTCAAGTAATTTGATAAGAACCAATATTTTTGAATGTCCTATTATTGACTTTGGCAACTGTTACTTTCCTGGCCATGTTATCTGTTATATTTAGCTGAAAACAACTTTACCATATGTATACTACTTGATTTTTAAATATGGTATTGGTGAGTATTTCATCATTTGATGAAATACAAACCTTCTTTCATTTTCTACACCAAAAACCAGGATTTCATCATCAAAAGAAATATTCTAAATTTGGTATTAATTGTGTTGCTTGAAAAGAATATTACTGTTAAACAGGACAACGAGTTTCATAATTAATAAAATATTGCTATAAATTCTGCCTAGGAACAAATAATTAAATAGGGAAACCAATTATACGGTAAAAATCAAGTCTTAAACATGAACAGGAGAACAAGTGTCCCAGTTGAGGTTTTCAAGTAGCAATAATCTTCAATATCGTTACCTCAGGTCAACATAAGAAATGAAATGGAATGATGTTGAAATATTTGAGCAGGCTTTACTAACACTGTTGTTCTGATGAGGTATAGCCTAACTAACCAAAACATGTCAGCAACACATAATGCCAAAAGAGAATATATATGGGCCAGTACAATTCACTAAAAAAATTCTATATATGTAATGATAATGAAATTTACAATTTTAAATCTACATTTACTTGTAGTGTAAACTAAAATTTTTTTGTGGCCAAATCATATCCTTCCACCATTGAAACTAGTTGTGGTTCTACAAAGTTCCTTCTACTAGGTTCTAGATTAAATAGTTATAAATAGATATGTCATGTATATTCCTGTACAAAGAACAATTAAACCAGAATATTCTAGTCAAACAATTATAGAAAAAAATCTCACAGCAGTCAAGAAATTAAGATGTTCATATATTTTTTTCATATTATTTGTGAAAAATTATGTATGAAGAATTACCCGAGGTAAAAATATCTAAAAATGTACACAAAGGACAAGAACCAGGATATGACAACAAAACTTACCTCCAACATTTTCATAAACGTGCGTTGAAAATTATGTAACAACGATAGAATTTAAACACAAAACGTGCTTTTTTCCCAGATCTAATCACTAATACTGCGTTCGCATAAATCCGTTGACCAACATAGGCTGTCCGAAGGTCCAAAGACCTGAAATCGTTTCTTACTACAGTCCGTCCATTTTCCTTCACACACAAACTAGAACAGGGTTCATACGTCAGCAAGCCTGTTTATATATCGGCGATCTGTGTCACGCGACGTGGCCTACGATCTGACTGGCTGACTCACCGTGTTTATGTACGCAGATGCAGCCAACTGTGGCGACCGTATAATATCGGTGTGTTTACATCCGCCATGGAAGGTCACCGGTATTTATATGCATTGAAAAGTTGGACATTGAGCGCAATATCAAAATGGAGAAGTGATCAATTATAGCACAATCTCTGTAAATATATGTGAAAATGATAAAATTATTGAAGTAAAATGGAATATTACCTCTATCATGATGCACCACTAAAGAAAGTAGTAAACAATGCCACAACTCCCGCCAAGCACTCCATCTTCGCAAAAACAAACCAATCGTTCATTCCCGGAATATCCGGAAGATCCCGATTATAGTTTGTTGTCGAATAAATTATAAAGAAAGCAGAAAAAGTTCCAAGTAAAGCATTTACAAAATATCATCTATATTTAAGATTAAAAAAAAAAGAATTTCTATAAATTTTGTTGAAAAAAATGGATATTAAAGGATATCTCCAGAGCGCTTGAAAGGCACGATGCCTTCCCATAGTATATCAAGTATAACTTAGACGGCGAGTATCCGAAAACCACTGGAGCCTCCGATGCCGAAATGGATCTTCCCAAACCACCAGAAGGTAATTTTTGGCCTTGTAGTCAATTTCTTTTGAAATTAAATTGAAATTGCGATACACTTCTGATTGAAGAGTGATTCTGGGGGAAAACATTATCATGATAGGGTGAAAAACGTTAAATCTGAGGAAAGTTTGGAAGGGGGGGGGGATGTCTTGTTCATTTATCATATTTTTTCAGAATAAGTTTTAGTTTAATAGGTAATGTACTTAGTGTATTTATAGTCAGCATGAACATATGTTGCTTTGTCTGTATTAACAGACCCATGCATTGCACTTTTGAGTGTGTACTAAAGCGAGAAACAGGTCGGGGAAAACCTCAAAATTTGTCAATAACATGTACTGAATCACCGGCATATCTGGCTTCATAGGCAGATTTGGCTATAAAGTCAAATATGACTATGCTACGTATATAAGGCAAATGCTAACAACTGAGCCATTCCTTGCTGCGATCGTGGTGTGCACATCGAAAAAATGGACAACGAATCTAGTGAGTTGGTAAAACGTATGTTTTTGTCATAAGTCACGTTTTTCTGGTGAGTTGGTTGAAGTCTGCCATTGCTAATTGCCTTAATTCTTGATTAAAACACTTGGTATTTCACTTGCTTCCATCTCACAATTCACATTCATTGTGAGTTATAACTTTTTGCACTGAAACCTCATGCTGAAAACGCACATGTTGCTCGAATCTGCATCAAAGAGATGCTTATTTACAGATGACACAATGGCTGAATGATACCATATTGGATGAACCTCTCTATAGAGTTTGTTACTTGTGGATACTGAATGCTTGAAATTGACCAAATATGCCAAAAACATTTTACTGATGTACATGATTCTTATTCAATCTTTTCTATCTGCACGAAATGTAACCAGACCATACCTGGATGTTTACATTTGCCCTATTAATATATAGTCGGATTTGACAACATATATAGCCAAATTTGTCTATATAGCCAGATTTACCAGTGCACCAGAACCTGATACACAAACTAGTCCAATTGGGGGAATGGATTTTTAGTCCCCTGCCGGTTTCACTTAAGAACAGATTGATGGATTTGGATCAAACTTCATACAATGGTAGTTTATAAGGCAATATAGTGTGGGATTTTGTTTGGGGCCAAAAGATCAACTACAAAGGTCACTGTTACTAAAAATAGAAATTGTTGTCACATTTTAGTTTCCGGACAATAACTTGAGAATGTAATAATGGATTCGGATGAAACTTCACACAATGGTAGTTTATAAGGCAATATAGTGTGGGATTTTGTTCGGGGGTCAAAAGATCAACTACAAAGGTCACTGTTACTAAAAATAGAATCTTGTCACAATTTAGTTTTCAGACAATAATTTGAGAACAGATTTATAGATTTGGTTGAAACTTGATACACTGGAAGCTTATAAATAATAAAACAAGACACTTCTGATACAGAACAAGTTCTACATTGCTTGAAAAAATAATGTGTTTATACTGCAATTAGATCATGGGGCCAACTCGAATCCATAGTAAAGGGTTAGCTTATTGCAAACAGTTATGTAGCATTTGCTCCCATTTGCTTTACAACAGAACATTGGTGGGCTTATTAGCAGACATGCGCTTATTTGCCGATAAATACAGTCATTTACGGCAGGGGACATGTGTTGCATGCAACACTAACTGTAAGCTTGTTTACTTTAAACTCAGCCCTTTAATCCTTTATTTAAACCAGGTCACATTTATTTAGACACATAACTTCGTACAACTACGAAAATAAGACAATCACACATAGAAAAGAACTGAAAATAGGTGCAGCACTTCCTGCATAGTACAGTAACTTAGGCGGCAAGTGTTTCATCAACTTTCAAAGCAGTCAGCACTTTCAGTAAACTGGCACATCAGTTAATTCAATCAAAAAGGTCATGATATAGGAAAGCTTGGCTGGATTCGGCAATATCATGCAAAAACAAATTATATTGAAAATTTGTTAAATTAGCTGTAATTCATTACATGTGATGTTATACATTTTCCAGATCAAACAAGAAGGTTGAAAATTTAGGACCATTGACTTGTAGATCTCTCAAAGAGGTTAAACATGTAAAAGTGATTTTATCATCATGAGTTGTGATATATATATATCACAGATACAAAATAAGACAATAATTACATAGTACCTATACATATCACGCTGTGTCCTATAAGCTTGTTTAAGTTTTTAGCCTAATCAAATGTAGACCAGGTATCCTCTATTCATATCAACCCTTTTTAGGGCTTAGATCAACACCCAGTAAAAAGTGTCATTTCTGAACTTTTCTGAAGTTGTAGTACTACTTATTAATGTATAATACAGCTGAAAGACAAATTAGTAGACATCTGTCATTTCCATCTTAACAAAATAATATTTCCTTTTAACTTCATGACAGGATATACCAATTTATATTCAGTAATAACTGTATCCAAAAAATCCTGTATGAGTATAACTGAGTATTAATTAGATATTACTATGCAAGGACCTGTTCCTTAACAGAAGCTGGATTGAAAATGCTTATGAACAGATGTAAAGTGATCAACTGAATGAATTTTTTTATCATTTCAGATCCAGACTTGAAGAACATTATAGATAAACTTGCCAATTTTGTGGCCAGAAATGGACCGGAATTTGAGCAAATGACAAAACAGAAACAAAAGAACAACCCACGGTTTTCTTTCTTATTTGGAGGGGAACATTTCCATTACTACCAATATAAAGTAAACTCTGAGTCAGTCAGTAAGTATTGAATGCTTTTATCATTGTTATGGCGCATTATATGTTCCCTTCTGTTGCAAAGAGTGATAGAGTTCAATGTGGCATTCTATTTGTGTATATGTTTACTTTTGAAAATTGCTGACAGCATTCAGTATATACATATAAATATATATATATACAAATATCATATGTTATTACTGTCTGGGTCTGTGAGACCTCTCAGGATGACAATTTTATAGGTTAACAAACTTAATGAAAGCTATTTCATTCATTTGTCCTTTCCAACATAAATTTATTGTATATAGAGTATTGGCCCTTTGCTAATTTTTCATACTGAAGATGAGCCCGAATTAGAGAACTATGAATCACTAGGATTAATTGGTATATTTCAGGATGTTTTATTAGCTATAATTTTAAATATCTGTAGAGTCCTTGGCAGAATCTGGAGGATTCAGTGGTCCACCAGTGAGTGATGGTCCACCTCAAACACAGCCATTTCCTGTAGCACTTCCCGGTGTCCCTCCAGAAGTGCCGCCTCCATTCCTCGGAAACCCTGATAGTAAGTCCATTTGTCATTTTCTACCCCTTTTCAGCAATTTTTAAAAAAAAAATGTAGATTCATGTAGAGTTAGGCTCAGGATACATATTGATCTTTATGTAAATGTCCACTGAAATGGGCATTTCAATTTAACTTAATTACTTTGTTGTCTTTTTAATAGTAGTTTGGCTTCATATGACTTGAATTTCTGAGCACTTTACCGTTAAATCACATACCAGGGTAATCATAATTAAAATTCTGACTCACAGCAGTTCTCGAGGGTTCTAAATGCTTGTGGCCTTTAAAATGAGTTTCATTTGTTGTTTTTTTGTGACAGCAATACTTTTCTTATCTATCATCCAGTCAGATTTCATTACCTGTTGAAAATATTGTTCATAATGAAATTTTTCTTGCTGTTTAAATTGTGTATAGCAAATTTCATCCTAAAGTAACTAAAACTTATGTTGTATAGGACAGGGCAGCAATACTGTCACTGCTGTTTTGTAATTAATACAGTGTCTTTTGTATACTACAATAAAAGTTTAATCACTTGTACTAGGTCATACATATATGTATTAAATTCTACAAGCAATTGTATTAAGTTACCTTAAGCCAATGCACTCCCATTTATCACTTTATATTACATAAATGTAATAGGTAATGTTGCATTGTGATGCTTTATGAAGACCTTTTTTAATTTATACTGACAGATATAATTAACCTTGGGCTCTCATCAGCTGTTAAATAAATGACTATGACGTCAGAACTTGGTGGAGGTAAAATTTTATTAAGGTTGTTCATGAATTATTCATTTAAACATTCATATTCTTATTAGAATAACAATAATTAGGATCAAATTTTTTTCTTGAATTCATTTGAGTCATGGAATTTTAAATGGAACAGTGAGGGAAATTTCTGATATTGTTCTTATTGAATCACATTAGTTGTCTGTTGATTAATTACTTATAAGATTTCAAATTGGAATGCTGGGTGCTTACTGCTAGGCTATTCTCATACTTCAAAACTTTCTGCACTTGTGACAAAATTTGAGGTTCAGATGTAAAATTTATGAAAAATGAAAAAGTATGTTTTCATTTGCTGAAGAAAATACATCAAAACACCATTTCAACTGACTTGATTGTCCTGAATAGTAGTTTTTAATTACATGTGGGGTAAAGATTTGTAAAAAAAAATAAGTCATCAAAGATAAAAACTAGTACAAAAAAAAGCAAAAAGTTATAACTATACTAACGTCATTCCCACTGTCTGTGTGTCTTAAACTTCTATTCTTAGTGAGAGTTGTTGAGTTGTTTGAAGCTTTAGTCTTGAAGATACTTATCGTAACAGTACGAAGTGTCGGTGATTATGACTACCAAGATTGTGGAACCCATTATTTAAAAAAAATGCTTTGTAAAGGCATTGACATTTCAGTGACAGAATATAATCATAATTATTATAAAATTATCTTATAACTTTCATGAAGCTTGACTGTAATCTGCCCCCCAATAGTTAGCAAATTAAAATTGTCTTATTACCTTCATCATAGTGTATGAAGTAGGGTCAAAGGTTACATAGATAGGTAATTACAGGTAGATAAGACTGATGTAGCCCTGGGCATTATAACTGACAGTTGTGTTTTTGTTAGGTGTTTCACCAATTAGTGTGTTACAGGTAAATGAGCACATACCATATTTGGTCTTTATTGACCTTATCGATCTGAATATATTGTTAGTTGTGACCAGATTCTTCCCTGGATTCTGTAAATCCTGACTTTTTGCATTTAGCATTACTTTATACAAGTCCATTGGGACTTTTCCCCTAACCCTGCTGTGGCCAATAGATGTAGGTAGTTTAAATCAACTCAACTCTATAACCAGAGAGGTAATAACTGACAGCGCAGACAAAATTCTATTTTTTTGGTTGCATTCATTTCTTTGTCAGAACACAAAAATTGACAGTAGCATACACAAATATTACATGACAAACAAATAACACTGGAGTTATTTTAAAGGCTAGAAAATGAGGGATTTTAAAGTGAATTTAAACAATAATAAGCAGATAGGATATAATATGGTTCGTGTGAATTGATATAAATAATATATTGGTGGATGTTACATAGAAGATGAGGTGCCTTATAACTGAAAGGTGAGTGTTTTACCTCACTTTATAGCATATATGAAGTGCCTGGGGTCAAAGTCTAAAACAAGAGATAGTGCTAACTCAGTCAGTAGAACATTGGCCTATTGTCTCAGGTTAATATCTAAAGTGTGTGGTTCAATGCTCCCTACCCTTTGCAGTTTCTGAGAATTGTGTCCTTGATGGCAAGACACTCTTTCCTAGTTACTCTAGATAGTATGAAGCGGGCCTCCTCTATGTTTTCTATGAGGAAACCCTGCCTCAAAATGAACCTGGCTGTCCAAAATGGTGATGAAGGAAAAAGCTTTCATTATCTTAAAGTAACCATGGATAACATAATCTGTTTTTCTCTCTAATTTGCTATGTTCCACAAACATTAATTCTTTTTTCTGTCCTTCATTTATTCTTCTAACAGGTGTCACACAGGACAGAATATATCTTACCTTCAAATGTGATATAGCTACAAGGCACAATCAGATTGCTTGTAGATACAGTGTGTCATATATCAATACTGCTTATAAAGGTGTCAGATGATAATCTACAGTTTCGTTAAGTACCCATATTTCTATCTGTTAGAGAAAAATGTCTACATTGAAAAAGAAAAAAAAAATTGGGGTAGTTTGAGAATTTATTACTGACAGTCTTTTTTGAAAAAAGAATTATACACCATAATGCTTCAATGTTGGTCAACTATCAGTATATTGCTATTCAATTGGATGGTTAAATTTATAGTCGTTGATATTTACATTTACATGAATGAGCACATCATATTCTTTTATGCCTAATAGTCATTGTTTTGTCATCCTGGAATAATAATAAGAAATTGGTTTTGCATGGTTGACATAAATAATTCTGAAGCATTGGCTCCATAGTTCCAGTTTTTTGTGTTTATATCAGTTAGCAGAATGGCTTTGACAAATTGTTCACAGTTTTCTTCTGTTTTTACTTTTTATTTAGTAACTGTTGTAAATCTGTAATTACACTATATTTCTTTGTGTTCTTGATAAATAAAGATGTGAGGACTGGTGTCCATCCTTGCAAGCCCCAAGAAAGATTCTCGTGTATTTTGTTAAATTAAGCAATATAATGTCAATCCACACATATTGATAATCCGATTAGGTTAAGAAAAGTATTATTTTGTCAGGACAAAGATGGACTCCTAGGATCTATGATATTATTATATAAAAATTCCTAGACCCCTCCCAGTCCCTATGTCCTCACTTTCAGACTTCTTTTCAAGTTGAATCTTAATGCAGAGAATGAAGACTTGATTCTTAATGCTTTCTGATTCAGTTTTTAAAAATATCAAACTAAGTATTCTCCACATGATTTTGATTGGACCAAATTGCTTCTATTAAAGGTATAAATATTTTGATAAAGCTAAACCAATGCAGTGTCAGTAAATCTTAAGTTGGATATCCTTAAGACAGAAATGTGTTATATACAAAGCAATATAATGTTTAGATTAATATTTTTTTAATACATGGCTGATGTTGTTTACTTAGGTGTAGGTATTAAAATGTGTATGTTAATCATGCACACAATGATTACCAATCTTTGCTCCAAGCAGGTGTACATGTAATAGTAAGATTAGACCTGTTGTTATAGGATTGGCTTCTCGTTTTTTTCAAAACTAAAGGTTTCAATGATATTGTGTAATGGGAAACATATTAGCTTGTTTCCATCCAGTAGAAACTTGAGCATTTCATTATCCTATGAATAGTATCAGTAGACACCTATTCCCCTGTATAGCTGAGTTCAAGTTGTTGGAATGGTGTTCAAGCTGTAGATTGAACCCTTGGACTCTAGAATAAAGGATGGACTTTTCTGCACACCTGATAACATGGCTTTAGTGTTATTTTAACAGCCCTCAGTCTTTCATAATCATCTCATTAAGCATACAATGTTGTTTTAACATAGGAATACTTCAAAGGGCTTTGCTATAGGACCCTAAGGGCTTGTCACCTGTTTACTAACCTGCTTTCTAGGGTGATAATTGGGCTTTATACCAATAAAGGTGTCTACCTATATATGGGCTGTGACCAACACTTCTTTAACCAAACTCCATGACTATGCAAACCCATGTAGCTGTTTAGTTGTTTAGCTTTCTTAATATTTAAATATATTTAGCTGAAATGTACCAATATGAATAGTTTAGTGGAACAATGAATGACTGGAGTTGTTTACACTACTAAGTAAATCATTACATATAACACTTCATTGTGTAATATACAGGCTGTCATTACATATGAATTACCTCTTTTGAAGTGTTAATAAAGAACACCATCATATTATTGGGTACTAGTGTTTGACTTGCAAAGCAGGGATAAACATGTTTTATCTTAAATTGATACTCTTAACTTAATAAATATGACTTAGTGAACAAGGAGTTGGTATCTAACACTAGTGGATTGGGGTTGAAAACGGAACATGAATATCTGTCTCCCCTCTACCAGCATCAGATTCATACTTCCCCCTTTTCTCTGTAGATATCTCAGCTTGTCCACCTTCCTTCCCTCTAAAGACATTGAGACTTGCCTGCTCACCCCTTGCCTTCCCCTACCAACATTAAGACTTGTCCATTCTTCCCTTCCTTGAGACTTGTCTAATCCCTTCTCTTCCCTCTCCCAATATGGAGACTTGTTGACCCCCTCCCTTCCCTCACACCAATATATCAGGACGTCTCTTCCTAGACTGCCTTTCCAGACACTGTGACTTATTTGTACTCTCCCTACCCTTTACAGACATCTGGTGTACTTGATTTCTCAGTTTTGGCTAACTACACAGTGAAAACAGGGAAAAAAGAAACTAATAGGACTAATAACTGAAATAGAGAATAGACTCTCTGAGTGAATGTCAGATTGTTAGGACAACTTCTCTGTGAA